AGATTATGACAGTTTAAATGTCGACAATTTCTCGAAAATCGAGAAGCGAGTAGTCTTTGGAACGGGCCTGAAGCTGACCAGTTAGACATTCTTCGCTTTGATCTTGTTCATTACTTTGGGACGATACATTTGATTTTCGACACCGACCAGTGGGTATTGTGCGACTGTGAATTAATTTGCAAACGTTTCATTTTCCAGCGAAATTCATGCCAGAATCGACGCCGCCTCCACCACCGCCATACGGCTATCCGGCCCCAGGTATGCCGAATCAAATGGCCCCTCCTCCTCCTCCTCCACCGGCCCCAGCTGGAGCAGCCGCGACTGGGCCCCAAACACCTGGCGCAGCATTGGTCAGCAACGAGAAAGTTCCCAGCGTGATGTAAACGGCTCCACCGTGAATCGCAATACAAATTTTCCAAAAGTAAACTTAAGCGAATCATCACACGAGACGAGAAGAACACAGAAAGGAACGGAAACTTCAACCGAAGAAAACGCTGGCGACAGCGTCTATTCCCAATTAATCCTGCAACTAATAGATCTCTTTTCGATCACACACAGAAACACACAGACATACGCCGACAGACAGACAGACACACACACACACACACACATACATACACGAGATTCTTAGAAGGAAATCGAGCCTCCGTGGAATAAGGTTCGTTTGTGTCGATTCTCCGGGATCTCTGGGGATCTGTGCGAGATCTATCGTGATCCAGATCTCGTATTAGAGTGTACCGGAGCCTCATAGAGATTCTTAGAAGGAAATCGAACCGCCGTGTAAACGATTGAGGATCGCGGACCGAGACGGGATCGACGGTCGTTGGCTCTCCGGGATCTTCAGGGATCCAGACGAAATCTATCGCGATCTAGATCCTGTCTTAGGTGCTCGATCGAGGATGGGAGGCAGTTCCATTGTGCAGCCGACGCGGCCATAGGATTTCTAGGACCTCTTCGTGGCCGAGGAACCTCTTTCGCGAGGATAAATTGAAGAGAACGAGTATCGAAGTTGTGAATATAATAAATAGCGTAAACAGATTAATCACCGAAGCTTCTCACTGTCCACGAAAGCGCTGAATCACGCGAGGATCTACGGTCTAGCTCGCTGGAAATCTTAAACGAAAATCCCGCCGTAATGGTTTCTGTTTCCGTGGGGAGCGATTCGCGAAATCCTCATTCCACCGAGACGCTCGCAGTTGAATTAATTAAACAGATCATCATCCGTCGCTTCCGGTGTCGATCGTCGTACGATGATCCTCCGAACATTTGTTTCGATCCAACGGTTTCAATCAGCACGATCTACGAGCGTGATCCTCGACGCCGTGATTCCTTAGCTTTGTCCCTAGCTGGTGAGACAACTGGTCAGGAGAACGAAAACTAGAGCACGTGAGAGAGAGAGAGAGAGAGAGAGAGAGAGAGAGAGAGAGAGAGAGTATGAGATGATTTATGAAACTGTTAGTGGGCGAACATATGTGTGTCGAAGGGCACGCAGGTGTACATGTACATAAATTACTACGAATTATCGATGTAAGATTATAATATAAATAATGTGACATATAAATAACATTTTAGAGAAGAAGCAAAACACGGGGAGACAGACCGAAAACCGAAAGAAAACGTAAAAAAAAAGAAATGAGCAAGAGAGAGAGAGAGAGAGAGAGAGAGAGAAAGCGAGAGAGAAAGAGAGGGAGAACGTGTAGGAGAGAACAAGAGAGATTGTTAGATACATTGTTTCTTATTAGACTGCGGATTTTTATGCGAAATAAACATTGTCTGCGTGAATTGCAAGAAATCGAAACTAAACAGCAAGTTATTTCCTTCTTTAATAATATATTGCAACAGATTAAAAAACTAATACATTGTCATTATTAAATTCTCTTCATCTTTCTACCATTTTAAATTGCAACTACTCCATTTTGCCATGAATGCATAAAATCCGCAGTCTACTTATTATCCATCGATTGTACGATGCGCGGATGATTTCTTGACTGTTGTTGCCGTTGTTGGATCATTTCCGCGATCTCACCACCTCCTATATTTTCGCAAGAACATAGACGTAGCCTGTAATTAGCAATCTGCACCGTTGGCTAGCACGTGGATTTCGCTACCTCACACGTTTCAACCTCTTTTTCGACTATCGGTAATTACAGAGACTTTAGATTCACGTTGTTTCTATACGGAATTCCCGGCTAGATTTTGTTTACGGAATATAAGACTCGCGCTACCATCTGTATAATTTGTAATCGTCCGAAGTGACAATTGGCGATCGGTTTCGTTGAAGCACTCGCGACCGACGAATGAGAGTTCCTCGTTTCAAGATACCTAGCCGTTTGCGTTTTATAGTTCGTTAGGAAAATTCCAAGTTTCTCGAACATTCCAATCGGGTGTAATTAAAGGTCCCGTCTGGATCGATCGCGCTGGCCAAATTCGATTGATCCGCGAAGGCGTCTCAGTTCTCGCGCGTTTTCCACGAAAGAAAGGGTAGGAGAGCCAGGGTCTTGTTGAGTTTTTCAGCTAGAGATCATGTCGCTCTGCGTAACTACTTCATCTATGTAAAAAGAACACTAATTACTAATTCTTCTCGGAAAGAGGATGCGGAAGGTCGAGGAGCTGTTAGAGATTTTTCGAGTTCCAAATAGAACGGGGGAAAGAAGACGCCTCTCTGCTATTTTATTCGTCTAATTAATCATTCTCTGCCGAGATTTCAGGATCACGCCGAAGAAATCGAATCGATCTCTCGACGCGTCCTTGCTCAAAACGCAATTAAAAAACGAAATCTCCCTGTGAAATCCTGCACCCCCATTTTTCTCCCATCGAAATAACAAAGAAACCTTCCCCTTTTCTCCGAGGCGCTTACCGAATGTCCAGGAATCGATAACAGAACAAAGAGGAAAATAAAACAGGCAAAAAAAACCACTACTTAAGATGTTTGTAAGTACGACGAANTGATCCTCGACGCCGTGATTCCTTAGCTTTGTCCCTAGCTGGTGAGACAACTGGTCAGGAGAACGAAAACTAGAGCACGTGAGAGAGAGAGAGAGAGAGAGAGAGAGAGAGAGAGAGAGAGAGAGTATGAGATGATTTATGAAACTGTTAGTGGGCGAACATATGTGTGTCGAAGGGCACGCAGGTGTACATGTACATAAATTACTACGAATTATCGATGTAAGATTATAATATAAATAATGTGACATATAAATAACATTTTAGAGAAGAAGCAAAACACGGGGAGACAGACCGAAAACCGAAAGAAAACGTAAAAAAAAAGAAATGAGCAAGAGAGAGAGAGAGAGAGAGAGAGAGAGAAAGCGAGAGAGAAAGAGAGGGAGAACGTGTAGGAGAGAACAAGAGAGATTGTTAGATACATTGTTTCTTATTAGACTGCGGATTTTTATGCGAAATAAACATTGTCTGCGTGAATTGCAAGAAATCGAAACTAAACAGCAAGTTATTTCCTTCTTTAATAATATATTGCAACAGATTAAAAAACTAATACATTGTCATTATTAAATTCTCTTCATCTTTCTACCATTTTAAATTGCAACTACTCCATTTTGCCATGAATGCATAAAATCCGCAGTCTACTTATTATCCATCGATTGTACGATGCGCGGATGATTTCTTGACTGTTGTTGCCGTTGTTGGATCATTTCCGCGATCTCACCACCTCCTATATTTTCGCAAGAACATAGACGTAGCCTGTAATTAGCAATCTGCACCGTTGGCTAGCACGTGGATTTCGCTACCTCACACGTTTCAACCTCTTTTTCGACTATCGGTAATTACAGAGACTTTAGATTCACGTTGTTTCTATACGGAATTCCCGGCTAGATTTTGTTTACGGAATATAAGACTCGCGCTACCATCTGTATAATTTGTAATCGTCCGAAGTGACAATTGGCGATCGGTTTCGTTGAAGCACTCGCGACCGACGAATGAGAGTTCCTCGTTTCAAGATACCTAGCCGTTTGCGTTTTATAGTTCGTTAGGAAAATTCCAAGTTTCTCGAACATTCCAATCGGGTGTAATTAAAGGTCCCGTCTGGATCGATCGCGCTGGCCAAATTCGATTGATCCGCGAAGGCGTCTCAGTTCTCGCGCGTTTTCCACGAAAGAAAGGGTAGGAGAGCCAGGGTCTTGTTGAGTTTTTCAGCTAGAGATCATGTCGCTCTGCGTAACTACTTCATCTATGTAAAAAGAACACTAATTACTAATTCTTCTCGGAAAGAGGATGCGGAAGGTCGAGGAGCTGTTAGAGATTTTTCGAGTTCCAAATAGAACGGGGGAAAGAAGACGCCTCTCTGCTATTTTATTCGTCTAATTAATCATTCTCTGCCGAGATTTCAGGATCACGCCGAAGAAATCGAATCGATCTCTCGACGCGTCCTTGCTCAAAACGCAATTAAAAAACGAAATCTCCCTGTGAAATCCTGCACCCCCATTTTTCTCCCATCGAAATAACAAAGAAACCTTCCCCTTTTCTCCGAGGCGCTTACCGAATGTCCAGGAATCGATAACAGAACAAAGAGGAAAATAAAACAGGCAAAAAAAACCACTACTTAAGATGTTTGTAAGTACGACGAAAAAAATAATTATGCGTAAGATGGCTTCACCACATAGGCAGTTAATATCGTAATTAAATACGAGGTACGAATAATAATCGCGATAATTGGTTGAGTTTGAGCGTCATACGATTCGCTGATTGTGGAATCTATGTTCATCTAGGAGATGATTATGTCTTAGACGTTACTGTATATTAGCCTTAAATAAATACAATTATGGAAAAGATACGAATTTTTCTGTCACTCTCCCCAATTTAACAACTAGAACAGGATAGATGATTAATTAAATTTTGATTATTCTCCCCGCAATAATTTTAATCAGTTCAGAACATATCAACGACCGTAAACTTCCTTAATTTGTCAATGTTAAATTTCTTCTAACACAAACGCCTAACACCAATTTAAATGTAATGAGAAAATATTTTCGCAGAACCCGGGCCCTCGCGCAACCTGCTACGTCCCTAAAGTCGGCCATGGAGAACGTAGCGCCGCCTATGAAGAGATTCTTTTAGTAGTCGACCATTTGTAAACATGCCTCCGGTGAGTTCTCAGTCCACGGATAAAAGAGAAATATTCTAAGAATTTGTATAAATCAGTAAAAAATTCCACGGCAGAATGAAACCTAGTGTCGCGAGAATTAATATTAACATAATTATATCGACGATTTTCGAGAGATTACGTAGATTTCGACGGATAACAAATTCCTGACATAAACATCGCATCATTAACTGCACATGGATCCGTCGACAGACAGGCAGATTTTTCATGAATATCTTTTCAAAATGGTAAATTGTTCGTTTTTCAGGCTACCGCGAAAAAGGCAAAAGGGCCAGCACCCAAAAGGCAGACCCTTCGGGGTAAGGGCCAAAAGAAAAAGGTCTCCCTGAAGTTTACCATTGATTGCACACATCCTGCAGAGGACAACATTATGGATGTAGCGAACTTTGTAAGTTCTTTTTAATATCAGACTTTAGTTAACTTACAATTCATGTATTATAAAGTTTTGGACTACTTTCTTACTTCACTGAACCAACCTAACCTAAAGACCTCATAATAAACCTGATGCCACTGTATACTATTGCTTTTTGTTTTAGGAAAAATACCTGCAGGAAAGAATCAAGGTTGGAGGTAAAACGAACAACTTTGGTAACAATATCACATTGGAACGCGACAAGATGAAGCTGTCTGTTAACAGTGATATCGACTTCTCTAAGCGGTGGGTATCGGCATGTTCTTCAAGGAACTAAGATTGGATTATATTGCATTTTGCCTCTACTTTTCTCTAAAATCTTCCAATTCCTTTATCTTATTAATTTAATTGAAACAAAAAAAAACATTTTATTCCAAACTTTAAATAAATGCAGTAAGACTCCCAATTGTTTGGATATGTAGAACAATACTTGTTTATAATGCTATGATACAGTTGGATTAAGATTATCCTCTACAAGAGTACCGATATTTGCACTGAATGAATAAACATGTTCTCATAGGTACCTTAAATATTTAACAAAAAAATATCTCAAAAAGAACAAGCTGCGTGACTGGTTACGTGTAGTGTCCGAAGATAAAGAGACATACGAATTGAGGTACTTCCAGATAAACAGCCAGGAGGATGATGATGAAGAAGATGCAGAATAAATATTGTTTTCATTCTACACAAATTTACAGAAACATCTGTACATATTGCTATTAATAAACAATAAAGAACATTTAACCTGGATTTCTTCTTAAAAAAGGAAAGTCACTCATTGATTATTCTTAAAGATTATTAATATCGGTTCGGTATCGCGCGATCAGTAGACCCGTTTCTAATCTGTTGATCAATGAACAGATCTTGATTCGCGTAAGTACAATCTATTAATGAATTTAGGTACGAAATTACAGCTACACGAAAACAATCATAATAAATCGAATGTTTTGCAATAACACAAAAAGAATACTACCAAATTTATCATTATGAATGCCTCTGCGATTCCCCCTGTAATACAAATACAAAGGCGTGCGTCACCTGACGCGCAGTAATAAAAAACATAAGTCACTCTTTATCACCGACAGTGTCGTATCTTCCTAGGGTTCTCTTATGTTCCTGTGGTCATATTACGCAAGAACTCGTTATTATTATACAATTGGTCCGATCATATTGCTTCTTTTACCGATTCATCGACAAGCAACTACAACATTTCTAATTCAAACCAAGGACCCAAATCTATGTAAAAAGAAATCTGACATTAACTCTTCAATAAAACAAGTAAACACTCTACTCGAATAATTCTTGCCGGTGATGACTAAGAGATTTAAGATCCGAGTGGCAAGAACTACTTGCGTATCACGCATTCACACTATATATTTAATGACCTTCTCTGTAATAATAACACATTCGTGCATACAGTCCCAAAATAAACATCTCAATGAAATATCAACGATTTCAATGAATTCGCGAAAGAATACTTGAAAAACATTTCAAGTCACCGTTAAAAGAATCGCGGATACGGCCCTGGTTTATCTATCAAACACATCTGTGAACCATTCTCCCCAGATGAAGCAGACAATGCGATAACGCTTGGTACATCGTTCCGCTGCTGATAACATATAGCCAAGAGATATCGCTGGATTTCGACACTCGATTTTCAACAGTTTTCCCGTGAAAAATCGAGGGACTATTTCGCATTGGCGTAGAGAACGACGTAGAAACGAAAGAGAGAGAGAGAGAGAGAGGACGAGAGCGGAAGGATATATCGTGTTGCGCAGACGAACTGACGCACGGTGATTGTTGTGACAGAAGTGTAGAAGAGTATCGTATCGTCGTCTATTCCAGTTCGAAATCAGCAAAATCCGTGTGAATCAATTGGGAGAAGAAAATTAATTAATCATTGGGTTCGGCGTGGACTACAAACACCGTGATTCGGTTGTCTGAGGTGTCCCACAGAGACGATGAAGTTTCACTACAAGGAGGGGCACCCCTTTGAAAAGAGGAAGGCCGAGGGTGAAAAAATACGACGAAAATATCCGGACAGGGTTCCTGTGAGTACCAACGTCCAGAAAACGATCTTCGTTGACCGATAAAAATCCGTTACCTCGACGCGGGTGACCGTCGACGAGGAGAACCTATGGGTCGTGATCAACGTCGTTTAACCCAGAACCATTGAATGAGTTTAATTTGTCGCGGAGCTGATTCGATCGTCTGTCCCCAGAATTTCCTGGTCTGGAATGGACCAAGGTCAACTTTCTACGTCGTATTTTCCTCGCAATCAAGGATGATGCGGACTTTTTTGAACTGACAGCCTAATTGAACGCTCGTATCGAATTTCTTTTGTGCGTTTACCTATTACTCGCGCCTATTGATCTTGCTACGCCCACAGCTCTGTAATTTACCGATTGATAAACGAGAGAACCGATATTTTCCTATTTTTCTCACGCAATTCGTTCACGGTTCTCGCGTCGCGCGAACAATTTCCGTGCCAGTCGATGATACGGCTCGACCAGAAAAATGTAGACCAGATGTTCTTACTTCGGAGGTCTTGGATAAGTGTCAATGCGCACATAACACGAATCTCGGATTCGAAACTCTGTTTTGTGATCTTGACAGTCAGCCAAGGTTTTCAGCGTTCCTACGATTCGATTGACAAACCAAACGGGATATTCGGTCAGAGTGATTTGCATTTTCCAGTGGGAATGTAAGATTCGGATTTCCCGATCGAGAAAACCTTAGACCTTGAATAATTTTGAATTCTTCGCGTCCCGATTAGGCGATACACATCTAAGAGATTTTAATGTTTGTTTTTCCCAGGTAATTGTCGAGAAAGCGCCGAAAGCGAAAATTAGTGATTTGGATAAACAAAAGTTTTTAGTACCTTGTGACTTAACTGTTGGACAATTTTATTTTTTAATCCGAAAACGAATTCATCTCCGCCCCGAGGATGCTCTATTTTTCTTCGTTAACAATATTATTCCACCTACATGTTCTACCATGGGTACTCTTTACGGGGTAATTATACAATATGTCTAACCTTGAAATTCAATTATATGTGTACAGAATGATTATTTGGATTATGATCTTGATTATTCCTCTAGGAATACCACGAAGAAGATTTCTTCCTTTATATAGCGTACAGTGATGAAAACGTGTATGGACATTAAATCATAACAAGGAAGACAACATCAAAAGAAAAGAGCGGACAACAAAAATTTGCTATCAATAATGTAGTCCTTTTAGAGGCTTACGGAAGTGTTAACAAAATTGTATCTGTTAAACAATCTTTAGTGAAATTTGAAATTTTAGCACCTCACACACACTAGACCAAATTTGCTTCCTTAAGGTAAATTGGATTTGTTCGTTTATTGATGATAAGAATGACTTACATTTTGATTCCATCACTTGCCGCTGGCTAAGAAAACTTAGGGTAATAGGGAGTAAGGAGGAGTAATCAGGGCTGAGCTAAATGATCTCGTGTCATGTCTAGCCTGATAATTAAAAGTAAAGAAACAAAAAAATTGAAAAAATCATTAGAAACAATAAAATACTGTACAACATAAGGAAAGACTAACATCATTTTTGTTGAACCTATTATTCAGATGTATCAATGATCATCTGAGAATAATTACTACGTACTTGAAAGAACCTGTGAAGAATTCGTGATTCTATGTAGATGTTTCGTGATATTATTTTCGTTTATTTAGGCTAGTGTCAATTGTATTTACATGATTTATTGTTATTCAAATGCAAAGAAATGGAAGGAGTTGCTGAATTGGTGAGGTGAAAATTTTTTGTAATGCCTGGATGTGGGCCAATAAAAAAATATAAAAAACGAATTTTATAAGTGTATAGTTTTCTACCCTTTGTTTCACTAAACTGTCATTTCGATCTTGTAGTAAAGAATGGTAGAAAGTACATGGTCTCCATAATTAATGTGTTTTGCTCGTGGTTTATCTATTTTTAACTTGTTTTCCTCAGACTAGGAGAATGCTGTACTCTTCAGTTAATGGTATTGCTTAGTTCAAGAGTGTTTCCATCTAACATGGAAGTAAAAAGCAACGAAACTAATACAACAAGTAGTTTAATCAAGGATGCAAATATTATTTCTGCATATAATCTCACCCAAGAAGACTGCAACTGGATTGTAACAAATTCCTTTATAATATTTACTATGCAAACGGGTAAAGTCGCCACTAAATAGTATTATGATATAGCAGACTTTATTTTTTTAAATTTCTTTAGGATTTGGTATGTTAGAGTCCGGTTGTGTGTCTTTGAAAAACGAAGTCAACATTATGATGAAGAATGTAGTAGACATAGTGCTTGGTGGATTAACTTATTGGGCATTTGGTTTTGCGACGAGTTTTGGTTCAAATAAACATTACAATGCTTTTATCGGAATAGGGGAATTTCTAATAGATCCCCCTATTGACGATCAACACATGGGTCCAAAATGCGCTGCATTTTTATTTCAATTAAGCTTTGCAACCACTTCAACCACTATTGTCAGTGGAGCCATGGCAGAACGGTAATTATTTAGTTTATAAAGCCAGTTCAATTATTACAATTTATACCATGTAATTACAGATGTAATTTCAAAGCATATTGTCTATTCTCTTTCTTGAATACAATTGTGTATTGTATACCAGCTGGATGGGTATGGGGTGATCATGGTTTTCTGAGCAATTTGGGTGCTGTTGATATTGCTGGTTCAGGAGTGGTGCACCTTGTTGGGGGTAGTTCTGGTAGATATTCCTTCACTCTTTAATTTAATATATATGTAGATACTTTAAACGAAATTTTATTATAGCTCTTGCATGTGCCATTATGTTGGGGCCAAGGCTGGGCAGATATGATAATGGAATTGAGCCATTACCTCTTGGGAATCCTGTGAATGCTATCATGGGTTTATTTGTACTTTGGTAATGAATGATTTACAGATTTAAGATTATTTGTTATACTAATGAAGGCTGATTCTATAAGGTGGGGTTGGCTAGCTTTCAACAGTGGCAGTACATATGGTATCAGTGAACAACGATGGCAATATGCTGCCAGGGCAGCTGTCTCTACAATGCTAGCAAGTATGGGAGGAGGTTTAATTGGATTAGGGTTTAGTTTAACTCATCCAAGTGGAATTGACATTCTCAGTCAAATAAATGGAATTCTTGGTGCTTTAGTTGCAGTAACAGGTGACTTTCACTGCACTAATAATGTATAAATATGGAAAGAAAATTCATCCTTGCAATATCACTTTTACAACGTCAGTTAGGTGGGTGTTTTCTTTTTAGAGCCTGGGAAGCCATAATTGTTGGAATGGTGGGTGCTTTCATTACATGTTTTACAATGCCCATTTTAGATAGGATGCATATTGATGATCCTGTTGGAGCCAGTGCAACACATGGTCCTATTTTTGTACAGTTTAATTATTTTAATGATCATTTGGCTATCATTCTAATCAATTATTCTCATACAGGAGCAAGTGGAATTTGGGGCATAGTTGCTATTGGCTTATTTGCAGATAATCCACAACCACTTGGTACCACCAGTGGAAGAAAAGGCTTATTCAAAGGTTTGTAATAATTGATTCATATTTTCAATTACAAGAAATACTTTACAAGAAATACTTGGTTTTACAGGAGGAGGATGGTATTTGTTAGGTGTGCAATGTCTAACTGTTCTGTGCTTAACATTATGGAGCTTTCTTTCATCACTTTTTTTATTATGGGTAGATTCTATTAAATATTATTTAATATGTATAATGTGGCATCTCCTTTAATCGTATCTATTGCTTAATCAGTATAGTTATTCTTTTTCTAGGTGATAAATAAAATAATTCCCATTAGAATGAGTGTCCATGACGAACTGCTTGGAGCAGACTTAGTGGAACACCGAATACGACACATGCAGGTCTACATTTAAACTACAAAGTAGAATTTAATTGTACATACAAGAAATTCTATAAATTTCACAATTTACTACTTGTGTCTTTAGATAGGTGTTAGTAGAGCCATGTCTGCTCTTCGTCCAGATTCTCAAGATCATGAGTTGAGTACAGTGCACCCTGTAGGAATAAATCCTGGTAAGGTGCATCATTAAACAGGAAATCAACAGGTTTGATTAACTAACTGTGTTCACTTGCAACAGGTCACGATGCCTACATTCAGAAATATAATCGTAAAAATCGTTTAAAGACTGGAAAACCATTACCTGTCGGGAAGAAATCGTCAAAGACACGTCAATCTAATACAATTACAGATGCAGTATTGACCAGACAGAATAAACCGCATTTCGCTTGGATGAAGTGATGTTTTTCGAACGCTGTCTAACAATTTATCGAATGTAAATTTATTAGAAACGTATAAATATATTCCCATACACGTTCCAACGCTTTCGCACATTACTGAGACACGTACGTTGTACACACATTCTTTGATAAATAATTAAAATCTTATGTAGTTACGAATATGATAATTACACACACACCAAAATAGGAAGGGAGTCAATCTGTCCAGAGATCACAGACACAGTAAATACACGTTATACAATATCTATATGTAAGTATATATATTATATTAAGAAAATGTCTAACAGCATGGCACATATGAGAAAGTTATCTCTACCGTAGCAGATCTTCAAATAAAATATTTCTGTGAATAGTAGTTTGTCTTTTATAATCATTACGGACGTAATATTGGACGTTTCGTCATGCTGTCGTTGGCAGGAATAAATTGTCAAAGACAGTACTGATAGATCACAAAATAAATTTCATCTACCTTACTTAATACTCTCGATAGTTCAATCTATTTACAAGTTTGTGATAAGACGCATGTAGCTGATGCAAACAATGATATTGCCTGTAAAAACACGTTAGATAATAGATACAGCAACTTTTGAGAAAATAGTTGACATTACTCCAATGCTTAACTAGTAGTTTTAGTATATGCGAGGGCATATACTACCGAAGTGAACACGCACACTAAAACATTTGTACAAAATACAGCATAGGAAACTGAATTTCGCCTTCTCTAATAAATAGTTGTAGCAAAATGAATTTTCGTATGGAATCAAACGTTTTGCTACTTTCTAGCACTGATGCATTTCCCTTGAGAATCTATGGAAAATATCGGATGCCCGCTAGAAGAATACTTTACATGCTAAAATTACAGATGAGCATCACGTATGCGATTTTCAATGGTACCCATTACCTCATGCACAGATTATCATCATTACATAGTGCTCAATGCCCATTGAGAGACTTCTGTTGGTATCCCAGGATAATTTTTTACAGCATCCATGACTTGTTGAGATGTTAATAAGAATTTGTAATACTGATACTCTTTCTCAACTTTCGAGTTTATACCACTTGTTGGCATTAGTATCTCCAAGTTCTGTGAAAATTTTCATTTTATTTCTTGGTCACCATAATAAGATCACTGTTTCTAGCTAGTCTTTACCTTAATGTGTTCGAAAGCTTTCATAATAACAGGCCTTTGCACACTTTGTATGGACGAATGCTGAGTAGCAAATTTATTATAACGATTATACACCGCTTCGAAATTTAATGGTTCTCCATCATAAATCTCGGTCTCATGTTTCATTGCTATTACCTAAAACGGTGGAAAAATCAGAATATGCTCACTCACCCTCTACAAACCAGATAAAAGTAAAAGGTACACTTACTAAACATATTTCTAAAACAGACAATCCCTCAAGCATCAAAACCTTATCATCCTGAGTAAATATTTTACTAGCCTCCACAAAGTCATTTACTTCCAATCTCTGATGCTTCTCTGACAAGGTGGACACAGCCACTGCCAAAAAATTTCTAAAGCTCCTTTCACTTACATCCATTTGATACATTCTCTTCAACAAGTTCACCATGGTTGCATTAGTGACTAAGCTTTTTATGTAATCATTCCACATGGAACCAAATTGTGGATCTATTGTACAATCATCATATTGCTGCTCTATCCTATTTACATTCTCATCATCAGGAAGACTAAGAAGATGTTGGAAGAGTTCTAAACGATCATCAAATGGAGATGTTGGCTGCTCAGCTGATGATGTATCACCAGGGAATAAAAATATCTGACGATGGGAAAATCTAGATTTAACTCTTTTTTCTAAAAGTTCTATTACATCCAATCTACACGTCATTCCAATCACACATATTGGGGCCTAGAAGAGAGTATTTATTTAGATAAAAATTAGAACTTAGAATGGATTATTGTGTCTACACTTACTTGAGCAGATTGAGCAATATCAAACAAATTATACAACAAAGTCTGGTTGTGATGTTCACAGAATAAATCAAATTCATCTAATATAAAAATAACTGGTTTTGAACGTTTCTTATCTCCAGATTTCAAACATTCAAGCAGAAAAGATAAATTCTCTGCAAATGTACCAAAAACTTTATCTCCAACCACATTTTCTAATTGCATTTGACGAGTAGCATCTTTCAGGGCTAAACGATCATCAGTATGAACAAGACCATGAAGATTTACTATTAGAGCATTCTCTTTGAAACTCTTTATAGATGATAGCTCTTTTAAAACACTGTTAATCAGCTATAATAATAAATATTTATAAGAATGAATGATATAAATATTTAATGGGAAACTTTAAGTGAAATGAAACATACTGTGGTCTTTCCACTACCTCTAGGACCAATTAACAAAGCAGAATTACTTTCCCCCATGTCAACTGTTCGCTTCAATAACTCCAGTACATGCATGCGCTCTTTCACATGATGCCTGAACTTTGTTTCAGGACACATAATCTTGCGTTTTAAATACTTTCTTGTTAATAATATCATATTATCTTGAAAATCAATGGCCATACTTTGTTTTTTATTCATCTTGCTTTCCTCCTAAAAGGGAGAAAAATTAAACTTCCTTTTTGTGTATATTATAAATTGTTTTAACATATAGTCAGCTGACTTAATAAGTTTTTCATAAATGAAATCACTGATTCATTCATACAATAATCAACCGAAAAGCTTACACGTTTTAGGATTTAATGATTTTATAAAGTCACATTAAATTATAATTTGACGAGTGTACATATAGCGTCCCTAATTAGCCAAACATAACCTGTAAATAATAAAACCAACAGTATGCAATACCTTGAAAACGTTCTTGCTTGAAGATTGAATCCACTTAATTAGTTTTGATATTGGTTTAACAGATAGGAGGTCAAAACTTATGTTTCCAGAAATCCTAAAATAATCGAGAATTATCAAATCTTCAGGTGGAAAAGCGTCAGGTCAGGTTGTTTACAAAACAAATATGGAAGACGCAGAATCCAAAACGGACAAGAAAAATTGTACGTTTTTATTCAAAAGAAGGAAGATTCGAAGCACTGCGGCTCGAAAACGCAAAGGAGCAAACGATGAAGATGGTAATTATATTCATGGAATCCCCAATGTTTCGTTCTCGCTTGAATAGTCTATAATTTCATTAGATAAATTCGATTAGTATTTCGTGTAGGTTATACGTTTTGTTTATAATTTTTTCACATATATTTCGAATTTATATTCTAATTAGAGAGCAGCGACGATGAAACTACAGTGGTTAAAAAGGAGAGGAAACACGGAGATAAGAATCCCATGAAACAAAGCGTGAGTAATTAAAACATTATGTTTGTTGACATTGGCAAACAATATGGTTCCATTCAAATGAAAGAACTGTTCAAATATCAGCCAGATTGGAAGGTTTTGTAAATATAGTTCTTTATAGACTAACACAAAGAAGGTGAAAGATCAGCAAAATACTATTGATAATGACACAAGTGATGAGGAGGGCATCACAGTTTCTTATAAAAGTACACGGACCCCGATGCCAGCTGGGCCAAGCGATCAAGGAGCAACAGCAATTTTGGAAACGGAAACGGAGAAGGATAAGGATGCTCAAGCTATATTTGAAAAAGCTCAGAAAATAAACGAGGTATACATTAACATAAATTTTAAAAAATAATGAGCTTTAATATAATAAAGTGTTTGTAGGAACTGGAAGGGAAAGAAGATGATAAAATTTATAGAGGATTAAATAATTATGCTCAATACTACAAGAAAAAAGACACAGCTGCTGGAAATGCTTCCAGTGGTATGGTACGTAAAGGGCCAATTAGGGCACCAGCTAATTTAAGGGCAACTGTTAGATGGGATTACCAGCCAGATATTTGTAAAGACTACAAAGAAACTGGTTTTTGTGGGTTTGGAGGTAAGAGATAAAAGATAAAGCTGGCAATACTGTGTTAATCAACAAAGTTCTATGTATTCATTTCACTTTTCAGATAGCTGTAAATTTCTTCATGACCGTTCAGACTACAAGTTAGGCTGGCAATTAGAAAGAGAAGCAGCTACAGGAGAGTACAACAATAGTGGAGACGAGGATGATAAGAAGTATGAAATTCACAGCGACGACGAGAATCTCCCGTTCAAGTGTTTTATTTGCAGAAACAGTTTCACCGACCCTATTGTTACAAAGTATGTACAACGTTCTTAATTTCCCAGGCCGAAATGAACTCAAGATAATCGAGCAAACCTTCTTTTCAGATGTAAACATTATTTCTGTGAGAAATGTGCATTAGAACATTACAAAAAGAGTACCAGATGTTACATATGCAATGTGCAAACCAATGGTGTATTTAATCCAGCTAAAGAGTTAATTGCACGAACAAAATTGGAAGAGAGAAGGAGGGCAGAAGAGGAAGATGATAATGACTCCTCTGATGATGAATAAACTAGATATCTTTTTTGACAAATAAGTTATTTTTCTGTTGGCTATAGTCCTACAAAATGAATCCCAAATCACTCCCTTGAAACAGTATTAAAGTTTGTCGCAGACCTAAGAGTGCGCAACAACGTTCACAGCAGGCTGTTACCGCGACGAATCGACTATTATTATTATTATTTAACTCACTAATCCAGAATCACTCGAAAAAACCGAACAGAAGCAATTGCACAACCCTGCTTATCCAGAAATCGATGCACACCCTTAAGTTTTAAGCAGTCTCGCGGCTTGGAATTCTTCTTTCGAAACGATTCGCCAAAATGCTCGAAGCATTACCCTCGAATCGGTTCATAAATGCGTTAATAATAACTCCCGGGCAAAAATGAAAAGGGAAACGGGAACGGGTCGACAACCCTCCCCGGCAAAAGGTCTAGATTTGGAAGGTCCGATCTATGAGCCGTTCCACAAACACTCGACAAATTGACGTCGCACCGAATCCGAGGGGAAAGGAATACGCCAATGCTCGCTATACAGGGTGATTTGTACCTTTCTTTACATATTTCAAGGCCGACGGAAACAATTTAAAAAAAGAACATTTGTTATAAAACTTTCTCATTTCCTGGAACTTAAACCCGCAACAAAAGATCTACTCCGTTCCATTCGATAAACTCGACCACTGACTTGAACCGAAAATCCAGTTATCGGAAGAGGACAGTATCAATATTCGATATATGTATATTTATTGTTTCACAGATTTTCCATAGAACCACTCCCCTCCATTTTGATAGGGGTGGCCGGGTGGTCTGGGACGGCCTGTATAGAACGAAGGTAATTCTAACGGCTCGTAGTTGTTCCCTGAATCGATACACGCGCAGTGTTGTTTGCCACACACTATAAAAATGTTGCCGAGCCAGTCGCTTTTCACGGGCTTTCAGAGAATGTCAGAAACCGGGCAACGAACGTTGCAGTGCCGTTCCGTCGCGGTTCGAGCAGACGACAAGTGAAAAAGAAACCGACGGAGGGAGGACTCTTCAAGGCGGACGACGAGGAGGAGGTGTCGCACGGAACGTGTGCGGCTGGAAATTCGAGGGCTCTCGTGTTCGTGGCTTCCCTGCATCGATTTCTGAGACACATGCCGCGCCGCGCGCAAAACCCCGCTCTGTTCTTTGGTGCAATGTGATCTCGCATTTAAACGAACGTGGAAGTGTTGATTCTCGGCCATCGTGGAGAACCGATTACCAGTGCGCTGAAATTGGACCTCCGGAGGGGTGACCGCCGCCGCCGGTTTGAGCCTACTTTCCCCACTGAGGGAGGAATAGCCTGGGGCTGATGGAGACATCTTAATCAAATTACGAAATACCGACGGTTCTTTTCGCAAGGAATTCGGACGGTGTCGACGACGATTCCTCTGGACAGTGAACGAACAGTGAGATAATATGTCGATTAAATGTCCTTCAAGTGGACCTCCGGTAGCACTGACGGTTCCTCCAGGGGCATCGTGCTACCGTGATAACAAGGTGGCATTCATTTCCCGTCATGGCACGACAGCTTGATTTCAGTATGTGTAATCGATAAGCTGATGATCAACGCACTCCGATATTCTTCGACCGTCGTTAGCGACACGTCTGCTATAATACAATTCGTGACGAGGACAATACCAAGGGAAGAGACATTCAGAAGGTGTTGCGTTTCCCGAGAACCTTTTATTAACCAGGTGAGCGAGCATACGTCCGACCTTTATACGAAACTTAATTGCATTTACGGATTAAGAGTTACATGTGTATATGGATGTTGCTAAATGATAGGCTCGTCGAACGTGTTAATCTGTTTGTTCGATAATCTTTTGTCATATCTCTCTGTTAGGATGCATTTAGATTATTCTGCGCACGAATGTCGCGTTCGAAAAAGATATGAAAATATTCGTCGTTGGCTCATTGTCAGGTAATAGCCGAATATACATTTTCTGCTGTTATTTGCTCCGGTTACAAGTGCGAGTTGCATAGCAGGTTATTTTAAAAGCGACACCCGGCCGTCACCCATTGAAATCCAGATACGGCCGACAATGCACGCCGGGAGGCTCTGCTGTCTCCTAATTAGCGATAATCACCGATTAAATACAGTTATCGTTACACCATGCAGAGCCGTGGATCGCCGTTGCGCACGGTGCCACGGAAGTTTCGACCACGGTTGTTCGACGAAGTGTCAGGGACCGAGAGAACGTATCTCTCTCGTCGTTAGCGAAAAATTTTCTGTTATGCGTCATCACGCGACTCCAGGCTCGTCGAGTGCACTTTAACGCGTCGCGACGCAACCACGTGCAGCATTATGTTTCTCCGTCGGACTTGCGACGTCTCCCGGAGTACGACGGATAATTTACGAGCGATAGTTACGATCCAGACAGTTTCAACGATAATTTCGATCGTAATCTCAACGCAACGGAGATTCGTTTATGTCTTTTACAAGACAGTTTACGGACAGATTACTGTTATGGAAATGCGTTTCCTCTTTTCTCTATTTTAAGAAGCTTCTTGTGTTGTCAGTTTACTTGCAATGCGCGCAGTAGAGGCATCGTGTTGTCACGAAAGTTGGCAAATATTTATCTTCCTCGAATATCGCGTAAACCCTGCATCATTAATTGTCTCTTGTGCTTAACTAAGCCGCGGTTTTGAAACGCGAATTTGATAGGTAATTATTTTCTTTAGCGTGATACTAATTTATCTTCTTCCTATCAATTGCAAATTCTGCATTAATTTTAGAGATACATAAATTAATCTGCCTCTGTTCGCAATGAATACACGCGTATGTATATTATCTGTCGCGATTCCCGGTATTAACTAAAAATAAATACACTCGAGAAGCATAGCGGGTGGCTACTCGCTTTTATGCGTTTTTCGTTGATGTTCATTTGGATAATTGACGGGCGTGAAAAGTTGACACGTGGGTGGTGGTATATTCTTCCGACGGATAGGGGTAGCGGAACCGACTCCGAGCGAAAATGTCGCGACAGACAACAAAGGTTCGCGGAAACGTAGTCTCTTGTTATAGTTAACAATGTCACCGACGGCATCGACGCAAGGCTGACACGTGTGGTTGTGTATATGTATATTTATATAAAGAATCGGGCCCTGTGAACGCGTGCTCGTGGGCGTTCGCAGCTCATTGTGCATGTGTGTGTGCAAACGCGAATCGATAAATTAGTTTGCTCGTGCACGTAAACGTGCGCGCGCGCGCGTGCACATGTGTGTATGTGTTGCGATCCTGTGCATTGGATGTGAGTGATGTGACACGTTTTATAAGTTATAACCAATAACAAGTGCCTACAAAAAATGCGCGTCTCCCGCTGTAAACGGTGATGACGTCCGCTGTTGACGCAAGATGGCACCATGAACGCCATATTTTTTTAAATTGATTCATTACTTTCCGGTCAGTTCGTTAAGGCCAAAGGGTATAGAATTACATATTGACACATACTAGTTCTTTTAAAATTCATTTAAACCTACTTCTACCTTGGTTGACCGCGTCCTTCTCTAGCTAGCAACTACAGTCCACTTTGTGCTTAACGAACTTAATTCGAGAGTCTCTCGTCCTTCTTTTGTAATGATCGAAGGTAATCGACCAAATGCGATATCGGAGAAGCCTATGTTTTCTTCCGTATTCACTTTATGTTTTGACAGTTAATTGCTTCTCGCGCGCAATGACTTTCATTTCACTGTCCACTTGTCGATTGTACGGTCCTCTTGGATCTTAACGAACTTTACTTGAGAATCTCTCAACGCTCTCCGACCGCACTAATGATCAAAGTTAACCGACCGTGTGTAATGCTGAAAAAACGGACGTTTCTTTTCGCCTCTTTCATTAACCTCGCTTTGAAGGTAATAAGTAAGCTGTTTATGCACTCACGGCATATTTAACGCCATACGTTTCTCATATTTCTCCCAAGTTTCGTAAATATAAAATATCTTTAATCCTTTACACCTTGAAAACGTAACTTCCACTGCTATCTAAACAGAAAATATAATTTAAACATAAGTGCATATGACGATGCTTTAAATTAAATGCAACTCTCGCCTAGATAACCAAAATGTATTAACGAATTCAAAGTTCTAATGGGTAAACTGTTTTACATGAATTCAAATTTTGGAACCAGGCAACCGATTTTCTACTCACACATTAAGGAACGGGGTAAAATAGGGTTTATAGAATTTATGTTAACAAATTATTATAAAAATGTCTTCAAGGTGCGAAGGGTTAATATAGAAAATAGACTTGTATTATCTCGAAGACTGTGGAGACGGATCCATATGAATTTCGATGATGTTGCAGATGGTTTGTGGCAGTAATGCCCTCGTCGGAGGAGGAAAGTCAGTGGCTCGTTGGCAGCGGGGGTGGTCCCGCATCTACCGGCGGTGGCACGGCATCCGGAACTGGAGAACGCACTGTCACAATTAGAGGAGGATTATACACCGAGGAAATGACGACACAACCGACAAACACGAGCACCGCAGGTGTGAACGCGGCTTCCGCCGATTCCGCCGAACACGATCTCATTGACTCCACCGCTGACGCGACGCTTTTGGCACAATTTCACGAAGACGCTATCAAACAGGTTCGTTTCTCGATACTTTCCACTGTTTTCTCCACTTCTAACATCTGCATCGACTGTCGATTGTTTACTTAATTCCCGCGGTACCATTTCACAATACCGAATGGCATTTGAATTTTTACTGTTACAAGATGAATGCCGATGAGGGTGCAAAAAAAATTATATTTCTAATTTAACTGAGAGGTATTTAGAAGGTCCACGAATCGAGAGATTTTAGCTGACTCGAATAGTTTAACAAAAGAATGTTTCAAATAATATTGGAAATCGAACAATTAAATCGATCATTTCAACTATTAAGGTTTTGTAGAGCGACTCTCAAAACAATGGAGTTAATATAAGTTTTTTCGTATATTTTCGTTGATACAACTGTATCTTATTATAATATATGGTTCTTAAGCTAGAATACTACGAACTAGAGTATAGTTTGATCGTATTTATCGTATTAAACCTAATTAAAAATCGTAAAATTTGAAGAACACTTTACCTAACAACTATCATCTTCCGTCGTTAGCGTCTACAGTAAAATTCGAATCTTCTATATGACCAATTGCGATTCTCGAAATACGTATATCGAATAGTTGCAAATCGATCGATAATCTATCGGAGAGGAGAGCCGCGACCAATGAGCTTATGCAAATTCGAAATCTGTATTTATATTGGCTACTGTGGCCATCGCGACTGTATCGAAATTGTAAAATCTTGCACCTCCCAGAATTCTACAACAAAAACATAACCTATGTTAAATGGCGTCCTTTTTAGATAAGTTGTTTTGTGTAGGGTTTTAATCATTTTTCTCACTGCCACCGCATTAGCTTCCTAGTGCTCCAGCATGGACGAAGTCCTGGACAAATCAATTGTGAAACCGAAATATGAATCGCGAGAAATACCGGGATACCTGAATGATTTTCCAGTAAATATTTGTACTTGTCATAATTTATTTTAAGGTTACATCCATTGATATACTGATCGTAGATATCCGAATTTTTTATTTGGCTGATACAGACAAGTTACCTACAGATGTTAGCATGGATATAATTAATCTACATTCCTAAAATCAGTTTTTCCTTTAAAATTTAGTGTTACTTGTGTAATCAGTACAACGTCTGTTGTCTTTGTGTTTCAGGCTGGTATTGGTTACTTTCAAATATTGGCTACTCTGTGCACTGGCTTGAGCCTTGCAGCAGACACTGTTGAATTTTTTGTTGTACCATATATTTTACCAAGTGCAGAAGTTGAATTATGCATCGAGGACAATGAGAAAGGATGGCTTAGTTAGTTGACTAAAATATAAACTCTTGTCTTGTGTTAGCTTTAACGAAAGTTGTTTTCATACTGTTATGTTATAGGCAATATTACGCTGATGGGTCTAGCGTTAGGTGGATTATTCTGGGGTGGTCTAGGGGATAGAATTGGAAGACGTAGATCATTGTTATCCGCAATGTCTGTACATGCTTTATTTAGTGGTGTTGCTACTTTTATGCCAACTTATGGCACATTTATGATGGCTAGATTTTGTTCTGCAATAGGGTAAGATTTTACTTTCTTTACTTGCACATAGTATAGTTGCACGTAAAGTAAAATTACATAATTTATTCCATCACAGAGTAGGAGGATCTTTACCACTGGCATTCACATATCTTGCTGAATGCTGTCCAAGACTAAGCAGAGGTGGTTGGGTAGGTTTTCTTGTGGCAGCAGGAGCACTAGGAGGTGTTTATGCTGCTCTGTTAGCATTGGCAATAGTTCCCACAACTGGTGAAATGGTGGTTCTTGAAAATAAAGAGCACTTCAGTGCTTGGCATCGTTTTCTTCTATTTTGTTGGTTACCTGCATTATGCTCTACTGTTGGACTTATTTTTATACCAGAAAGTCCAAGGTATTTGGTAGAGGCAGGCAGAGATGTGGAGGCTATGATGGTTTATCAGGTACTTTTACTTATATTTTTTTTTGCAATGTTTAATAAATTTTGTATTAAAATCTCTATGTGTCTTAAAATTTCCATAGAAAATATATAAGAAAAACAATGCACGAAAAGGAGCAACAGGTGCACAATATCAGCTGTCTGAATTGGAGCTTCCAACTAAAAGGCCTCGTGGTTTGGCACCTCCTTCTCCTACTAACCACACTACTGTAATGGCTGATATAATTTATTCTATTGAAATGGTAAGAGTTTGCCATATTATTTGCATTGCAGAATTAATACTTAATATTCATTAAATTTCCAGTTTTGGAATTCTTTTCTGGAATTATTTGTATCGCCGCATTTACGCGTGTCGATAGTGCTTATAATTATTTGGTCAACTGTGTCATTTGGGTACGTGATTTCAATAAATAATCTTATATATAATTTCATCTCCTCACTCAGCAAAATTTCGATGTATAAAATTTCAGTCTGTATGGTCTTATGGTATGGTGCCCTGAATACCTCAAACTTATACGTGCAACGGAATATAAAGCTCATACAGAACGGTATAACGGAAAAGAATATAAAAACGAGACATTCACTGGTTCCTTAGAGAATCGTCAATACAGAAATTCGACCTTTTTTAATTGCAAGTAAGTAAAGTATAGGGAAATCATTCACAATTACCCTGAATTGATTTTTGTACATATATACCTTTTATTTCAGATTTACTAAGATAGTATTCAGCCATGTAGATTTTGACAATTGTACTTTCCAGGCTGTAGAATTTAGTAGTATAAAGTCCAGTAAAACTCACTTTACGGACAGCGAAATTACATTTTCAAAGTATGTGTTCACAGTAGAAATATGTAATGATTTACAATATGAAACAGAAGTAGAATATACAGGACGTGTTTTTTTTTATAGATTTGTGGATACTGATTTATCTGAGCAAGTTTTTACGAACTGTAACTTGAAGAACAATACAGAATTAAGTTTAAGTGGACCCTGCCCGACTCTCGATTTGGATTACAATATTTATATAGAGGAAGCACTCCATGGTCATCTCGTTGCTCAACTGGCCTTTGTGCCTGCAGCTGCTCTGGCAGGACTAGCACTTATTATACTTCAGCGGCCAAAAATGATTCGCATCTCACTATTCTTTTCTTCGGTAGCTGCCCTATGTCTAATTCTAGTGGGTACGAACAGTTCGGCTGTTCTTGGCTTCGAAGGTGGTTTCGTGGCCGTTTTCGCTATCGCTTGGACGTCACTTACGTTGGTCACAGTCGAGAGCTTCCCTACACATTTGAGGCAAGTGATTCTTCAAGTTCTGCTCTATCAATTCTCGAATAGTCGATCAGAAATAGTGATTCGGCTGGACGATGATTAATTGGAGAGTGGTATAATAATAAATAAGATTGATTGGTCTATGAACAATGGTAAAACATAATAGTAAAGTTTATTAATATTCGCAGGTGTACTGGTTTCGGTTTGATAGCGGCTGTTATAAGAATATCAGGTTTGATAGGAACCACAACTTACAAAACTTTAGTCGGCGCACCCTTAATTGCGCCTGCACTGTTGACTGCATTGCCCTTGTTAATAGCTAGTCTCACAACGTTCAAATTGCCTCACACTCATACAGTTTTCTTATAAGGATCTTAACGAGTAAGTGGATGAAAGAAGAAGGGTAAAAAAAAGATACAAAGGCACGCCGTGTGACAACAAAAAGGAAGAGACGTTTTTAATCAATATTTTAATGGATCGTTTATGAACTGCGCTAACGTTTTACATGATTAACACACTCACGGCAAGAAAAATTCGGTCAAGACATTGCGTCTTGAAGTACTCGGAAAGAAATCGATTTCTACCTAGAAAGGTCTGAAGAGAAAAACCGTAAGTGAAGTGTTCCGGACAAGTGCAAATTTTTCAATTTGCAGTAAGCAATCAGGAGAAAACGAAAGATTCACTTTTTTCTTCTCTTTTTTTTTATTTTCCCTTTTCTCTTCAACTTGGAAGTGTGATTTCGTACAAAGTGACATATCCTAAAACTAGCAAACGGATGAATCGTGGTTTTCGAGGAGATAGAAAGGTTTCAATATCCAAAGCGCACAGACACCGATGAGTAAGTCGTCTTGTACGCTAGGAAAAAAGCTTGGACGTTCTACGAGAATTTTCATACAAGTGTTTTAAGCATCAACGAAGGTTATTGTCATAGCTGAAAACAAAATAACTTAGGAGAGAAGAGGAACGACAAGTCGTATTACTGAAATTTGACGTAAGACTTGTACTCCAAGATTATGCTCCATCTTTAAAGTCAACTTCAAAGTCAACTTCAAAATCAACTTCAAAGTCTAATGCAGTTGCGCGATCCCTTCGAAGGTCGTGAACTGTGCATGGATGTTTATAAAACTATTTTAATAGGGCGATAGCCGTGAAACGTGTCAATTGTAACTGGATATGTTAAGAGGCTGAAAAATCATCGTCTACAATGATACGTCGTAACATGAAGGATTGAAGGACCGATACCCACGTGAACGACGTGGAGAACGCATTTTTCGATATCCGGATAGACGAGTTGCTGAATATTATCCGTAAAACAAACATATAGATGTTTTTTCCGTTCATTGTTAGACTAGAGAAGCTTGCATAATTCCAGAGTCGTTGCGTTTCAAACGGTTCGTTCGAGCAAGTTTGTCAAGGACAGTATGATAGAAAATTTTATATACTTGCAATCACTGCATAATGCTTTTACTATTCGAACCAATCGGGATATATTCTAAGAAAATAGGCAAGACCCGAATAACGGTTTTTCTTACTGCGGGGAAAGTAATCAAGAATATATTCAATAATTTTTGCTTTTTATCGATTCAAATAGCTTTCAGGAATTTTAGAAATTAGGCTCAGCTAACGAAGAGAGGCATTATCCGTATTAAAGATAAAAGAGCTGCCGTACAAATCCTAAATTGTTAGCCGAAGACTAAAAAAAGTGAAATAGAAGCTGGCGCTTCGTTTTTAGTATAAATCCAAGAGATTATCGCCTCTAGTCAACTTTTAATCGTCTTTAAGCTTTTATTATTCGCGATGAACTTGACAAAAAAAAAAATGAAGAAGAAGAACACGTCGAACCTTCTGATACTTGCAAACGAGGTAGACTATTATTTTCTACGAGACGGTGGCGGCTATTACTGGAGGTGGTCGCTGTTACATTTATGAAAAAAAAAACAATTTTGCTAGAATTTTAATGTCGTCTTGGGACGACGAGCCAAAGTTAAACAAAAAATACTGGTTCCTCAGAATGGACAACTACTCCTAGGCAATAAGAGCGTAAAATAACTTTTACGAAGCGATTATTGAGGTATCTCATTCTTACCGACACTCAAGATATATTAACTAAGTATATAAGCGAGTTTATTAGCGAGGTATTAAAAAAAAAACAACAAACTGCTGTTGGCAAACTTAAATCAGATACAAAAATTAACGTCCCATCATGGTTAGTGAATTTTTTCATATCAAATTGTTGGCATCTAATTTATTGAGGATAAAATGTTAATGTTGCGGATCGATCGCCGTTTGAAAGAAGTAGAAACGAGTCGAAAGTGCTCCGTTGACTGCACAACTTTTTACGCTATTCTTTTCTTTTTCAGTAATTCATTGTCAAACAACGTGGTCGCTTCAGGAACTAGAAAATGCTGCTCGTTCCTACTTCTATAAGCTGTATTCACAAATTCAACAGTGAAACGAGCATGTGCTGGCGTTGTAATTAGTGATACAAATGTGAAAATTCATGTTAGGTGTTGACACAAGCAAGCACGGCGCGTACACAATTTTATTGAATATAAATTATCCTGTGTCTACGCTATGTTAAGCGACAGATTTTTCTCCTTTGTCACACAACAAAACGACGTATTTTAAAAGCTGATCATTTATTTTAGCCTTACTTGAAATTGGGACCACTTATAGACGCTTAATTTGAGCACAATCACGACGAATCTTGCTTCTAATGATATCTCTATTAGATAGTGGAAAGAAGAAGTTGTTAACACTTCGACTATCATATCAAACATTAATGATTAGATCGCGAATTTTATGCATTTATAACTATGAGTGAGTGAAATATAAAGCAGTAAAAACTCCAGGAGAATTTATATTGTTTCAAAAAAATGTTTATTTTGCATAAAGATTTATAGTTTATTAATGATACAAAAATTGAACAGTGTCTATTTCTACGAAATATAATATCTTGTTGTATGAGAAACGTTGGGAATACAGGGCTGGCAGTCAATGTGTTAATTAAGCTTTTTGTTTTTAATATCAATGAAAATCGCCGGCACAAGCAGTTTCACATTATAAATTGTTGCTACAGCATTAAATTCATTGTTGCCCGTAGGTAATACACTTTACTCAACATATCACTTATGAGCGAGCACTCTAGATTCGTAGGCTTTAACTAGACTATTCGACTAGACATATTTAGAAGTATGTATCAGCAAACGTAATGAAGATGAAGTCCCAAATTGATAAAATAGCAGTGTGTGTGTGTACGCGCGCGCGCGAGAAGGCTGTTAAGGTATTGTCCTTTAAGGATTACGTTTTAGAAGTTTCTTCTAGCGAGCTCAGTAAAGCGATTAACAATTGATAATTTGATTGTGCACGGATTGATTATCAGCTGATCAAACCCCATGATTGCAGCTGTTGAGAAATTTTGTTTTAATGAACCGATAAATACTCGAACGCTGACAAATTGTCATTAAGTGCAATATTATTTTTAATTGTTTCTTTTATCAACAACTGACTTTATAGCTCAAACTACTGTCACTGCACCATTGAACAATTGGTTTGTTAATTATTTTAAGCAGAGCGTTCTATACAGACTGAAAACAGCAATCGGTTGATAATCACTGTGTATTTATTTTCTAGAGACTGTTTCCTAACACTTAAATTTTTAATGTTTAATTATTTATGTAGGATTTTAGGAAAAAAAGGGAACGCTGCGATCTCGAAATTCATAGTTCGACTTTTTCTAATTTCCCATGGCTCTTGAGGGTTTGACATATCCTAATCTTACACTTGACTATCTTGCAAGAATATTTCTTATTCAAATATCCTGACATTGTGATGATCACTATACCCTCTATTCCGATCGAGCCGCTAATTTGATTTTACGAAAAAGTGGGAACTTGGATCTCAAGATTTATAGATCTTTTGCGATTTTTTCTAATTTCCTACGCTTCTCTTAAAGGTCCTGATCCCACATTTATGGGAAATAATGGTATATAGTCCAGTGATTGCGAGGAAACCATCCAAATCGCTGGTTTCATGGGAATTTAATTCTGGTTGCACATTCTGCTGAATATATCTTACGAGATTTGAATATTTCTTTAAGGCAAGCAAACACATTTTTGATTCTCTTATTATCCTACTCACGAGGTACGAGAAAACATATCCTGCCAAATTACAATAATATTACTTGTATGCAATGTTTCTGAATTATATAATTGATTAATGTATTTCTAATTAAATCTATTTTTCTAATTTTGGAGTCGTGTAAGAATAGAAAGCAATATGATTCAACAAATTATGCAACCAGTACTTAAAGAAAAAGACAGTTTATATAATTATTAAGAAATATTACACATTGTTCCAGCAATTGGATTACAGAATATTGTACATTAACATTGGAAACATTCACACCATTTAATAGAAGATATTGATCGTACTATAGAAACAGATTTCCCCTCTTACATGTTTAATTGATTTTATTAAAACATATTTCCTTTTTACTACTTAAATGTAGTCCTCCTTTTTTCTTTAACATTCACGAATCCGTCTTCGCAGATTAATACAATATTACGATAACGATAAGAAGTAAATATAAAAATAAATTTTAATACCTCCAACTACTTCTACAAGCTAGATGTGCAAGCTTGTCTCAAGTAGTTTTTTCAAAAAAAGGTAATGAACAACTGCAAATGAATTAGACTATTAAAGATAAATGTAGTAATCTATATTGCAAATGATACATTGTTAAAATTTGACAGCAATGTACATATAAAAATACTATTTAAACTAGTAATTATTATTATGTTGTATATATCAATTTGAATTCAAAGTTTCAAAAGTTATCGACTGTCGTATCACGTTAGTTCGAGAATCGAAATAAAGTCGTTTCGAGAATCGAATTGAGTGATTTGTACTATAGTTTGTAGACCGTATAAAGTATCTCCCAGTGATGTGCGAGTATTTATTCTTTTATTCCACTGAATGATGAAAAGGCTGAGGAAATCATCTATTTATATAGAGTAAGTCCATAATAATATTATTCTATACATTCAGTTTTTTTTTCTATGTTATTGAAGATTTTTGATAAGAATACGTCTTTGGTATTAATAACCTGCATGTTACAATTTGGAGCAGTCTCACAGTTAAATAAATGTAAATATAGTATTTGAATTTTTTTCGAAAATTAAACTTTACAATTACTTCAATATCAAATTACTTACCTCTCGAACAAGAAGATATATTCCTCAATTACTAATAACGGATCAATGATAAGAATTTTCAGCGCGAAATTCAAATTCGATAGCTTGTCGTCATTTTTCTCAGTGGGTAAAGTAGCGTCGTCAGGTCGGAAAACGAAAGTATCTCCACTTTATCGATCATCATGTAGAAAGAAAACTGCAAGATGAATCATCAATATTATAATCAAATATTCAACAATAATTGCTATTAATCTCTGTAATCGTAAACGGTTCATTAGAGTTGTCAACCAGCGAACTATCATTAAATACAAACAGCTTGTACCGTTTCTCTTAGTCAGAGCGATCTAAAAAACTTGGAAACGATCACGATCGTGTACATGTTAATTAAATCATCGCTAATAATAGTCAATTTCAGCAACTACAAGGTAATCAGAGGAACACCTTGCACACCTGTAACCTGCAGCCACTTCTCTATCGATTTGTTCTCACCGATTGTTGACCTTGAGCTTGACCTTGGACGTGTCCTCGACACAACGAAGCAGCACGAAGAGGATCGTGTCAAACGAGCCCTGACCTAACCTATTCTAGGCTATGTCTCCGTTCTCCGTATACAGACAAAGCCTAGGAGAGGCTAAATCAAGTTACTCCGGTTCCTAGAAACCAGTGTGTCATCGAGAGACTATCTTCTAGCAAATTCACTTGACACAGCTCTTTTCACGTCTTTATGTAAACCTGCGGGTTCAAGGGTAATTTTACAGAATATAAATATGATTGACCCTTGCGTAGTCAACCAAAATGCTAGTATATAAACAACCAAAGTATTAGAAAATTATCAGAAGGAGACACAGTAAACGGTGCTGTATACCTAGTTGTCTACATCAAGGGTTAATTCTGCTTATCATGTGACCTTGGTGTCGCTAACATGGCAACATTTGTTCTCAAAGGGTTAAAGGTACCGCAAAACGGCTTTCTATTCCATGAAATTTATTCCAAGACCGTAATTTAGCTTGACGATCTCTTGTTATCCAGGATCAACCCTTCGAAGACGAATGTCTTCATGTCGGCGAGATACGGGTGCACGAGGCTTTTCCGACGGGGCCTCATTTTTGCTGCGTTGGGCCCGGGATCGCACAAAGAAAGCGTGTCACGCCTAAAAATACGCGAGGCACGCAGGTAGAGACGTGAAAAGGTCGTGGGGGCTGGGAGAGAAGATATAAAAAAAAGAAAGAAAAAGAGAAGAGAGAGAGAGAGAGAGAGAAAAAAACGGCGAAGTAGTTGCACAAGAGCAGCGATTTGGTATTCAAATCGCTAGCCGTGTTCCCGCCTCTCTCGCGGCACAGGTTCTACTCTCTCGTGCCAGTAATACGAACGGCCTTCTTCGTTTAAGTGTTTTCTCTTCTTGTTCTTCCTCCTCTCCCTCCGCCTCTTGCTCCTCCTTGACCTCCGGTTCCCGGAGTGCTGGCTCGTAACGTCCGATCCTTCCTCCCTTATCGCGACGGTTTTACTCGTCCCGCATATCTATCCCATGGAATTGCCACTTTTCTCGTCCCCCGGTGGTAGTCTTTATCGCGGAGTCTCCTCGATGAGGAACCGTCTGGCTCCTCGGTCCAGGCCCCGTCTTTCCTTTCGCAGCTCCGCTCGATTCGCACTGATATCGAATTACCCGGTACACTCGTCGTCGTCCCGCACGACGCATCTTGCCGATTCCGATTGTTGGTCACGCGAAAATTCGATCGACTAGCACCACCATTTTATTCGTTGTAATCCTGATTACTTTGATCTTCGACAGGTTGCTGAGACGAAAGAGAGTCGCAGACCGGAAAGAGGAATTTTGTTCAAATTGGATTGAATCTTATTGCGGCTCTTGGGAGGACACCAGAAGAATTTGAATGTTAGAGAATGAAGATGAAGAACACAGGACGGAGGATGTCTCCATAAGTACGATTTACAAATCATAAGAATACTATCACTTGCGAGTTTATTCAAGCTGTTTAATCCTCAGACGACCAGCAGCGAAAGCGACGATGACAGAGCCCACGATGACACGACCTGGAGGAATTTAAACACGAGAAACTGACCATGAGACGATAGAGGAACCGAGGACACGAGAGTGTCTCCATAAGTGTAATTTATAGATTGTACAAATATGGTCACTTATATACTGGTTCGAGCTAAATTAATCCGCGTTATGGTCCCCAGGTGAACACCAGCGAAAGCAGGAACAGTGCAGGGATTTGAACGCGCGGAACCGCGCGACCCGCGGAGATTTCGATGCCTGCACGTGCAACGTCCGACTGCCGCGGTTACATAAACGGAACCAGCAAGCCTCGGTTATTTCGTACAATTTCCGAATGTAGCTTCACTTTCTCTCGCGCACCAACCGAGCTGTTTCGTCACGAGACAGCGAGCGTGTCCGTAGCGTTTGCCAGCGGGGAAACCGTGCCTGTTCGTCCTGTACCTGACGACCGCGAGTATCCAGCGAACAGTAGATCACACTTTCTGTTTCCGTTGACGTAGCTCCGGTGTTCGCAACTCTCTGTCATAAGCGATGCGATGCGATGCAACAGCTCAAGGTCTACACGACGATCTCCGTCGCCGCTAGTCAACGCAATTAAATCAGCCGATAGAGCAACGCACGAGACACACCGGCAGATCACACGTTCCATGTTGTTTTTTCTCGGCGGACATGCGAAAAAAAGCGAGAATCGCACGGATAATAATGCGAACGGTGATCGGCATACGTGGCACCGGATTGGCCGGCGGCATACCTCGACGACACGCGCGTTTCTGTGCGCTCACATCGGCAACCTGTGCACCCACTAACCACTAACCGGCGATCCACGGGAGGCCAAGGTGTGCGCGCGCCAGGATAATATATGTATCTACGTGCGTTAACCACGTGAGGCCGGCCAGCATCTTTCCACGGCCCCGTCTGGTGGGGACTTCACCTATGGACTGCTCTCTCGCTTCGTCTCTCTCGGCCTCTCGCTCCGCGAACCTTGGATCCCCGGGAAATCGTTAGAATCTGAACGTCGACGAATTGCTTCGCCGCACCGAACTAGCCAATGATCTGTGCAATGCATGCGGGATGGTGTCTCGATGATTAACGTCACGTTTTTGCGCATTCGACGGATTTCAGGCGGATCCTGAATATCATTAGGTCATCTAACAAGTTCGTACTGCGGATTCGTTCGTAGTATGCAGACTGTGTCCAGCTCTCGTATGGCGGATAGTTAGAGCCTTTTAAATCCTTATGTATCAATGTTCTGTCTGCATATTTTTTAAGCTACTTCTTTGAGGTCTATGCTACTCTTCTTATTGGGTTCAGTACGAACAGCTAATGTTTTTTACTCACTAGTAGATAAAGAGTTCGTAATTCTGAATCCAAACCAACTGAGAACCTGTCTTTAGAAGGTTATTGAACACAGTATCGATAAATGACCGAAATACCTAGGATTAAATAATCTAGTTAGGTCTGATATTGCACGAAGCAGCGGATAAAAGAATGGCACGAACTTTCCGGATGCATCGATAAACGGCGGTCGTAGACCGATCCTCGTGGCCGTCTAATAAAGATCTAAGGCGGCGTTCGGCAGACGCAACGCGACAAGATTTTACACGGATCCCGCGCGTCCGCAAATAGCATAAACACGTGCATCGACGATGCAGCTGGGTAAGTGGGTACGGCTCGCGTAGTTCGTACGACCTTCATAAAAACTCGTCGATCAGAGATTGCCGGGAATGTCGAGTGAGAACTCGCCGTCTACGGGGTGGCGAATAAAAAAGTAGGCGCCTGTCTTGGCCAACGAGAGAGTGCGAACGAGACAGTGAGAGAAAGAGAGACAGACGAACACCGGACGCTAACTATTGCGCCCGGGTAAATGGCAGCAGAATGACGACGGGTAAAAACGTAAGCCGCGAAGAAACGAGCTGCGCTGAAACGCGTGTATGTATGGGGCCGCGACAGGGCCCGACACCGGACCGGAAAAAGAACGGTCCTCCATTTATAGATCGACCGAGTCCAGGACAACAGGACTATAATTCGCGGACAGGGATTACCTTTTATTTCCGCTTACCGGACGTTTTTTTTCACGTCCCGACAACGTAATCTGTGCAAAGAGAACACGACGAAGGGATTTCTCGTTCTTGATCCTGTTGGCAAGAGCAGCGTCTCGTCGCGCATTTTTCGCTGTCCAGTCACTCCCACTGAATGCTAATTGGGAGGAGGACTGTAGAAAATGCCCACTTTTGGTCTCGCGATGAAACGTCTCTTTCGAAGATGGAGCTGTGTAGCCAAAGAAGATGAGCCCTAGGTGAGTTCGATCGCTGCCTACTCGTGTTTGCTTTTTTAATTTAAACGTTTTATTCCTAGGAACAAAGTACTATTTTCTACCACTGATCGTGAAGAATGGAATCAAAATGCTATTAATATTCGCACGATGTACCTAAACTAGTAGGAAAGGGGTAATTTGACACGACTTTCAACTGTTTACAAACATGGGTCTGAATGGACCCTCAGCCCGCCTGGCAAGGGTTAATAGTATATCGTTTTCAGGACGATCGAAAAATTCGAGCCAACGGAGAACGAAACTTTCTACGAAGAGATAGAGAGCGAGTGTGGGGCGCAACGTGGAGCCAAGGTCACAGTTGGCGATGGTATCTGGACAACTGTGGGTGGTCTAGAAGGTTTTATGAGTCTATGGCAACCTTCGAATGGATTCGCGGCGCGGGAATGCTCCGGGTCGCAGCCTTGACGATTGTCTCAGAAGAGAAAAGGCGCGACCGAGATTGAATGGGATTTTTAGCAACAATGAACGGGATTCTGTTGATCGGACTCGACGCGACGCGATGCGACGCGACACGACGCTCGATTGATTGAATAATTACGTTCTCCCGTAGGGACAAGTTGTCCCGAACGCAAGGGCAACTGGTTCCGGAGCCCTCCTTGTTCTTGCTCGATCATGGCACCAGGTTCTCCGCAATCAGCACCGACCTTTATTTCGCAATCGGCGCGGCGCGGCCGGTCAGTATTCCGAATTCCCATTTGCAACGTCGAAGATTAAGATGGCGGCGGCCTACGATAATTTATTAACTAGTCCGGCGAGTCAAACCTGTTGGCTTCCATGGCTGGACGTGTTTCGCTATCCTCGTCTCGAAACCCGAGAGAGGAACTGGTGTCCACTGACGCGCGCGCGCGCAGCTCCGTGCCGATGATTGTCTCTGCATATTCCTATTGCCTCGAGGATTCCATGTTTTTTACACTTGGTACCAATTTTTTCACCGGGCTCTTCCGTTCGCTTCTCGATCAAGTTTGACATGCCATCCAGCTTCTGTCTACTAGGAGAAAGCATTGTATTTATACGTCTTAGTAGCATTACATGTATTTATAAGTTATCATTTTATAAATACCGTAGTTATCGAAGCTCAAAAATCTTTATAGTCCTCGATTTTTGAAAGACACTGATAGATGAAATATTACTTGTTCGAGCAAACGTCGTGTCTGGTCTCTTACGAGGCGACAGACCCGTCGGACGCGGTTACACACCGTCGAACGTAAGGTCACGGTATTAAAAGTTGAAAACTGGTTACAAAACGTGTCCCGGCCGAGCGCAAACACCTCCGGAGCCGTGCTCGTTCGTTTTCGAGTCACGTTCCCAGCCGTCATACTCCCCTAATGCAGTAAAAGTGCACCCACGGAGATATAATTTCCAGACGTTTACGCGGATTCTCTGGATTCTTCCGTTCTGGTCCCAGTTCTTAACGGTTCGATATTATGCCGGTACTGCGATCCGCGATGGCGACCGGCCAGCGGGTAGGAAATTCTCCAGCAGTGACGTAAAAAGCCAGCACCCCGGAGGCATTTCTTTAACACGGCGCCACCCGTACAGCCTGTGCACAGAGGTGCCCAACATTTATACCTGCGCGAATCAAAACAGACGACCCCTTATCTTTTCCCGCTCGAGTTACCTCAGTTCCCCAGGGATCCTCCGTTTTAATTAGGATCGGGGATACGCCACCGCCGCGCCACAGTCAGCTAATCCGCAGAACTCGAGGGACTATCTCTGGGCTGATCATCTCCGGCATATTCTCCTTGCAGTAGATTAAGGTGCAGCCAGTCTGGTTTCCTCCCTAATTACTAATGTCTGCTTTAAATTACTTGAAACTTGTCTCTATATTTTAATTTATATTTACGGACTGTTTCAGGCACTTTTCGCTACCGTCGAACGATTAGGTTCAACGTTTTACAATTCAAGGAAGAAGGTACAACAATAACTGTAACGAGACTACAGCGGTGAGCAAAGATTCTATCTATGTGATATTAATACATGTTCAGAAGAATTTGTACTAATATTTCATTTTCAGCTCGCTGGAATTCGTGCGACAAATCTTGCATATGATCGAGGAAAACGTTAGGAAGACTCCCAGGTAAAGCGCCAGGAAAATAATTTCTGTTTAACTTCTGGTTCTTCGAAACGCTTGTGCGAATCCCGATTTCCTCGTTTATTCAAATCCACGAAGAGGCCGACGTCGTAACATTTTATTTGTTTCCAGGTCGTCCATGAAGAGCCGCAAAGAACGAGCTTGCCAAGGGCTCGGACGGGACTGTCTTCAAACGAACACTGAAAACGAGTTCGTTAGTTCTCAGCCTTTCAAATTAGAATTCTTTCTTCGCGTACACGAGTCCACGTAGTAAGAGCATCGACGTTTAATCGGCATATGTCTGAAAGATGTACATCGGCGACCCTGACATTTACTACGATGCACTTCACGCAAACGCTCGCCATTAAGCGCCGTTCACATTCACGCCTCGACGGCATAATCAGTTGTATTTCAATTTCCTCTTGCGTGCGATTGCCCCTTATTCGCCGTTGTCGGTTATGGCATCTTTTTGTCCACGAAAGCGGGCGATTTTCTATAAAATATATTTCTTCCGACGCTAAATGTTTTCATTGTATATACCACGAAGATGTGAAACTGTACACTATGAAGAAGCGTGACTAGCAGCATGTAGAAGCGACTACGACTATTTTACGTACATACCTGTTTGCAAATCGGTGAGGACGTGTTGACATTGTCGTGCTCGCTTGCGCGCGCGTTCACGTGCACGCTGAAAACGCGCGAGAAAACCTGTTTAACGTACAAATATTGAACCGCTACTATGTTCCTCTCGCCTCGTAACAGTCGTTGGCAACGAGAATAACGCGGGTCGCCGTGAATATTAATCGCGAAATCGGCTGGCTCTCAATTCCAGCCTCGAGCCGTCCTTGTTCGAATCACGGCGGAGCGACGCGGAAGCGGTGCGACATTTTTGAAAAATTTTCTGGTTCCTGAAGGAGGGAAAGAAGAGAGAAGGCTAAGTGGATCGCCGGCACACGGAACCGCGGTGAAATCTCGGCCGCGATCGGTCGTTGAAATTAAATGCAAATAGTCGACGCAGCGGTCGACGCCGCTGTAAAATATGTTCCAAAAGGACGCCCGGGGCTGCAGCAATCTTCCTCCGACGATAAGATCGCCATGCTAAAAATAAAACGGTTCGTACACGAGGCCGTATTGAGACCCGGCCGTGCTACGTAGGTACGAGTTGTTGCACGGTACCAAAAATTTACGACGGCCTACGGTACAAGGATTTTATTAAGATTGGCGCCCGGAGGAATGCAAGCTTAACGGGTCGCGCTGGCCCAGCCTTCTCTTCTTCTTCTTCTTCTTCTTCTCCTTCTCCGTCTTCTTCCTCGGCCAGTATCTCAACCCGTCTGCTCCCACCTGAACGCGCAACGTCGGACAAAATGATAAGGCTCCGTGGAAATTATTTCCGTAAGCGTCTCGCACTGCCATCGCCGAAAGTTTCTCCTTCCTTGTTCTGCAATTAAGGGGTTGGAAGACACTCGTCCTTCAACGCTAAACCTACCCAACGCAGTTTTATAAAAATAACACGATTGAGTTTACTTAGATCTTGCGCGACTTGTATTACAAGGTGTGTTCAATGAAAACATCTTTATAATTTCGATAATTGCAAAGTAAACAACTTGAAACTGGTCGTTCGACCGGCGATGGTAGGTTTAATGTTAAACCTTGTAAGAAGTCACCAGGGTGTATAATAGCGTGGAAGAATATATTTGTTGAGATTATGGTTTGAACGATAAAGAATTTCTCGAATTACAGAAAGAAATTGCGCTGTTTGTTTTGCAGAAAAGGAATAGTCGCTGAATCGTAGGTGCAAATTGGCATGCGTTCCGGTTACGGAGACATCAATGCCTGGCAACAGGTATCGCTCACCAAAGAAAAGAAAGGAAAATGGAGGACGTACTGGCGGAGAACGAGACCGGATCGAAGAACCGTGATCCTCGTGATACCGATACAGAAGAATGATCAAGATAAAAAAAACTCCATCCAAGGTGACCGTTTCCATTCTCATCCCTCGGAGAAGTCGGTCAAAATAGACGACTCTTGCCAAAAAAGCAACAGTATTGTCAGTGCAACATTAATCGCTCAGACTAATCGAGCGTGTCGTTACTTGCAGGATTTCCTGTCGGCACGTTAAATAACAATGCTGGGGCCTTCGGACGTCGCAGCAGATGGACCGTGAAGATGGACGAACTGTGCAGCGTCGAAGGCTGCCAGCAAGGTCGCATGTCCCGCCACATTTCTGATGACAGTGGAACAAACGGATCGAAACTAGCACTAGTTACAGCTTGTTCGACGCTTGTGCACGACCATACTCGGTTTACCCGTAAATAGCGGATCGCTGAGACCGGCTGCAATCCTTGCGAAACGCTTAGATTTTTATTCGTTTATCATCGACGAGTCGACCTCCTTTTTCTGGAAATAATCGGATGTCGCAATACTTGAAGTCCCTGCGAAACTTAGTGTGTTTTCGTTATTATACCGTGGCTTTTTTAGATTGTATGTGCAAGAGCGGAGCAAGGGATGATTTTTGCTGTCAAATGATGGTGGGTTTAATATTAACTACAACGTAATTATTAGACTGTGGATCTTCGTGTTAATTTGTGAATCTTTGCAGCTTGGAAGGATCATCAGCGTCGACCTGCCAAGAACTCTCAGGTGCAAGGAACATCCGATTTTGAGAAAATTTGAACGTCGGTGCGAATCGGCGCGTTGTTCGAGGGAGAGACGAGAGGATCGGTGACAGAAAAATCGGACAGTCTCGGGAACTTCCGCTATTTATGTTGTCGATTTGCCGAGCGAACCTGATCGCGGCTCTCGCGATCGCTCGGACGTGGGCGTGAACTTTTCAATAAAGCCGGTCTCTCTTCTCTCTCTCTTTTTCTCTCTCGCGGATGCTTGGCTGAACGCGTGTATCGGGATCAATGACACGCCCGCAGATTCCCGAGAGGTATCCTCTACGAGGTACGTAGAGGCATCCTGTAGAATTCCAACCACCTTCCTCGACTTCACAGCAGGACCTACTGGTTTCTATTTATACACCAAGCGAGACCTTGCAGCTTACGGCTCGCACGCTTACGGACTCGGTTCCGGACCGGTTCAAAGCGTTGTCGGGACCTCTCAGGCCTCTCCAAAGGATCCATAGTTCGCTCAAAATTCATATTTCAGTCGACCGTGCTATGCAATTCCCGTCGGCTTCTTTTGGAAAACGATAGCTTTATTTTCTGATTCTGGAAGTATTTTTCTGTCTTATTTTAATGTACAAAAATGATTTTGCATAATTTTTGCATTAAAAACTTGGCTTGTAAGAGATCTCGAGACGAAAAATTAGCAAAATACTGTCTATAATTTGATAGTGAAGTTCTTACGATCAATACAAATGTTTTCCTACTAAATTTTATAATTTTTCTTTTTCACGAGCGAAATATTTATGTATAGAAAGTATTTATAAAATAAAAACATTATTAATTATTAAATAGAAACATCTATAGATATTCTGAAGTATTTCATTCTTTAAATTGATTACATTTTGATGTCTCGTTAAATGTTTATTTACATTTTTTTTATAATATTGTATATTAATTGAATGAAAGAAGATGTTAGCCATCTAAATCAATTTTATAAAATTCGTTCGTAAAAATGATCTATTTAGTTATCGACTGTTGGTGAATTAGGAAATATAGATCTTAAATTTTTATCTTAATTGATCGATTTGCTGGTAGATGCCGTTTTCATTAATTTTTATGGCGGTTTACTTTGAATTGATTGTCCACGCTAAGGAAACGTTTCGTTTTGGCTTTATCATTGGCATTGTCTGAAAAACTACATTATTAATGTTGTCTCAGCAAAAGCATTATATTTCATACTATTTTATTTTTTAATATAAAATATCCACCAGTAAATTGAATATTCATGAAAAATGTATTCACTCTTGTAATCTTTCTTTTCAGCCCTCTCGTGGCGATTGCGAAAGGTTCTAGGGGATTTCCCAGTAACTTTTTTCTAGTAACAATATAAATTATACTAGTTCGTCACTACGTGGTGCTGAATACATCCCATACAATTTCTCGCTTATGTCACCTCCATTGTATTTCGTGTTCTGCGGTTTCCAGTCATTTCTTGAGCGCGTGTTGCACGGGTTTGCATAGTGGAAACAATAAAGTTTTCATTGAAATATTTGAATATTTAGAAAGAAAACTGCTGCAAGCCTTTATTTTGAAAGCATAGGGAAACTCGTAAGCTCAGAGTTTCCTTGCAAGCTTACGAATAAACTTTGAAACACGCCCAATACAAGAAATCGTGATCAACGTTTCATTCGAGGATGACGAGAACAGCGAGCGGCGATGGACAGAGTGCTCACGGCAAGGCATACAAAGATAAAAGCAAACCTGCAGATATTCGAAGTAGTAACATCCAAGCTGCGAAAGGTGAATAAATCTGCCGACAATCTAATTATATTTTCCGCGCCTAGTTTCTCGTCGATTGATCATCGTACCGGCAGCAAATGTTTCACCTTATATAGTAATGTCCGGCACTACATTGTCGAAATCCATTAACTTCATTATCTTTTTCGTAGACTGATAGATATTCAATATTTTAATTTCTGGAACTTAATTAATGTAGGTAATGATGAAATTACCGACCACTGATAGTAACTAGTTTCTATTGCCTTGGAAAAATGACAAGACTGTATTTATCTACATTTTGTACCATTTTTATCACACTATATATCCAAATAAAAATATTAATAAAATTTGATTTTTTCTTTTATATATGAAATGCATTTGACAATGTTTCAGCTGTCAGTGATGCGATCCGTACTAGTCTGGGTCCCAAGGGAATGGACAAAATGGTAAGCCTTTATAATAATGACATAAAGTTTATCCTTTTGCAATGAATCCATAATTTTATTAATTGTAATAATATTTGTGTGTAACTCTAGATTCAAGCTGCCAATGGAGAAGTTACAATCACAAATGATGGTGCTACAATTTTAAAAGAAATGAATGTTATACACCCTGCAGCAAAAATGGTAATTTTTTATTTATATTTGAGCGTAATCTAATAATATAATGTATCATGAATTAACTAAGATATTATACTTTGTTTTCAGTTGGTAGAGTTATCAAAGGCACAAGATATTGAGGCTGGAGATGGTACTACAAGTGTTGTTGTATTAGCAGGCTCCTTTTTGGAAGCTGCAGAACGTTTGCTCTCAAAAGGAATACATCCTACCATAATTAGTGATGCATTTGAGATGGCCGCAAATAAAGCAGTGGCAGTTTTGTGGACTATGTCAATTCCCGTTGATTTGAAGGATAAAGAATCATTGGTTAGGGCTGCAGCAACTTCTCTTAATTCAAAGGTATATCTTATTAATCACTTTTCCCACTTTTTTTAACATAAGGTAGCAGCTAGTAAGGAACATTGTACTAGATTTTAATTACCAAATTATACTACATTAATATTTCATACTTCTACTCTTAGGTAGTCTTTCAACAGTCGAGTCTTCTGGCACCTCTGGCTGTGAATGCAGTATTAAAAGTTATTGAGGAATCAAAGAACAATGTTGATCTTAATGTAAGTACAAAGATTTAAAACGTTGAAAAATAGAAATGATGTGTGTATAATTGTGTTCCTATTCCTTTTTACAGAACATAAAAGTAATTAAGAAATTGGGTGGCACTGTTGAAGATACAGAGCTGATAGAAGGACTGATGTTCACACAGAAGTCTTGTAACGTGAATGGACCGAAACGTATTGAAAAGGCAAAAATAGGTTTAATTCAATTCTGCATTTCACCTCCTAAAACGGATGTAAGCGATTCATTGATTGAAATCTGTATTTTACTGTCTATTGCCATAAATTTTTTAAATTAAATCAACTTTCCTATTTTAGATGGATCACAATGTCGTAGTTTCTGATTATGCGGCGATGGATCGTGTGTTGAAAGAAGAGAGAGCTTATATTTTAAATATCGTCAAACAAATTAAGAAATCCGGTTGTAACGTGCTGCTAGTACAAAAGTCAATTCTCCGGGATGCTGTCAGCGATCTAGCCATACACTTTTTAGATAAAATCAAAGTTATGGTGATCAAGGATATCGAGCGTGAAGACATTCCGTTCATTTGCAAGACGTTAAGTTGTAAACCGATCGCGTCTTTGGATCATTTCGTGCCCGAAAATCTTGTTAATGCGGAATTGTGCGAGGAAGTGATGACCGGAAGTTCAAAGTTTGTTAAGGTGAGGACACAATTGAAAAGGTGTAGCGCCTAGAAATAGAGATAATGCAACAATATTTTCCCTTGCAGATCACTAAAATTCAGAATCCTGGATTAACGGTAACCATCCTTGTCCGAGGCAGCAACAAATTGGTGTTGGAGGAAGCAGAAAGATCATTGCATGACGCATTATGCGTGGTTCGCTGTCTAGTTAAGCATCAAACCTTAATACCTGGAGGTGGAGCGCCTGAGATCCAGATTGCATTAAAAATGGCTGAGTATGCACAAAGTTTAAGAGATGTTCATGCTTATTGCGTGAAAGCTTTTGCTGATGCATTTGAGGTGAGGTGAAAATTCTTTAAAATATTTTTTATATTAATGCATTGCCTGTCGATCTTTATCTATTAAACATATATGAATAATTTAGATAATTCCGTCAACACTGGCAGAAAATGCAGGATTAAATCCTATTGCAACTGTCACGGAACTTCGGAATCGACATGCTAGAGGTGAACAAACCGCAGGTATCAATGTAAGAAAGGGCGCCATTACAAATATTATAGACGAGAACGTAATTCAACCGATCTTAGTTTCTATGAGCGCCATTAAGCTCGCCTCAGAAACTGTCCGCAGTATATTGAAGATCGATGATATTGTGAATACAAATCAGTAAGAACGAAACAGAGTTTTATACGTAATCTGCACTTTGCAAATATTTCATCAATCGCGATCTGCCAATCACAATGATTAATTGTTGTTCGGCTTCTAACATTTTTCTACAATTTTCTGAACTAATAGCGCTTAACGTTTAATGTTTTTTTTTGGAATATTTTCCTCTGTGTTTCGTAAATAAAAATTGATCTGCTTTTGTCAGGAGAAACAGTCTTCGTTTAATGTTGAAACCATACAAGACACGTTATTTATTGGAATGGCTAATAATATATAAATATTATATATGAGAGTACGGTTGTTAACGAGGCTATACTTTCTTCAAACACTAATAAAATATTTATTAAAAATTATCTGATTCTTATAACTTCTTGCCTCCGTTAATTCGCGGAAGGTATAGTGGGATTACTAAGACGAAAAACTGTAATACGTTCAAGTATAAAAATGATTTTATGCTTTATTATTTTCCACCCTTACAGAGTGTGTAGAATCGAATACTTACGTGTCGTGTAAAAAAACAACTATTTACGCTACGTGTTAAATTATGCTTAAAATTTTAAATATGTGACTGGGTGATTACAATCTATAACAGAACTATGCGCTGCATTTTTATACAATAAAACGTTTTATCGTTATCTGAACAAACTGAACCGTCGTACGTTCTTCGAAATGAGAATTTATAAAAAGCGTTTCAATGCCGAAGAAAAAAAAGTATCAGATATTGCACATAAACATTATAAAGTATAATAATAAGTTCTAACATTTAAATGCAAATGTAAAACCTTCGTCTATCATTTAATAAATAGAATCCGCAGAAGCGTCGCTCATTTAAAAAAACGAATTAAAATTTATATTGGCATATTCGAGCTACTGAAACAAATAATATTCATAACTTATAAACAGATAATGAAATACATCTTGCAGCATTCATTATGCGAGACAGAATCTGTGTATCTGTGTCCAAAGAGAAAAAGAATGATAACAGGACTCATGAAACGTAGTCAAGCAAGCGTCAGACCAAATCTTTGTGCTATCTCTGGCGAATGAGAAGTTGCGACTGCAAGTAAAAGCGGTATATCTGCTGCATCGAGGTCAAGTGCATTCGACAGGTTAGCGACATTGGCATCGCAAAGCTCCGTTGCCATCAACATTTCAGCCAAGGCCTCGCTCTTCAGCCACATTTCTCTTAATTTTGTCTCCAGAATACCTACACACTGAAATTAGATTTACAAATTACTTGACACTGTGCAACAGAGTCATCTTCTTACATATTGCAAATATCCTTACATGTGATGTTGAATGGTATTTTCGCCATATGTAAGCAAAACCCTCCAGCATGTCGGACACAAGTCGCGACATTCCCACTGGCAACGGTGTTGAATGCGACGGCGTGTTGTTGGATATGATTCCAACATGCCAAGTATCTAAATCAGCTAAAATACAGAGTGATTCAGTAATTGGTTGGTCGATGGTCGGGAAACGAACACCAGCTAGGCACTCTTCTCGTATGTAGTACCACCATTCTTTCTCTGTTTCAACCTGGCCATTGATTTCTCTTTGTTTCGAAACTTTCTTTTTCCTTCTCTTCTTCTTGGGCAAACCTTGTAAAACTAAGCCCCATGTGTACCCTGTCTGAGCGTTGCTTGTCCCATGGGACACTTCGCTCTTTATCCTATTCTGCATAAGCGTGTTTGTGAATCCTCTATCCTGCCGCAAATCAGTCTTTTTCATCTTCTTTGTCCTGCAAATGAAAAAAGAATTTAGATCCAGTGTTAGTACTTCGTAGACTATGAATTTCATGGAACTAACCGTGGCATTGGCAATTCCACGACACTGCTGGCTTCCATTAAAGCTTCCAGACTATTTGATCTTGACAATCCTACATTTCCGTCGCCTCCACTACCACCACAAGTACGCAAAACCTCAGTGGCATTAGTGGGCGTTTCCAAGACCTGTTTACCACTGTCAAAATTCTGAGAGGACACATAACCCTGGCCATTACATATTTTGCAAAATGTTGCAGTCATACTGGAAGGTGCACCGGGTGGCGTTTGTATACTCTTAGAGGACTCTGGAAAATTTCTTTGTATAATCTTCCTCAATACACCTTCTGGCAACTGTGCAGACGTGCTTGGCACTCTGGTAAACATGTACGAGCACTGGCAACTGTGGTTAAGACGTGTGCGTGACAACGTCTTCACAGACTTCTCTTCATCGCCTAACATGAAGAAGACTTGAGAATTTTTCATTTCCTCGGCCATGGTTTGGCCCGATTCGAAGTCTGGCCTATTAGAATATAATTTTAAAGTATCGAACGACGTATCGTTGAATCCTTGAAACGTGCTAGATTTTAAATTTGTGAATGATTCCTCTGCATTATCACTTTCTAATTTCTTCTCGAAGTTCCATAACGAAAATTCAGGGCAATGTTGAGCATCAGTCTTGGTCACATCAATATCCTGCGATGCGCTATCACTTACTATAATTTTAACTTTACTGGATGCGCAGGTCTTCTTGTCGACAGCGCTGTTTTCATCTTCATTTCCTAGTTCGTTGCGAGAAAATTCTTTCGGAAGACATTTCATTTCTCGCTCCAGCTCGACTGGTTTTAACATAAACGAGTCAAGATTCGACCCCATAGTGGTGCTGCGCTTTAGGCAACTAATAGAGCTTTCTGCTCTTAGTCTGTCTATGGTGCACCGTGGATACGGGCGTTGTGTTGAAGCGTTGCTGCTCTCTGCATCGCATGAACTTTCATGCACAGGAATTTGTTTGCGAGCTTGCGCTGCGCGTCTAGAAATGCCTCTATCAGAACACGGTGCTTTAGTGTTAAATAAATGCGGACGCTTTAGTCTCGCTTGTTCCAAAAGATTCGCAGCTTCTTGGATGTCGTCTTCGGTTGTGCAAAAGTATTCTTGACGCTTCTGTATGATTCCACTGCGGATAAAGTATGATAAGAACGACAATACAGAGTTAATTAACTCGACTTTTTGAGGGTCCCCTGCAACAACAGTGTGTGCTACCCTTATGGGACTGCCCAAAGCTCCGTACAAGTCTCCTAGCTGAGCCCACAAAGGATTGCAGGGGTACCAAGTACCCATTTTCTCCATCTAAAACAAATTTCACGATATACCGTCTTCCTTAGCAAAGTCGAGCAGTCATTTAAATATTATCACTGATAAGAGAGTCAAAATTATAGTTCGGATAGTTATGGAGTGATTACTGTGTAGTTACCAATTGTCGATCATGAATAGGCAGTGCAGTGTATATCCACCCCAGGTGATATGTTAAGACAGCAGTTACAACGGTACTCAAAAAACTAGAAAACATTAATGTTAGAACTAGTCGATTGATAGTGAAATGATATCCTATCATTAAGTACTCACAAGTTGGTTGACTTAGTGTCAATCTGTTCGAGCAGCTGGCACATTCGTTGCAAACTGTAATTTAAGGTATCCATCTTGTGCTCCATCTTCACTGAATTAAGTAGTACGTCATGCCACAATAAAGGCGAGCGCGTATGCAGTCTCGTGTTAACATTGGTAAGTAAACGTAATAATGAGATAACAAATTTGAAGGAAGATTTGTAAAGCCGTTCCGGAAGCTGAGCCCCCTTGTTATGAGCGATTAGGTTGCTAGATTCTATGCAGAAGTATCGCAGGCGGTCCAACATTCCTTCCAAGAGAGCCATGTGTTCTAGAAGAGAAGCTTCCACTCTACTGAAATTTGAAATGAACAACGTACATTGCACTGAAATTAACACTCTGCATTGTTATAGGATAGAGCAGACCTTTCATGGCCCTCAGCTAGTCGCACTAGCATTGTTAAGCCCAGTCTTGTTTTATGGCGCTTGCCGTGATTGTCTCTATTTTCTGACCCATTGTCATTCCACTGCATTCCGAAAACGTCATCAGAATCTGACCGTGCAAGAGAAGTAGAAACTGCCCGTAGCCATCGACGACGCAAACTCGAGAGACTACCAATACCTGAGGAACCACTGCTCTCCAATGACTGGGAACCTGGATTATTATCAAAATTATACCTCGTACAATGAACACCTATCGACAATGATTCATGCGTAACTTGGAGTGAACTTACTGCCCATCGGCGGTGGTATGTCTATGTCCCATCCACTGCCTGTGCTAGAGCAAGTGGAGTTCTTCCTTGGACCTGCATTCAAGTCTGGTCCCGATAAGTTCGCGGAACTTGGCTGAGAGACTGGAAAAAGAATGATCTATTCTAATATTTGATCTTGAATTCTATCATTGATTTATGCAATGATGGTTAAACAATGGACTCTTCGGTAAATAGCAATTAATGATTTGTTGTGATCGAAAGTGGTTATATAAAGTTTCTTGAATCCTTGGACAGCTTGTAATTTTTGTAAAAAGTACTTGTGAGTTACATCCTTCCATTTCCACTTACAGAATGTTCGTATGCTAGAATTAGAATCCAAGTTCATGGAACGACCCAACCCTTCGTCCGACACTTTCTCACTAAAAACATAATTGTGTAATAAGTCAAACATCGCGATCACAAATCAACCATAACGCGAAATCAATAACTGGCATATCAGGGAAGAACAAGCCTACCTTGGTTTGTACGTGTTGTGGTCTGTAGCAGGGAATACTTTAGTGCACATGATACAGGGTGGCGAATTCATTGAATGGATCTAAAAAACGCAAATGCTTTTTATTATTTAATTGATAATGGTCACTATAATTGTTATTTTTAAGTTCACCTTGAAGGAGGATCCTCTGTATTTCATAGCCACAGTTCCGAATACCATTTCGCTTAATAAAGTCACATCATCCTCGGCCGTTTTTTCTCGCTAAAAAAATAAGACATAATTAGTGAAGTATCGAATTAAATTATTCTTATGGAATTCAATGATTGACCGAAACTTGTCACTACTTACGAAGTTAATTGGATCAGCGGTCGGCGGATTGGCATTATTTTTGAGATCGTACGCCGCCGATTTAGATTTTCGCCACTGCTTTTCCAATGATAAGGAATCAAACAAGAGTTTCCTCCCGCGCGATTCGCATTCCCGAAACAACAGGATCCGAACTTCTTCGGTGCCGAGACATAACGCAGAATTCCTATAAATATTGGATATCGCATGTTAATTAATAATCAGGATAAGATCCGTATGTAGAATTATGAATTATTTTATTTTCGGCGTTTCCGCGCGTACGACGGATGCGAAATGGAAACAATGTCTCCGTTTGAACGTGTGATCATCTAATATTATACGAGCATTGCATGTCTCGATTCTTCCTTATATAACGCATTAATCTACATATAGTGAGTATCAAATTTAAATGTTACAACAATTCCCGCGATTCTTGCCAAAAGCATCGATTACAACGTGCTTGCGGACATAGAGATAAAAACCGTTAGATACGTTACACCGTTTCCGCAAACGGTTTCCATAAATTTTGTTCTAAAATAATCGAAACCCATAATTCCGTGGTCGAAAGAAAATTTTTATACGTTTGTACGCGACGGGAAGAAAATATTTAGCGCATTCGCGTGAAATAGTCTCCTTCTTTCGAATATTTGTAACAGATGTTTTGGAAAGTTTTAACTTGGAGGTCAATTTCACGGCTCGATGCAGAAGCCAAGTCACGAGTGTGTTAGTAACAAGCTGCGATTATGTCTCCCGCCAACGGGGATCTAGAAACGAGCGTAACGCGAAATAGGTTAAGATCCCACGAAAATATTATATCTGATTCAGATTAGAATTCAAACGATTTTTCCCGCGTTCGTGAACTTTGAAAGGGCCGCTATTTTATCTTGCAGCAGAGGTGAAAAATGGAAATGATTTAGGGGCACCGATGATCGATATACCATATCAACGATAGATATCGATGCAAACAATAAAACCCGCAAATATAGAGAAGCACGACAGTATATAAAGAGATAGTCAAGAGCAAGGAGATTGCGATTAAACGAGGGGCTAATGCCCGAAAAAGCAGCAGTTCTCACCTATCATCTTCTTGCGTTCCGACATTCGACGCCACGAACGTTTGGACGTTGTTTTTGCAGCTCCTCCGCGAAGGGAACAGCTTATCGAGAAAAGGCATCATAAACCAACGACCACTTACAGTTACCGCATTGCTCGCTAACTTTGTTTCGTTTTCGGTCTATCATGTCACAAGGAACTGCACCATACATGTTCGCGAGTATCAGTCAACTGTAAATAAAGTCACGTGCGGTGGAGTCATATGATTGTCCGAGATTATCATGTTTCGTTCCGGCCAATACCGAACGAAACGTATCGTTCGTGTTTATTTCGCTTCTAGTCCTCGTGATCCTTCGTGCTTGTCGCCGGAACCGGTTCGCTGGAATGTCGATGAAAATTTTCGAAAAAATTAGGAGAACAGTGGAAGAGAATAAATTTATTCGATCAGGCGACCAATTACCGATCTTGCAAACTGTTTTACCCGGATGGCGGTTACCGGTTACACCGTGTGAAGGCACCACACTCCGTATGCACTTAGCTACCTTATCTACAGAGAAAGAGTTGTATCTGCAGAGCATAGGCGCGGGGTTTAAATTAATTATAAATGAAATATTCAATCGTCGATTTAGCTTATTGTTTTGTACAGTTTCCTCGATTTTTGAAACACTGCCTTACACCAAAAAGAACAATACTCTTGAACAATACTTTTAAAAGCGATTTGTTACGATGAATTCGCTAGAAGTATTGAATAATTGTCGATGGATAATTTAGTATTTATGGTTAAATGAAAACGTTTATGTCGTTGAAACATTAAAGGGCAGAACATTATTAGAGACCAACGTAATCGGGTCACAAATTGCGATGATTAATTTGAATTTTGAAAGTTTGCAAGAAAGAAGGCCTTTCATCCTGGTTTTGTTATTTGTATTCATCAGTTAGATTTCATAACAGATTGTTTTAGATGCAGGATGCGTTATATAGACATATCCAATTTTGATATTCTCGATAATGATCATTAGCAAATTAAGAACTTACGGGAAACATTGAATTCGCCCGTTTTCAATTTCCCTCTCGCGGAGGGCGCCACATGTAGCGATTGACCGTTTGAATGCTGCTCGCTCGAATGTTAACGGACAATTCTCCTCGATTTCCAAGATGCACTTACAAAATGAAGAATGGATTGTTTAACGCGAAAGGTATACAAAATCTTTTATTTATAAGTAAGTTGTTACAAAATGGCTGATCTGACATTTGCATAGGCAATAGAATACTTTCTATCGTTTGTCATACGGGAATAGTAACCTAAAGCGTAGCGTGGCGATTGAGTTGTAAGGATAGAGTAACAGGAATGGGCAATTGTAATGCAATATATAAATTTTGTGTGGCAGATGTAATGTAAGATGCAACTTGATATTAGTGTTTACATATTTGCTCCAATTCTTCGGCTTCAAGGTCAGCTGGGTCCCGACGTACCGGAACATCGAAGTCAACGTTCATTCGCATTTTATTCGCCAATATGAAACGATGGACGTACTCCGCGTCCTTGATATCGCCAGCCGCTTCAAAAGCTCTTTTAACCAGATCTTTATTAGACACTGGCATGTACACAGGAAATTCAACTTTGAACTCGATGACAAGAGATCCTCTTTTGTTCGGAATTTCCGGTAGCGGTAGTCCTTCATTAGGTATGCACTTCCGGTATCCTGGCCTATTGCGTACAAATATTTCTATGGTTATCACATACGTATAAACTGCGTTTATTTATTTTAAATATTATTTATTATATATTATATTATATATTTTAAATATTTGTGATAAAATTTGTTTCTTTCTCGCAAAATAGTCGAATGAAACTGGTCAATCGATCTAGAGGCGCTGTTTCGCGAAAATAACATGGATAAGGGGATTAAGTTCCCGATTTTCCTCAAAATGGCACGTGCATTTACAGGGACCTTTTATTTTCGCAATTTCCGAGGAAAATAGAACGACCGATAAGATCGTTCAGCGATGGAAATAAGAAATGAACGAAAACCTCCACCCGGGTTCCACAGTCATCCATGCTTGCAGGGAAAACATTATTCGGGCGTTCAGCGTAGGTATATGTACTTATTTAATTATTCATATCTCTGCTTTCTATTTTTCTAATATCTTTCTACATTATCTTTTCATATGAAATGACTTAAAATAATGTACACAATTCATTTGAGGGGACAGTGAAAAAATGTGTAGCACAAAAATAAACAGTTGCTATCTTCTTGTTAAAATCAGTGCATGACTGTTATTAAAATATTGTACGTATTATATAATATACTGCAATATATTTGAAGTGAGATTACAAAATGTGATAGTTACCCTGGAAAGTCGCTATATGAAATGTTAATGGAATAACATATTGCTGGAATAAATGGTGTTTCAAATTTATTATAACACACTTGAAAAAGTGTACTTTAATTTGGTAAAATATGCAGTTGTAATGCTTGTAACGTATTCAAGTCTGCCCGGCGAACGAGGAAACGAGAAGAGAGGTAGGACAGTGTGTATGATGGGAAGACGACGTACTTGATGACAGACGTTATTAGGATTCGAAGGGTTCTGTCGTCGAGGGTGTTGACGGTGACCACTGTTCCGGTCAGTGCCTCTCGCAGAAAGATATCGACCGTCATGTGCAAGTCAGAGCCCTCTCTTCGGAAGGTCTCGTGGGGCCGGTCCTCCGTGATGAAGATTACATCCGCTACGCTGACGTGCTTCAGACTGAGTAAAGACATTACGCGAACTGCCGCGATTAACCCATTTCTGTCCGGAACGGCATGCACGATGCATTTTAAACGCATCCTTCGCGATTATTCGAATCGATACCGCACGCCGGACACCGGCGAGCTTGCAATCTGATTTTATTTCTGCCCGTGTTTTCTGAAAATTGTTTAACACGCTTATCTGGCCCCTATCAGAGATTCTCCAGGAGCTATCAGATTGCAACGTAAATAAATTTCGCTGCAACTGTAATCCTTTTTTTGTAATTGAAAGAATTTGGAAATCATTTGTAATCGCTTTTAACCATCGAAAATTAAGCCCGAGGTTCCCAGTTTCGAACAGAAATGATCAGATTCATTTTGAAGATCGACGGTTAAAGAAATATGCTTCTATTTTAGATGAAAAAAATTACCGGGAACCTTGGTGGGTCCCTGGTCGCCCTCTTTCGGGAAGACGATCCTCGTTCCTCTGGGGATGCCCGGTTTAATAGGTATCGTTAGGATCTTCTCTTTCGTCACTGTCCTAGATTTATCGTCCTCCACAAGGACCAATCTCTGAATCTTCATTTTCTTTATTCCCCCATTAAGGACCTGCTCATGTTTACAAGGGCCTACAGAATATATAACTGCCCACGAAGACCCCGAATATTAGACATTCGCAGAAGATACACTCATAGAGGACACAATTGTAGCCTCATCATACGCAGTCTGATAAAAATAAAAGGATTATCAGTTGACTGATGGAGCGCTGGCAGCGAGGACACGAAGAGGATCGTGTACAGTTAGAGATCAGTGTAGTAAGTATCGCGTTGCAGAAAACAAGCGGGGAGATGGTTTGCGGCGGCGATTATCACGTCGCGTCTACGGCGATTAACACCGTGCGAAAGAAAAACTATAAATAAGTAGAACGTCGATATAATACCTCCAATAGGGTTAGGTACAAGGTTTTTATCAGAGGCTCTTCCTTGCGCTTCAAACCGCGTCCCTCGGGAAATTCCAGCAGAGTCGAAGGCTGCGATAGTACATGGAGTAGATCAGCATAAGGCTTGTCGGTCCCAAAGAATTCCCTAAAGAGGTGCAGATAGATCAGATCGTAAATATTCAAAGTTTTTAAGTGGCTGTTAAGCTTAGCGGGTCCAGTTTGCGCCTCCACTTACTGGATTATAAGAAGGGTCACTTTAATCGTATCAGAGTACTCAAAATACAATAACGAAGACAATGAAGAAGCATTAGAATGCCACTCATGTTTCATATTTTATAATTAAAAAAAAAATGGATGCATTCAGCAGAGTGTGAGTACAAAATTTTTGTTTTATTTGAGCTAGTTCGATAACTACCGGGTTTGGATTGTACGGACTTTGCGTGTACCTGTAAGTTCTCATCGGCTCCCCGTGATAAACGTAGGGTTCAATGAAACCTTCTGCGCTCGGCACGCCATTTTTAAGGCCTTCCTCCCCGAATTGATCGTATATGGCCCTCCTAAAGGGATCAGAAAGCACGTCGTACGCCTCGGCCACTAAGGCGAAAATCGTAGCGTAGCTCTGGTCCTGCGTTCCTTTTGGATTGTATCGTATCGCCAGCCGACGAAATCTGAAAATATGTACACGAGGACACGATTCAATGTATAAGATAGTTTCGAGCAGTGTTGCGAAAATATTTTATTAACGTAATAGTCTCGATGTTATTTTATTTCTAACGCATATGCGAATTTTTATGTATTTGTAATTTATACGGGACGCAATGGCTGATGAGAACGCTGGAAGATTAACAGAGTCCCTGTGTTATCTGAAATCTTCCAGCGGTTGAAACACATTTTTCTGTGATTCTGGTTTCCCCAGAAAGGGGCTGCAGAGATGGGAATTTGCATAAACATCCGCAGTATAGCAACGGAGCGTGTCTGTAAGTTTCTACGTCTTCGTGAAATAACAGAACGTTCTCTGTAGGAACTTCTGAAACGAAATACATAATGTCTCGCATAAAAATCATTTGAGGAAGAAAATAGGAACAGTCTCGCAGTTGCAATCTGTGAAACTTGCCGGGGGTCATTACGAAGCATGACTGTGAAAATCTAAGTCAATAATGCAGCCATTCAGTCGCTTAATTTAATGTAATCGTTACAAAGAGAAACAGTTTAAATTAATAATGGAGCTGGTAAATTTGATAATGTACTGTGGGAGGTTTTCTAAAGTAGCTAAAAAGTTGTTACAGATAATGAATCGAATGTCACGTTGATTTTTAGGCAGCGAGAGGTTGTTTCGGGTCGAGAAAGCGTCGCGCGACAGAAGCGGAAGTGAAGAAACGTCTCGCGATGCGGGGAGATCGATAAAGGAAGCGACGGAGAAGGGTACGGCCAATGCAACCGAGAAGATCTCACTTACGCCTGCTTGATCTCCAAATCGTTAGCATTCTTTTTCAACGACAGCACGCCGTAATAGTCTATGCCTCGCTTGATACACGGACAATCTTTTTTGCACGACATGTCTGCTTGCAGGCAAAACGAATAACGACAAAACGAGTCTGTCAAATTACACTACAGTGTACCGATTGGGCGACAATCGACAACTGTTTCTATGCGTTCGTGGCTAACATCAGTGCAGGATGGCTGCAAGAAAAATCCGGAAAAGGATGAAAATCGGTGGATCGTCGTTTGTTTTCAACAACTAACCGCGCCCCTCTCGACAACGAAATAATAGCAACGTTCGTATGTCAGCTCTCGTGATTATTAATCGTCTAGCATTCTGTATTTATTGTTAAGGACGGTACAATAATTTGGTGAAACGTCGAACGATTCTGCGAACAGGAGGATCATTATGGAGGTTTCCGGATTAATTTTGAATCTCGTGCGGAAAGGTGATGGCAACCATTTTTTGTTCAGCACTATTATTGCCTTGATTCTCGATTATAAAAACTATTGTAAGGCGAGCGTCATTAGAGTAGTGTACCACTTGGTCCAAATAGAAGCAATTACTGATACAGTATAACTAAAAATTTTATAGTTTGATTAAATTTATGATAAACTGATTGTTGTACTTCGTGTAATAATGAGATACTATGGTAATGATGTAGCTGCTGCAAAGACGGAACCGAAAGAGAAGTGTTCTGGGGAGCAGGTGACGAGCACCGACGACATAGGATCCTCTGATCAACGCGCATCCATCAGGAAGCCGTATCCTTGCAATTTAATCGAGGAGTCACGGGACGACTGCTCGTCGGAGGCAGCGGAGGCAGCCGGGGAGAGGATATTCAAAGTATCTTTGAGAACGGCTGATGAAGATTTCACGAGCGATAAGGAGAACGGGTCAAGGAAGAAGATCCGCGCGGAGCCGAGGCAGATACTACCCAACAGCCGAGAAAAGAGCGACGAGCAGGAGAAAATCTTTGTGCTGCAGCAACTCGGTCGATCGCAGATACGTCCGGAAGGATTCCCGGCTTTCCTTTGCATCGATGGCCGGATTGCGGACTCGAACGGAGTTAAGCGAAAAATTCCGAGGCCGGCGAACGCGTTCATGCTCTTCGCGAACGAGTGGCGGAAGAAGCTTGCCGCCGAGAATCCTCGGGAGTCCAACAAGGACATCAGCGTCAGGTGGTCTCCTGATTTTTCACCTTAACTGTTCTCCCACTTTTCCTGTTTCTGCTCGGCCGGTGAAATTGTCCTTAGCTCTTCTTCGGACAATTCTGGCATCATAATTAAATCTGCAAACACCTTGTTTAGAACTTTGTGATCCTGCAATGATCAGTATTGTATTCATCAGATTAGGATCATACAGAATCTCTCTTTGAACCATGTTAAATTAGATGATTTGTCAAATTAGGGACATTTTTATTTTGTAATCTTAAGGCTATTTTTGAACCAAGTTAGACCAGATTTAAAATTTTTGTTCTGGGGTTCACCCTCTACATGCGAATGTAGGCAAAATTTTGACACTGAAATGTCCTGTAAAAATCGTTCCCAAACGTTTGTAGCTCGCCACATCTGTTGCAACATTGACAAAGTTGTTCTCTGTGCAGATTGGGCATCCTGTGGAAGAACATGGCGAAGGACGTGAAGGAAAAGTATTTCGCTCTGGCGCGGGAAGTGGACGCGGAGCACAAGAGGAAGTATCCAGGTACGCCTATAGTTCTCCTACGAACCGATATGACCCCGTTCTCGCGTTCGTAGCGGCTCCCCGAAGTTTATCGATATGCATGAATGTTCATGGCGTGCGTTCGGTGGGTACACGGCGCATGGTTGTATCCTTAGAACCATAGCACGAACCAACGAAACCTCCACGGTGTGATAAAAATCTTCCAACCGCAAGACGCTTTGCACATATTCCCTTCGCACTGCGGATTCGCTGCATTTACGCAGTGCGGAAAATTCGCGGCGAGCAGAATTTTTCCAACTACTTCCTAAGCCTGACAAAGTCCAACGACGAAACGATAAGGCTCCCCATGACGTCGATTGCTAAAATTTCCAGTCTACGAGGCGAACGCCGCTCCCAGCCCACCCCTGTTATTTTCAGTGCTGTACAGAGCGCGTTTTATCCGTTTTACTTGAAAATTTTATAGAGCTTCATAAAACACGGGGGAAACATTAAATTTTTCAGTGCTGCACATTCTTCTTTTATCTATTTTACTTTATCGCATAATACAGCCGGAACTTCCTGGTATTCGGAATTCCTGGATTAACGTGTTAACCAGATCCAATTTCCCCATACGATTTTCAAAAGTGAAGATGCTATGCAATGTAAAAACTGTGCTTTTGTCTATTGATATTTGATATTGGCAGATCTCGCGGGAATCAGAAGTTTCTAATTCTAGAACGCTGAACGCACCCTTACGATTTTCAAAAGTACACGATGTTTTAGATGATTTTCAAGATGTTTTAGAAATTTCCAGCTCAACCAGTTTACCCCAGGATCTAGAAAAATGCGAGGCTGCTCTAGACGTCGCACAATTACTATGAAAAACCTGGCACTCGCCTTCTCCGCAGCAATTGCCTAGTTTAAAATTTCGACTTCGGCCAGCTGCAGCCCGCGCTGCAGCCCGCTGCGGCTCGGCACGGGGTTAAACACCGCACGCAAAGTGTTTAAAGCCCGACGACAGTGGTCTCGGCGCATCGGCCGAATATCACGGACAAATATTTTATCGAGCGCGTGGGTGGAGAGAGAGAGAGAGAGAGAGAGCTGAGGAGGGGTGCGCGACGAATTTTTCTCGCACACCCCGTGTACAGAGGGTGTGCGAATAAATCTGCTGGGACCAGCGGTGGTGTAATTGGGGCCGGTTCGACGATCCTGCAGTGATTCGACGACGATCGCCGAAGATGCTCGGCCCTAATGGATTTTGTTCGCGGGCCCGCGGCGGGTCGGACAGTCGTCTGGCCCGCGGAGAGGACATTCAGCCGAGTGAATGCTCAGTAATGCGCCGGGATACGTGAGGAATAATCGCGCTTGTCGGTGGGTGTAGGTAGTAGGTAGGTAGGTAGAGCGGCGGTCGTGTATCGGGCAGGTTCCTAGAGTCGCGTCGCAATCAATACCTCCGGTCTCTACTGTTCCCTCCCGCGCGTTCCCCGTCACTCACCCGAGAATATTTCTCCGCTTGCCACCCTGTGCCCTGTACCTCGACCCGCAAAACTCGTATCGCTCTGCCATCCCACCCACAAATCGACGAGCTGTAATCGCATTTTAGCTCCCCCGTGATCGGTCTCCTCTTCCCTCTCCACATCTTTTTCTCTCTCTCCCGTTATCCATCTATCTGTATATCTCTCCGGCCATCTCTGTTCAACTCCCTGGGCTAATAACGGATTTAGCTGCGAACAAAAAAAAAAGCTGGAAGGAGTTCATCCCCCATTTGGGCCAAAGGGTTACTATCGGGTACGATAGCGGGGAAAGATTGAGAGATCGACCGCCGGCTTTGATAAGAAATAGTAGCGGTTTATTGATCGCGATTTTTCAGGGCGGAGCTGGTTTTTTTCCGGACGGTTTTTGAAATTTTTCCGAGGCGGAGGCTCGGAGGTTCGAAAGATTTTTCGTACGTCGAGTTAACGTCGTATGGAGTAATTTTTGGAATTTTTAAGATCGGAGGTAAAGTTTGGGGAGGTTGCGCACTTTCGGGGGAAGCTTGCAGGGTGGAGCTGAGGGACAGTCAGGGGAACAAGTTTTTAACGAGTTTCTGACATTGGTCTTTGCTGCCATTTGTTTCGGATTTCAATGCCGCTGTAAAACCATAAAAAACCCGCGGTATGACAAAAGTGTATTAATAAATCCCGAAACATTGAAATGTCAAGGTTATTGCATCAATATCATGCTAAGGATGTGCTGTCCACAATCGTTTCGATAGAATTATTAAAGAACGAAAGAAATCATTGAAATGAATACCGAAAAATTTTGTATTGCTTAAAGATTCGCAGTCTAATAATGATCACAGTTGAAGTTGCTCAGATTCGTCCCCGGTTTTGTGTAGGAGGGTCCGAGTTATTGGGGTTGATAGAAGTTGAAGTTAAGTGGTGAGGTTGATGGGTCAGGTGAAAGCCAGCTGTAATAAGGGAAAATGAAAATTGAATTAGTGTCACTCTCTCTCCGCGCGGTGGTTTCAGGCAATACTTGTCGGACAGACTTAACACTTCCCTGGCCGGCAAAGTTGGACAGTAATTGATTATTTTCTGATTAGCGATACTGCGGCCATTTAAGCAGATTTGCGCTCCGATTGGCAAAATTTCCGCGATTCGAGCTTCTCTTAATACGGTTCCACTTTAATGCTTGCAATTACAGTGTATGATAAAATAATCGCGATCATGGAAGTGCTGTTAAACGAGGCCGAGCCGACAATTAAATAGAATAATAATAATGGGAGATGTGAATTCGACAAACGTTAATTATTAAATGTTCCGCAGCAATATGCAGCCTGGAAACCGAAATTATTTTTGGTTCAACCTGATTTTCGTTATATCAACTTAAGCGTTTCGTTATGCAGAGAAATTTGTGCGTTCGCAGCAGGTGCGGACTCGCGGAATTATTTTTATCGCGAGGAATCATTCGGTCAGCGAAAGGATTTTTCCGTTTGCGTCGGCTTCTATAAAATAATCCGTCAAAATCCGAGATACTGCACCGATATCTGCAGGCTGTCAAAGATTTCGTATTTCTTGTATATTTTGCTTTTTTACGAGACGGTATATTATCGAATCACCGAAACGTTCGGTTAGGCGAAAAGAACGGCAGCGCCCGAGACGGCTATGCTACTTTTTTAAGGAATTTCGCGGTGTCAGCATACCAGTTGCGTATGCCGCAAATGCATAAAATCCGCAGTCTAGTCATAATCGATCCTTTTGATTACGCTTCTGCATTTCGACCCGTCGACATCGTTTCGGCGATGAGAATTGAGTAATAGAGGCCGGATGGAAGGGGATCTGGGGTTGGCCGAGGGGGTTGACGGGGACAAAGAGGGCGGAGGATGCAGAGGGGACGCGCACGTTCGACTGTTCTAACCGTTTTAATTAATTGGGAATAATCCATGAATGCTGTAGATGAACCGATATACCGAGCGCAAATAGTAATTGCATATTAGACGGATCGATCGCTTCGCTCTTAACCTAATCTCGTCCCCCTTCTAATTATCGTGTTTACATTACAATCGATCGCGAAAGCCGGAAAGTGAGGAACGTCTATCGGCTAGCCGCGCGTTATCGCGAAAGAAACACATGCTGCGTTAAATAAAAGCGACTCTTCGTTCGACTGAAATAATAAAATCCTTTGCCGTCGTTTACACTAATGTTGCGATGTTTAAAATTCAATGAAAGTGCGAAACATTTTATACTTCCCGTTCAAAAGTATCGTTCATAAACATGCGATTTAATTGTAGAGATTTTATTATATAAAACTGAACATTTTACAGGCACGTAAAGGAAACACAATCGATTCGTACATCTGTTAAACGTAACCGAGACAAACACTATATACACTGTCAGGACACAATTGCGTACAGGTAGAGGTACGACCATCAACAAATTATTTTTCTATTTTTCTGATTTCAGTTTTCTGTAACTTTACAAAAGTGAGAACTAAATTTCCTGTTTCACTATGTTTTAGTAGTCTCCCCTGGAACACGATGGGCATCGTAGAACGGCTTAAATTTCCGCAGCGACCTCGTGCACACCGTGTCGCATCGTTTAGATCTACAATCAGCTCGATTATCCGAAATTAGCACTAGAACTACCTGACTCGTCTAGCTAACCAGTAGGCTGCGGATCTTTATGCGAACCAAAAATCGTCTTGATTTATGTCAGATAATAACAATATAATAATAACAATTATAAGCTTATAAAGATTCGTAGTCTGCCAATAAGTTAAATATTTTTCATCTCGTAATAGTAGTCCCGAAACAACTGCTAATGTTCGAGCGTTTGCCATCGTCAAAAATTGTACAACGTTCTGTTACGTTAAAAATACCATGTAAACTAGTTGTCACAACATCTGGTTACGTTCAACAGGCCGTGTAAATTGGTCACTAGTAGTACTCGGTAGTTCTAGTGTCAATGCTTGGTGGGTTCAGCGTTAAATGACCACCGGCAGTGGTAGCGTTACGATCGAAGGGCTGGGGGCAGCAGCCGCGAGAAAATTTCTGGGCCGAGGTGAGCCCGAGGTGAGAGATTCGTGTGCGAATCGGGGGAGGATATATCGCGGACCGGTAAACGGTCTCTCCTCATCACCGATAGCCACCGCCGGTGCGCTCACTGCTGGCTGAAAGTTCGAGGGGGTGCAAAGATCCAAGCTAAATTCCCCACTAAACGTCGGTCGCGCAATCGACACGAGTGGGGGGTTGGGGGGTCGGTTGCGCGCCTCGGCCCCGAGCAAGCCCGAGTGGTCAATTAAGATCACCGGGAAGCGTCGATATGGTCTGCGCGAGCGTTCGAGAAACGCGGCACGGCGAGAGCGGATTCGCGTGCATCTGCGCGACTGCATCGCACGCGTGACGATGAGAGAGGGGCGGCTAGTGGTTGTCCGCTCGGCTCTGCTCAGCTCTGCTCCGGCTTGCCAGGGTGGAGAAATCGCTCTTGAAACGACACCGGATACAAGCTGCAGTCTGCATGCACTTTTGTCAAATTGTTTAAGCGTTCGAATGGGCCTTTGTTCTTGTAAAGGATTAGCAATCCGTCCCTCGACTGTCTTTGATGTTTGCAGTCAGGGGATACTTGATGCACTTCAAAAACTGTTCTTTGGATTGTAATAAAACGTGTAATAGAGAGGTTGAAGAAATTCTTTTTCAAATTTATCTTTTTATTCTGCTCATCGTATCAAGATCCTCGGGTCATTTGTGGCACAGTGTCACAGCTAGGATACTAAACAATACTAGATCTTCTATTTTTATTTTTTATTTAATTCAAACGGGACAGAAATATTAAGATTTGCTACTGCAAATTAACTGTAATTACTGCTACAACTAATGTTACTGTTAGAACTTTCATCAGAGACTCTATATTAGGATTTCTTAACACAATGTTCAGAAGGATAGAAGTTTCTAAATTGTTAAAAGTTGCACGGTTATAGAAAAAGGAAAAAAATTGGTGTTTTTTCATGGAATGAAACGGGCTTGCGCATGCAGCAGCGAGTGTGATTCGAAAAGCGATTTCCACACCCTAGCGATCCGCTAGTTAGCCTGGCCTGGTCTGGCGTGGCGTGGCACGGTCGCGCCAAGGGAAGCCGTCAAAATGTCGAGGCTCGTGCATCCAGGTGGCACGTCGAGCCGAAGACACGAGTCGGGGGAGGAGTCTCTCTCCCTCTATTCCTCGGCGTCTGTAACGATCGCCGGTCATCGATCCGCTATCGCATCAATGCGACGCTCGGTTGCTCAAGAAAACGAGCCACGTCGACGTGCTCGTTCCTCGTCGGACTACGGGCTGCGACGGGTCCGACGGAAAATCGCGTCTTCAAGCTCGTCTTCCTGGGAATTTCTTATGGTAGGCCGGAGGAGGAACTTGAGAAATTGCCTCCTCTCGCTACCACTTGCGGAGACTGCGGCTGAACGTTTACTTCCTCCATGATTCGGATATCTTAATCCTCTGCCGGCGTTCCATCTGTTCTTGCTTTTCAAACTGAATCTTGCGAATCTTTGTTATTTTATTAGCAAACTTTTACGTTTCTCTATTCAATAGCGAGGTAGAAAAATGGTTAAAATTAAATATTACTTGTAGTCCAAAACTTCTGTCCTGGAATGTGCCCGGTTACAATCAAAGTCTACTCGCAGACTAAGAGAGGATTTATTTCTTTATAAGTAGACCGAAGATTTTAGCGTTCTCGTCTGTTCAATATCAAGGTAGAAAGATTGTCAGAAATGAATATTGCTTGCAGCTGAAAACTTGTCTGTGAATGAATCTTAAAATGAAAGTCCGATTGCAGAGGATTTCTCTTCAAAAATTGTTCCCATATTGAGCCGGCGGTTCCCGCAAGAACTGCTATGTCTGTTGTAGCAAAAGTATAAGAAAAACTCCAGCAGAGAATAGCCGAGACCATCGCTAGATCCATGCGCGCGGATTTCTCTCCTGAGGCAGATCTCATGGATTCGAGCGGTTTTAGGGGTGGCACCGGTCTGACGGCGTAAAGCGCGTAAAGCGTAAAGCGGCCGACTTTCTGGGGATAGATATTAACCAGAGAGTGGAACAGATAGAACGACGGCTTTTCTAACACTTATCGACGCATCCACCGAATTGACGAAATTGTTTATTAATGGAAATAACGGCCGAGGAGACTGCGGCGCTCGCGCGCAAGTCTTCCTGGTTGTCGCGAGGGTTGTTGGCCCAGCGGCTCCACAAGTGTGTAATCACCTGAATTACAAACTTCTCCTATTATCTTAAACTATATTCGTGTAAGCTCGGTCGAGCACGGGAATTACAAATATATTCGTTTTTGGGGATCGCGTGCTCCCGGTGAAAAATCTGCTTTTCCCCGGGGAGTGCTTAATTTTGTAAAGGTTTTCTAAAAAGGGAATTTCTTTTCATTAAATAGTGATTCTCGCGCGGCAGCTATTGCACAACAAACATGTTAACAATTCTGTGCAGAAAGTTCTTGGTTAACTTGGAAATATTTATTTATTTTATTTTATTTTTCTAGTTTTCTCTAGAAACGTAGCTGTGGTTGGTCACGTTGGTAATCTGAATACAGAAACATTTGCACTTAAATCGAACTAAGGTAAAGCATGAAAAAGCTTGTCCATAAGAAGAGATTTCGAATAGCATTTAATCCCTGTGCAATATACTATTAAACATTGAATATTTTGCAGATAGGATGGAACGATTTTCGATGAATGAGATGCATCCAGTTTCATAGTCCATTTACTGTCTTTCCATAAAGAGTGATTCGGAGCTAATTGAGCGTTGAGGCCAGAGCAATGTAAAACTGTTCAACCGAGTTGATTTCAGCATGCTAACGCGCGCTGCGTTTAACAACATCCTATCCATCGACTTACGTACACGTTGCGACGACAAACTGCTCTAAATTCTGGTACGACTTATTTCTTTATTATTTTCTATTACCATTGTCAATTTTTAATACATGATCTATACTTTTTTCAATCAAAAATTCAGAAAAACTGAGGCGATTAAGAAAATCTCTATTCCTCTATCGAAAAAGCTTGCAAACCTGTAGGAATCCTATGTACACATTCTGTGTGCATGGCTGACCACGAACATGTTTACCCCTTGTCTTGCTCTAACTCCTGATGAATATTTCAAACAAATTTTATTAATATCGCACGGGTCGAAGTGATACATTTCGCTATTAATAATATTCAGTACTGAGCGATTTGCAACGTTTTCCTTTTTTCCCGGAAAACTTGAAATTCCGATGCTATTACAATTTTCTGGAAATCTGGAATATTCTCTCCCTCCAGTGATATTCGCTCATTAAAACAATGGTACCGCGTTACATTAATATTCCAAAAATCAGTCCAAACAATCGCTCTACATTCAGCATAAAACAAGGGTCAATTCCAGCCTGACCAGACACTTACGTATCCCTAAATTTGGTATTCTGATGTTATTCACTATCGCAAAACGAATACTGTAATTTTTTTTTTAAAGACAAGGATACCTTGTCATATTAATTTTCGAGAAATCAGTTCAAAACCATTGTCTCGTGAAGGTCTCATTTCACCCCGACCAAAATCCCACTATGAATGGTACCCGGCAAAGTTCCACCAGCGAATCTAACAGTCGAAATTTTGCGTAGCGCCAACCCGGCAACCGGATCGAAAGACGATCGTCGAAATCTGCGGAGAGCAGGCCTGGCCGTAAAATCAAACGGAAAATCGATGGTGCAGGGTGTCGGGGAAAGGAAGCCGGCGAGCCGGATCGTCGAAACTGCGCTCGGTTTGAACTCTGTCCGGGTAATCGATGAGGGCCGTCGGTGGAGGGAAAGGTAGAGGCAGAGCGGCAGGCAGCAGAGAGAGCGGCAAGAATAACACGGTACATCGATCAGCTTCCGAAACGAGTCCACCGTTCGATCGTCCCGACGCACACACGTCGGCGTGGTCGTCGACGGTGGCAGCAGCCTAGCTGGCCAAGCCAAGGCAGGCAAGGCAAGGGTTCGTTCAATCTGACGGAAAGATTCGCGGCGTAGGATCAAGGAGGAAACACGGGCGGACGGAATCGATAGACGACGGAAGGGTTTCTTTATTTCGCGGAGAGGGCCGAGACGCGGCGGTGGTGGAACGGTCTGGCCTCCTCGTGGCTGCGTCCTCCTCCTCCTCCTCCTCCTCCTCCACCTCCTCCGCCTCTGCTTCAGCTTCATCCTCCTTCGCTTCATCCGCCTCCGCCTCGTCCTCGAGGGTGGGGAACAATCCTCCCTCTCGTTGCCACCCTTCCTCCGGTTGCGCGTCGGGCCGGCGACGTCGGATTCGTCGATGACGAAACCGTTCGCCTCCGTAAATTCGCGGACGTGCACGGTGCTGCCGCTCGCGAAAATCAGTGCGACCGGAGTGCACCGCGAGGAAGGAACGCGGGTCGACCCGTGCGCGGCCTGCGGTTCCCGCTTGCGGCACGCGCGCCTCTCTTCTCTTTCTGCAAAGCCTGCTGCTGCTGCCTCACCTGGCGCACACCTTCCGCCTCTCTCTCACCCGCAGATACCGTCAGACCGCCGCGGAAATAGGTCGACGGACGCGCGCGCACACACGAGGATCTCGCGACGGTAAACAGTGCCGACCGCGGCCGAAAACAGACCACCGACCAGTACCCGACACCTACTATTCGCCCGTCCGTACGCCGCCGAGCCTGATTCCAACTGGAGACAATAGGGGACGTGGCCTGGCTCACGGAGGGAAAATATGAACACCCTGGCCGAGGCCGAACTCGCCCGGAGCTGCTATTTCTGGGAAACCGTGATCGGTACGGACACCGCTGTTCACGGTTCTGTTTAAGCCGGGAGATTGATGCTGGAAATCGTGCGACGATCGGCATGAACACGTTCGAGGTTCTTTTGTTTGAGTCGCCTATGGGTGCAGAATATTGTACGGTGCTGCATGAAAATTGAAACTGTAAACCTGGTGTGTTGATCGGTATGAACGCTGGGGATCGAGGGTGTCAAAAGTTCTTTAATCAAACACTGAAGATTGTTCCATGTTCATTGAGGAATTCGCTGGACAGAAGTTGATGTTATTGGGAAACAATCATTCTGGAAAATAATCTGATGAACAATTTCGAGAGGTACTTGAAGAGCCACGTGAAGAATCGGTTGCCGAGGGAGCAGGGGATGAATTGATGGCCCAGACCCTTCCGGTCCCATTCTGTCGGTGGAGTGACCGCGTTACTCTGGTATCGAGCCAGAGGTGGTAAATAAAAAATCGTGCGCCGCAGGAATGAAAATTGACGCGTCTAAGTCGTCGGACAAACAAATTGCCAGACAAAAGTTGTTCGGTCAACGGAGAATCGATCCATGTATAAACACTTGTAAATTTTCAGAAACCTGCACGGTCGAGGGCTCGTGTGTCGCGTGTCGGGCAGGGGCCGAGCGTGGAGGAGCGTGAAAACTGAATTCGTCTCTCGAGGAACAAGCGTTGCGGAAGATTCGGTAAATAACACGGACTCACGAGGACGCAGGGGGTTGAACAGTCAGAGTCGGGTCCAAGGGGCAGTCGTCGAGGTTGATCGAAGTGTTGGAAAAGTGGCGGCGTTTCCTCCCATTGAGCTACCCCCGGCGCGGCGGGTGTCGGAGAGAGGGGGATATGAATCCCGGAGAGAGGGAAAATACGAATACTGCGTCGGAAACTGCACCGTGAATTCGGAACGATAAATTTGATCGAGCTCGGGGGTGTAAACGGTGCACGGGAGCGGAGGCTTGACCATCGGCGGCCGATCGATCGCCGGACGCTGCCGCCCAGCAATCGTCGAATTCGTCGCATCGATCTCGATCGACAACCAGCCGGGACCGCCGAAATCGAACCGTGAAGCAGACCGGACAATTTCGAGCTGAAACATATTGTTCGGCACTTTTGAAATTCGACCGAAAGACAATTACCTTCGATGTAACGTAAGTTCCGCGGAAAGATCATCCGCCGGAGATCGGGACGGGAAACCGATCGATCGATCGCTGCACCACCGGAGCAATCAAAGGACAATGAATCCACACCGACGAGGTTCAGTGTCGGAATTTAGGACACCGGAAGACAAAGGTTAACCGAGAGTCGCCGAAGATCGCGGACACTTGTGAGCTCCGTCTGGCACATGTGATAGCGAAGAAGCTCCCGGTGGGAGGAACGGTGAGGGAAAACACACACACACACACACACACACACACACACACACAGAGGGAAAGAGGGCGAGAGACAAAGAGGGACAGACACAGCGAGAGGGGAAGAGAGAAGGAGAGGAAGAGAGAGAAAGAGAGAGAGAGAGAGAGTTCCGCGGGTGCGTAGCCGGCGAGCCGATTAGAGGAGGTAAAACGGGAGTGGGAAGGGTTGGAGGAAGAGAAAAAGCTTCGAGCATCGATCTCTCGTCCCCGGTGCAGCTACCATGACGCGGCTGGTCGGATACGTCGAATCGTGTGCACCGTGGGATCGGCGAGCCGCCTCGTGGCCCTGGAGACGCGATCGGCCGAGCTATAGTTAGTCGGGTGCAGGTGTCGAGCTAGGCCAGGTGAGGACGTCGGGGGCGATGACGGCGAGGAGGACAAGGACAACGTCGCCGGGGACGACGATGACGCCACGCGCGACCAAATTACAAACGCTGGGTCTTCCCGACGGAATGCAGGAGGCCGATCGAACGCCTCCTCGCGACGACTCGCCCGCCCCGTGCGTGGTCTTCCCACGCAAATTCGATTCGGTGACGCGTACACCATGCGCTGCTCGTTGAAACGACTCTCTGTCCGGCGACAGAACAACGGGCTGATAAAACTGTTCCGGAGATAGCGCGCAGGAACGGGCCGAACCGATTTTTAGGAGACGCTGAAAGAGAAAGAAAGAGAGAGAGAGAGGGAGAGATAAAGAGAGGGAGGGAGAGATAAAGGCAGATAGAGAGATAGACAGAGTTTCGTTCGAGAAACTCCCGCGCCTCGATATTTACCCGCGAAAACCAACCGCTGATAAGCAGACCCGGAGCGCGCAAGCGGCTCATCGGTTCCACCGATAAGGACCCGCTTTTCGAGCAGAGATGGACTGCTGCAACTACGTAGAGGCGTACGCCGCTGGGGGCCACTTTTATCAGCAGCAACACTACTTTTGCTACGATAATCCGAGCCCTGTATACGCCGGCTACGAGCCGGCGCCGATCGCCGCCGCGATCGACAACAACCCAAGGTACAACGGACCTGTGCCGCCCGGCTATTCCGCAGGTAGATCGTCGAGACATCAGTCTCATTGGTTTCCTCGATCGACGCCGACTTTTTTCCGGCCGATTTGCGCACTTTGACGATAAACCTACCGAGCCCTTAAAGCCAACGTGTACACTGCTTCATAACGGAAAGATTGTATTTATTTAGACCTTTCGCTAGTTTTATTATAACATAAACTTGGATTGAGAAACGAAGATTTTCTCATTTTCAACATTTTCTATGAAGATCTTTAGCATTTCAGCAACTTTAGAACAAGAAATGTAGAACCGGCTCGGTAGGTTTAGTGTTAACATTCGAACGGCGGATCTTCTCGACTCTATGAATTATGAAAATGATGTTCTCAACATATTTTTTGACATTTTAAAGACTAGTCAAAAAGTTAGTGTCTCCCATATATGACCGATGATGCGACATTTAATGCGTTGGGGTGCTCTTTCAGGACACGTTTAGTTTTGCTATAGACTGAGATAAAATACGTTAAAATTTAAATAATAATAACACGCCGTCCGATTGTTAAGTACGGTAATACCTCTGTTAAAAATCACAGATGTTCGAATCATAGAACAGCTACTTAGTTATAGAGCTAAAGATTTAGTGACTTGTACGATAGATTTTTGTATATAGATCATCCTAGCTTGAACTGGAACCTGTCTTAGAGATTCGGATAATCGAGACTCTATTGTGCCATAGTTTACCTTTTTGGAGGAAAGATTGATTAGACTACGGATTTTATGCACTTATAACAAAAGTGAGCACGTGAAGTACAAAATAATAAATGCGGAACATTTTAAGAACGTTGTTAGATTATTTTCCACCTGTTTGTAAATATTTGACTTTTCATTTTCTACGAAGTAGCCTCGATCTATTTTATCTTCCGCGACCCATTGACGATGACGATATCATGCTTCCACCTTTGTTTAAACGAGTCTCGATGGTTTCGAAACACTAAATATTTCCGAATGCATGCTATTCGATTAACCATAAGCGGTTTAGGAGTTGCACCGCTCGAGGGGTGAGTGATCTTTTGCGCCTGCGTGCGACTCATCGCGGACCTAACCGGGGCTGCACAGCTCGAAGGGAGGAAGATCCAGCTTTACGAAAGTTCTCCTATTGATGGTTCTTCTCGCTTCGGAAATCTTTCAAGTTTGTTACGATAGTAACGATTATTGCTACTTCCGTGACACTGTTACCGCGCGATATACCGCGAGTGTCGCTACTAAATGGATTTTATGACCGTTAAATAGAAAATGACTTTTAAGTGTCGGAGGTATAATAATCAGTTTTCATGGGTCCAGTTTTGATGCGACGGTGAGGATTATGGTTCGCCTGCTATAAAGTCCTTTTCCAACGGCGATTTTCGTATTAACGACAATATCAAACATTCCCGATGACACAGAAACGATGATCGTACAATTACGAGGTTCATCTATCGTCGGCTTATTGGCCCGTGAATCATCGTTACCATCAGATATTCCGAAGTCGTCTGTCGTGCGCTAACAATTATTGCAAGCAATTCGATATGTTTGTTCGTTGAGAGTATTGTGTCGCTGTTACTTAGTAACTTTAGCGTTTCTCAGGAAGCTATTTCCCATTTAACGCTCATTAACCGAATATAATTTTCTTCTAGTCCAAATCAGTTTATTTTCATACGGGCGAACCATTAGCGGAATTATAGGAAGAGTCAATGTTAAAGTCTCAAGGATGGCGTTCCGCGACTCTTATCTACTTACTTGCACAGTCTCCCGTCACCGCGATAAAAACAGAACAAATTTAAACAATTTCGTGCGCAACTCGTTAACAAACCGATCTCTTCGGCACGATCAATCGGATCCACTACGTTGCTCTAACATCTCTTCCATGGCAATCCTATGCTATGTTTCTTATGCCACAGTTCATTACGCCTTCAGAGAACGTACTCTGCATCTTTGAATTTCCAAGATGCACGGAAGCATTATGCATTTTTCCAAACTGAACAACTTCTTCAAAACTGTACCGAATCTGCTGAATTTCTCTGAGACGATAAAAGCGTTAGTTCGCTAGCAAACAATTCTTTTAGAGACACTCCAATCGAATGAAACGAAAATAACAAATACAGCGAAAATTTAAATAATGCGCTTTCGTCGAAATTGCAGGAAAAAAGATGTTCCGTTTTAGAAGGTGTCCACGTCTGTATCTCAGAACTCTCAAACGGTTTCACAAGTCTCGAAACAAAAGATGCCGGTCGCATTTCGACGATCATCTATGCTAACGTCGAAACCATTTACCTGTGCAGATTACGTGTACAATCCTAAGGAGGCCAGGCTGCGGAAGGCGATGCGTGAGCAGAGCCGCGAGCTGTCCAGGCGATCGATCCTCCAAAGCGCGATCGCACGAGCAGGCGTGATCGCCGGTCCAGTTGGGTCGACCGGTTTTCTGGATCACCAGCACCGATTCGGCTGCGTTTCCGCTTCCAGTCTGCCGATCAACCCGCCTCCGCCGGTCGAAACGGACCGGGTGCCCGAGTCCTGGTTCCAGTCGGCGACACCTCGGCCGAAACCGATCCACTCGCCTCGAATGGCCGATTGGTACGGCGAACCGATGGACAGACTGCAGCAGGCGCACGCCGCCGCGGTCGGGATGCACCAGCGCACTTTAGACAAGTGCAAGGACCCTGCGATCAGGACTCAAACGAGCGTGACCGCCGGTGGTCCCGATTGTGGCCCCAGCTTCCCCGCAGCTGGTTACCCTGTTGACTTTGCTGATGTCAATCGGGAGAGAGAGCTTCGACGGCAGGAGAATATCCAGGAGTACGGTGAATTCACCGACGGCCAGAAATGGCACCCCTATCAAGTAATGCTTCGGACCTGGAGTCTGTGGACCCTGTTAACCCTCGTCTGGTGACATAGTCGGTGTCCCTTGGCTAATGTTTATTTAACTTCATATGATAACTGCTAGTGAGACTCTGAAGAAAGAGAAAATGAATGCACCGTGGATGTGGCTTCGCTATCTTGCAAACTAATACAATTATCGCCTAAAGATCCACAAAGTAATCATGCCGGCTAGAAGATAGTACGGCGTTGGGTTCATTATCAAGTGCCTTGTAATACAATGGAGACCACTGTGACCATCCGAGGGTTAAACTGTGCGGCTATTTTTGTCTATTCTGTTCTTTTCGCGAAGATATCGATTGACGGTTTGGTGCATTCTAGAACGGCGGAGGTTCTCATCAGCATCCCAGGTCGTCGCACCCTTCTCAGATGAGCGGGATCCTTCATTCGAACGTTCAGAGTCCGGGCTCGCACGGACACGGGCCATGGGGCCAATTTTGCCACGGCGTATTGCCACGTGAGTGTTCCGAGATCGCTTCAGTAGAACGATGGATCGGATGGATCCACCATGTTGAATGTTCTCTGCGATTTCAGATGTACCGACCATGCCTCGAAACGTAGGAGTTCGCGGACCACGGCACACTGTCTTGCTGCGGGACCGCCTGACCGGCAGACATTGCGGATTTACTGAAGATTCAGCACGAATGCCGTACGCACCGAATAAGCTCGACGTGGAGAACATGCGAGCGTCGTACTCGTCCTCCGAGCATCAGGTCTCGCCTCTATTTATTTAGGAGATTCCCTTCTTTTAGAGGTCGTTTAAATTTCGACCTGCGCGTGATTCCACACAAGCGTTCACAAAAGTCACAGTAAATCAGAGCGAAGGGTACAGTCGGATAAGATGTTCGAACGTACTCAAACTAAATTCAGTTTTACACCATTAAATAGACCATTCAATGAAAACTCGCCGAGCCAAGTTTCAAGCGAGCACTCCAACAAAATGATAGCTTACAGATTGAAATCGAATCAAGAGATTAAGTTTCATTTCTTCTGCTCTGCTTAATAGAAAATTATGAAAAAATTCACAGAGATCAATTTGTTTGAACATTAGATCATCCTATCTGGCGTAGATCAAAATTCGGCTATTCTTTTTCTCCTGTATATCCTTAAGAAGCGATATTGTAAATGTTAACGTTTCTGACACTGTATTGCAGATGCCAAGACTACTTGAATCGTCAGTCGACTCCATGGTGGACTCTACACCGTCAAGGACTCGACGGGACGATGAGGGATCTAGATGGGAGCCGAACACCATCAATAATGGAATTTCAATGGAGAACTTGACGCCGACCACGGTAAGATGAATCAGGAAAATCATCAGAAACGACAGCTCACTATAGGATTAATGTCATTCATCTAAAGGTGCTAGGTGTCCAGACAAGCCAGTATGCAGTAGTGAACATGCCAACATTGAAAACATTAAGTCTATCGTTCACAGAAAGATCACAGACAACGCTCTTAATAATCAGAAATCTCTGAATTCTGTATAGCAATCTCTAACACCGGTTTCCATCAACAGGAATCGAGTGGTCCTCGCGAGAAGGAGCCTCGCCGCGATCGTTTCGAGCCGAAGAAGAAGGCCGTGAGCAAGCAGCCGTTGCCCGGATTCCACCAGGCGTTCGGGTCGACGGAGATCGGCCGGTTCTCAAGGTCAGAATTCTTCGTGAACATGGTGGGCGGCGAGACCGGCGGCAACGTGGAGGTGCCGGACACCGAGAGCCCCGGCGTAAGTACCGAGCGAATGCCGGACGTAAACGGGGCCGGATCGGCGAATCACGAGGCCACCGGAGCCGCAACCGCGGTCACCGCGACTGCAACCACAACCGTGAGGAGCTTTAACGGCGACGAGAACGAGGAGGCGGACTTTGACGAGTCGAGCAACGAGCTCGTCGCTCCGACGTCCATTAACATGTATTGCGGACAGCCAGCCGCCCCTCGTTGGCATAGTCCTCACGTAGGCGCTATAGGTAGCGAAATTTAAGCGGATCTTTAACCCTTTCGTGGGCCGCAACGTTTCCCGAACGGATCGTCAGCATCCTCGATCAATATGGCTGCGTTTCGCCACTCGAGATGGGATCCGACTTCGGGAAACACTGGTCTATGAAACAGCTTCAACAGGTTGACTGCCGCGTGTCAGCTGAGAATTTTTTATTCAGATTAAAAATTAGTTTTTATAATTATACAATGTACCCCCCGAAGGACGAGATCTTCAAAGCTTAAGAAGGTCGTAAGAGTACTCGGTGAAATATATTTTAATTTTATTATTCTCGTTTCATAAATTCCTTTGATTTTACGGGTTTCCTGATGTCGTTCATTTGGCAGTCAAAGTGTTGAACAACTATAACGTTGCGTCCAAGTATGTAAAGAGTATGCTACGAGTAACACGACGTCGATAAAGAGACTAGTTGTACACATAGTTTAGTGTACAATTAGACAGTCGTTCGGATATACTTTGTCGTGAAACAATCAAACGTGTTAACGCATTGGCTCACGATCGATTGATCGTGATTACAATAGTCCGTTTCTCCTGTTAGAGTTAAGTAAAGCGAACGACAAAGGCGAGACTACCAGAGACACCAGTTGCAAATGATTTGGCCGTTCGTTGAACATTAAGAGACACTGGCGAGAGCGGATCCATTTCGTATTGCTGCCGCTAGGACTTTCTACACGAATTTTTCATTGTTTGGAAATGGTCCAGTTCTTCTTATCGCTTTACCTATCGAATGACGATTAACTGTATTAACCCATTTGCATCGTTAATATTTTAATTCATCTGGACTGAAATAACTTCATCGAGAACACCTCAAAATGTGGTTTCTAACAAGAGAAAAGAAGAGGAAGAATTCGTTAGTGCACTGCATTATGTACTGACAGCTTGAAACAATGTTGTACGAAACGATTGGTGACAAGGGAACTGCGTTCCATTCTTCCTTGCGATTCAAATGGATTAATAGGTTTCTCGCGAAACCTCAAGAATTTCCAATAGTACTCGCAAAAGAAAGTTTTATTGATCAGTGTCGCTCACGTTAATTTCTTGATTAAATCACATTGATTTCTAAGATACCATTAGTTAGCCGTCCGATAGGTAAAGCATTGAGTATAATTACGCGTGAGTTTGCAGGATTATCTTAGTTTAGAAAGTTCAAATGGTCCGCGAAGGGGATTAGCGATTCGCCCAGGACGGCTTACCGCGTCCACTTTTATTTAGGATTAAATTACTGTCTTCGACGTCGACGACGCTTTGTACAGGGTGAAGACTCCATCTTGAGTCAGTCCATTTTTTGTTAATCGTGGCGATCAAATCGCCCTGTGGACGTCTTCTTAAAGCGCGATTCGTTGATTTCCTTTTTCATTTTATACGAGAACAATAAACTTTTCTTCGACTTGTACAAGAGCAACGGACTTCGGAGATACGACGTACGGAACGTATCGGCGATCCATGCTCGCCGAGATTGTGCCTTCCAGGCGACCGTGTAAAGCCAGAGTTCGCGGTCGAGAGAAACACAGAAAAATCAAAAACAGCACGATATCCGAGCGTCTCGTACGTCAGAAGCTGACCGAGCAACCCGCAGCATCACGGAGAACAAATTCGATGATCGCACTTCTGTTAAAAATCCAATCAAGATTATGTTAGATCCACCGTCCTCGAAATTCTAGGATTTTCCGAGGAAATTTTGCAATTCATTCTAAGATTTATCTAATCTTAGATCTAAGTTTGGGGAACTAAACTGTTAGAATTAGGCTTCCATGTTGAAGAATTCGCAATTTTGTGGACAGATATTGAATTGTGGGAAATGATTATTGAATTTCTAATTGCACGAAAACTTGTAACTTTAACAGTTGTAAACTTGTGAACTCTGAGAAGAATTTTACGATTTTGAGGACTCTGAGGAGACTGATAACTTTGAGGATTCCAAGATCCTCGAGGTCTGCCGTATCCTTGTTATCTATTCAAAAGTGATTGATTTCTAAGAGCAACGGAAGATAGCAACGGAATTAGAATAAATGTTGGATATCTGCGGGTTACTTGGGCCAGTCGAAAAGTATAATCAAAATGTGTCGATGAAAGAATTCGTTCGACACCTTCCGTCAAGTTGTTAGGTATCGTCGACGATACACGAAGCTAGTGTACGGACGATGATGTATGGAAATATATTAAATTATATATATATGTATACATATGGATATATATATTCAAAGAAGTATATGTATGTATATGCATATGTATATGTATATATATATATTTAAAGAAGTATATATATATATTGTACTTATGATAATGGAGGAACGAAAATCGCGCGACAAAGTATATAAATAGTAGAATTTTAGACGACACGTATTGCCGCGCGGAGAAACGTATAAATAAAAGTGAAAACAATGAAACATTCCGCACGCAGGAAGTCGAGGGGCCGAATAACAACCCTTCCGGTTTCGGGAAACAACCTTATTCGAAGGGATTACACGGTACTTTGTATTCAGAACTCGCTCGCCTAAGCAAGGAACGACCGCTCCTGTCAGGAAGGAGATATACGCGATCTTAATATCTCTATACAATATCAATGAGCGCAAAGCGACGAAACGGATCGACGAATTTCTGAGTGGAAATCGTAGACGATAAGGATAGCTAATTGAATTTTTTATATACCCGTTTTATCTCGTGTATTTATTGTCAGATTTATAGAAAATTGGGAATCTTTTCGAATTACTTACACCGGACAAATCACGTTTTAAACGCCTGGATAAGCCCGTTGCCTTCTCCGTAATTATTGATCGCGGTACCGTGATTGTTTATCACGATCTGTGTTTCCTTTTTTCTCAAATTTCCGAGAAACGAGTGAAAATGGTTTTGGCAAACAGTATAAGTTTCTCACCGAGATGAACTTGATATTAGGGCAAGGGGTTCATCCATTTCTACGTTCTTCAACACTAGAAATACCAAGCGGTGTAGAAAATTAGTCTTGAATTTCGAATCGATACGTTCTTGAATTTCGCTATTAGAAACACGAAATTTGTTCTCTTTTTGCTTGAATCTCTGATTTCGAACATTTTGTTCGTTAAAAATTTGATATGGATTGACCTATTTGGTAGTTCTAGTGTGAAGGATGTTGAGGAAGTTGGAGGCCTTCCGTTCCATTTTATTCGACGCACATTCAATTTTGGTACTCGAATACGAACGAGAGAAAGAGAGTTTTTAAAAAGGTGCTCGAAACTCTTGGACACTTCGAGAGGCTTTCGTAACTCGCGTTTGCAAACCGCAGTTTCAGAAAAAGAGAGAACCCAGTTTTTCGCATTTAACCGGTTCGATTCCGCGCGTTTATCGATTTGATAGAAGACGTTTTTTAAAACCCAGCACACACCGAAATCGAGGACGAGCAAACGAATTTTCGACGAATATATATTACTATACTTTTATGACCGAGTTCTGAATCCCCGTGTCGGCGTTCGCGAGCCACGTTGATCGATCGATCGGTACATCGACTTGAACAGAATAATTCATGCCGGCTAACCCTTGTACCTATCATGGGACCAAATCAAAAGCGAAGCTTTTATTTCACGTTCACCGTCGCGCTTGCGTAACACGTATTGTCGCGTTCTAAGGGAAACCATAACTTCTTCTTCCCTCGTTCTGTTCGCTCGACCGCTCCGGATCGAAGGCGAGGATCCACGTTGGATTGCACGATCCTCCTCGATCCCTCGTATAAAGCTCAAAAAGTACTAAACATTATTCTGGCAATTATTATTGTGAACTTTCTTTCAAGAAATGATGGATCTATTAAAAATAGATCGGCAATCTAAACTCTCTGCGAAGACTAAATAGCAGAGTGGATCTTTATGCAAAGTTTAAATTCATATTGGAAATGTGTTCGAGACTGTCCATAGTACAATGCGACGAATCGTTGTGCATCGCGACACAAGCGAAAATCTCTTGACGTCGCAGTATGCCCGATGCAGAACGCGTTAATTAAAACGATGAATCACGAGGATCCCGAGGAGCATCATGCTGTCCAGCGTGACGCAACGTTCTGTCGAGCAGACAGCTTGAACACTGTTCGATTTAGGAAGAATGAAACGTTGAAGGTTTATAATTATTATTGTCCGTAGGCAACACCTTCGACACAGGTGTGCACCTTCGTTTACCCTTCTATTGGACGAGCGTACGTCCGGGAAACATGAAATGATGTATAATGCTGTGATTTGTTTTAAACGAAACAACAACAAAAAGGAAACATGGGAAGGAAGAAATTGAACGACGTAGTTATAGAGGAACGATTATTATTATTATTATTGTAACGCGTCGGTCGATGACGAGTTGTGATAAAAACTGCGTAACGCATTTTAATGTAGAACCGTTTGCAATTGAACGATCGACCATCGGCTGCCTTCGATTCTGGCTCGTGCATCATGCGTAAATCAAAAAAGCAAAATCGAACCAACGAGACTGGTGTCTGCAAAACAATTGTTACCCTCGAGAATTCTGTTATCTTGTCCGGTAGTGCAAATGAGTTTGCACTGGTTCGACATCTTCGCGAGAAGACACGCTTGTACAATGATCGATTCGCGTGATCATCGATCCAGAAGCAAGGACAACGCCGTCAACGAACATTTCATCGTTAGAAACCCGCCGGAAGTTGCGAATCCTACGACGAGTGCTGGCGGCGCGTTGATTACTTGAAATTTTAACTAATTTTGTTACTTTCTTGCGGTCTGTCTTGACGACGGAGACTGTGTAACATAGGAGTACAGGACGTATCACGGGTTTCAACCGGCGGTGATAGGGTCCCCGATACCCGGGCCTGATACCCGGGCACCCCGTTATTGGCAACGACGTTAATGTGTAGATCGTGATAGAGAAAACGGGAACGGCGCCGAATGGTCGCGTATGTGGCGAACCTATGCGTATATAAACACGTAAACGACTTTCTGTCTAATTATTAGCGACTTATTAACCGTAATCGGTAGGTGGATCGGTGAGAAAACCGGATAGGTGATGAGGAGATACGGAGGAGACGACAGATACTTGTGTGCATCCTCTTAGTTCTGCAAGTGCCAACGTCGGTGTTAAAAAACAAAACAAAACAGAAAAGAAAAAAAAGATAAAAAGTCCTTCTAAAGGCTCGTGTTTTATTGTATCGAATTCGAACGATGTATCGAAAACGACTCCGTCGGACGTGGTCGAGCTTCGGCGGGGAAACAGGGCTCGAATATTCGACGTGTTCGAACTTCCGGGAACCGACGAACCGGTCAGCTGTCCGACCTTTTCAATTCTCTAAAGCGTTTGAATGAATAAAACAGCTCGAATTGTATTAGATAACGATCCTTGACTTTAAAAACAGTTCGAACCAATGGAACGATTCCAACTGACGAAGCAATTTCAGCTGACGGAGCAATTCGAACTTTGTTCGTCCAATGTCGGAACAGTTTCGAATGTCGAACTTTGAATTCTCGCTGGAACTCCGACAGCAAAGTAGCGTAACAGCCGACGGAGTTAGGATAAATGGAGCCAGGCGGAGAAAAACGCAAACGAGAACCGTGTTTTCATTCGTGCGGTCGCGTGTACATTGATAAATGTATTGCCGGTGTATTATTGAGCTTAAAAATGAGATTCAGAGTGATCAGGCTCGTTCGACCTCTAATCAGGGGACACGGGACTGCATCATCGAACGAGAGCGTGAGAAAATGTTCGATCAAGGATCACGTGTGCATGTGTGTGAAAAAGAGAGAAAGAGAGAGAGAGAGAGAGAGAGAGAGAGAGAGAGTCCCATCCGAGTGAAACGAGCGTAAGCAAAAATCGTAAACGAGAAAATAAACGGATATCTATGCGACAGTCGAGAATCAAACGTTGTTCTGATCAATCTTGTTGCTTTTCTTCAGTTCAATCCGAAGACGTACCTGACCCCTCCCGTTCTGTTTCCCTTCTCGACGAGATCCTGCGGTATCCTTGGAGCCTCCAGAATTCACAGGATCACCGGGAACGGGGAAATCGTGTCGCGAATCGTACCGAACGAGTGCTGCTGGTTCCCTGGTCAGCAGAGATGCGGAGGATCGAGGATCGAGGACAATCTCGTGGTAAAAATCACGATTACTTCTCTTCGGAATACATCGACTACTATTTTCTTCGCTGTTCACGCTTTCGATGAATTATGATCGAGACTCTGTTTGTTCTCCCCTTGCACTGCGATTTCTATTACAGTTAATTAGCACTTTTGCATCCTTAACAATCTCCATGATAGAACCAAACAATTTTTGTTCTAAGTGTATTGCTTTCTAACGACGAAAGGACAACGTATTTAGACCTTTTGCCATTTTTATTGTAATGTATGCTTGGATAAACAAAATCCAATCCCTTACTACGAGTCTTTACAATTTTCAGCAACCGTGAAACGAAAAATGTGAAACTGGTCGTTTTGCCCGACTCGGTAGGTTTAGTGTTATAATAACAGAATTATTAGTGTTAATAAACACTATCTTTTGTTTCGATTTAGAACGAACGAATAACATTCATTATTACGGACTCAGACACAGTGCAAGTGATTGAGTGTCGGTTCCAAATCAAATTTTATATGAATTTCGATTATTTCTCGAGCGACGAATTTGATTTGATTTTCGAAAAATTGTAGAATTGCACTGCGTTTCTGGATTGCTCGCATCGCGCGCGAGACAAGGAATGGTTCGGCAGAAGCGGCACCGTGGTGCATCCGTCGGGCATGCAAGCTATGCTTCGTCAAAGAGAGAATTACGAGAGCTACGGAACCGGGCGAAACGACGGAAGCTACATACTAATCAGCGCCGGAAGATCAAGCAACAATGCAAGTCCTAGAAAAGACGATCCCGAAAACGAGAATGATAAAAGAATGACCCTGATGATCGAAGAGGAAGGTTCACCGAAATGTTCGAATACTCTTCCTACGAAAGATAAACAGGATATTTGATTAGAATAGTTGTAAACAATTAATTAGAAGCACAGATCTTGTACATTATGTTCACAAGTGTTACTTAATAGTTAGATTCACATAGAAATATGTTTGTTTAGTTGAAAATGTTTCGTGATCAGTTTCTGTAAATAGTTAAGTTGAAGGTCCTCCTAAAGATACATCACATATTAAATTANGCTCGAATTGTATTAGATAACGATCCTTGACTTTAAAAACAGTTCGAACCAATGGAACGATTCCAACTGACGAAGCAATTTCAGCTGACGGAGCAATTCGAACTTTGTTCGTCCAATGTCGGAACAGTTTCGAATGTCGAACTTTGAATTCTCGCTGGAACTCCGACAGCAAAGTAGCGTAACAGCCGACGGAGTTAGGATAAATGGAGCCAGGCGGAGAAAAACGCAAACGAGAACCGTGTTTTCATTCGTGCGGTCGCGTGTACATTGATAAATGTATTGCCGGTGTATTATTGAGCTTAAAAATGAGATTCAGAGTGATCAGGCTCGTTCGACCTCTAATCAGGGGACACGGGACTGCATCATCGAACGAGAGCGTGAGAAAATGTTCGATCAAGGATCACGTGTGCATGTGTGTGAAAAAGAGAGAAAGAGAGAGAGAGAGAGAGAGAGAGAGAGAGAGAGTCCCATCCGAGTGAAACGAGCGTAAGCAAAAATCGTAAACGAGAAAATAAACGGATATCTATGCGACAGTCGAGAATCAAACGTTGTTCTGATCAATCTTGTTGCTTTTCTTCAGTTCAATCCGAAGACGTACCTGACCCCTCCCGTTCTGTTTCCCTTCTCGACGAGATCCTGCGGTATCCTTGGAGCCTCCAGAATTCACAGGATCACCGGGAACGGGGAAATCGTGTCGCGAATCGTACCGAACGAGTGCTGCTGGTTCCCTGGTCAGCAGAGATGCGGAGGATCGAGGATCGAGGACAATCTCGTGGTAAAAATCACGATTACTTCTCTTCGGAATACATCGACTACTATTTTCTTCGCTGTTCACGCTTTCGATGAATTATGATCGAGACTCTGTTTGTTCTCCCCTTGCACTGCGATTTCTATTACAGTTAATTAGCACTTTTGCATCCTTAACAATCTCCATGATAGAACCAAACAATTTTTGTTCTAAGTGTATTGCTTTCTAACGACGAAAGGACAACGTATTTAGACCTTTTGCCATTTTTATTGTAATGTATGCTTGGATAAACAAAATCCAATCCCTTACTACGAGTCTTTACAATTTTCAGCAACCGTGAAACGAAAAATGTGAAACTGGTCGTTTTGCCCGACTCGGTAGGTTTAGTGTTATAATAACAGAATTATTAGTGTTAATAAACACTATCTTTTGTTTCGATTTAGAACGAACGAATAACATTCATTATTACGGACTCAGACACAGTGCAAGTGATTGAGTGTCGGTTCCAAATCAAATTTTATATGAATTTCGATTATTTCTCGAGCGACGAATTTGATTTGATTTTCGAAAAATTGTAGAATTGCACTGCGTTTCTGGATTGCTCGCATCGCGCGCGAGACAAGGAATGGTTCGGCAGAAGCGGCACCGTGGTGCATCCGTCGGGCATGCAAGCTATGCTTCGTCAAAGAGAGAATTACGAGAGCTACGGAACCGGGCGAAACGACGGAAGCTACATACTAATCAGCGCCGGAAGATCAAGCAACAATGCAAGTCCTAGAAAAGACGATCCCGAAAACGAGAATGATAAAAGAATGACCCTGATGATCGAAGAGGAAGGTTCACCGAAATGTTCGAATACTCTTCCTACGAAAGATAAACAGGATATTTGATTAGAATAGTTGTAAACAATTAATTAGAAGCACAGATCTTGTACATTATGTTCACAAGTGTTACTTAATAGTTAGATTCACATAGAAATATGTTTGTTTAGTTGAAAATGTTTCGTGATCAGTTTCTGTAAATAGTTAAGTTGAAGGTCCTCCTAAAGATACATCACATATTAAATTATTCAAATGTCATACAGCGTAGATTATTTGCTAATAGTTTATATTATTAAATATATTAAACATGTGTCGTTTTAAATATTTGCCATAAGTATGAGAACTTAAACAATGCTATACGGTATTGGTGTTATCGATACGAGGAATGAGAATGCGATAGGGACAAAAAGCGAGGACGAAGATTGCCAGTCAGTCGTATAATGTTCCATCTATTTGTATTTGCGGCGCAGTTTCAAAAAACGTCAAAAGACTAGGATTAAATGCGCTTGACCGCCGTAAGAACATTTCGGTTGTTGACAGAGGCTCTGTAACCACGGTAGGCAAAAGAGAGATAGATAGCGAAGGTCGTCGGTCGGTTTCCAATAAAACGAATTAATCGTTTCCGTTGTTCTGCCGGAGGATGCACCGGTAGAATGCAACTTGTAAACAGAAGAACAAAAGCCGGCCCGGGTTCTCGGCGGTGATGGTTTATCAAAGCGATTGTAATCGTGGATGTTTATTGTGGACGAACCAACAGGAGGCGGCGTTCTTCAAACGCGATAAAAACGAAAATGTCGTGGACCTCCCAATCCGTCTGCCGTGCTACCTACCCGGCAGGTAGGACAACCGTATCATAAACGACTTACGATCAGCATTGCGTTGTAGGATTTTCGGGGGTCAGGGTTTTCTTTTATTGCACCCTGCCACCGTTCACGGGACGCTCAGGTCGCAACTACCATTTCTCTTCTCCCGTCTCCATTATACGACCATTATAGCATCGCTGTGATTTTATAGCGTTTACGATTTTTTTTTTTGTAAATATTACAAAAATCATACCATCAACCTCTTGACATACAAGCACGTCTCGGATACGGTTCGTCTTTCTAATGCAACTGTACACGTCGATAGAACTACTACGGGATTGTTTCTTTCACAATCATCGAAATTATAAAAATGTTTTCACGCGTGAAAGTCTCTGATGGACTTCTCTATTCGAGCATTATGATAGAAGTTGTACGATGTTCGAGTAAATCCAATCTTGTCTTTGCTGTAAATTAATGTACTATAGTCTGGTGTTAATATTATCAGCAAATATTGCCAGCAACGTAGAACCTCGATTATCCGAACCGTTGATACTTGAATTCGCTGTTATAGAAACTCGATTCACAAAATAGCTATGTCTAAGACGATCCGTTTGCAATACTATTTATTTTGAAACTCGTTAAGGATTTAATCTAACACTGCACCTAAGTAATTGTTCTGTAAATCAAGGGGTTTAAGGCATTTTATTATTTTCAAATGAAAGGACTTCTTCTAGTATCTGTGGTGGACTGGAGATTTTATATAGAGTAGCTGCGAGATCAGAAATGCTATTTCAGTTAAAAGAATTGAGGAGTATTGAGGTATTACCTTCAATCTAGCAAAGCATTGAAGAAAGAAAACAATCCTTTGTATTTCTCGTAATAAAAATTGTTATTTTGCGTGAAAATTGACGGTCTGGTTATCAATGTAGGTACTATGATGATGAGACCAATTTTCCACGATTTCGTTTAAGAGATTCGAGGGAAGGATTCGTCGGTGGCGGTTGCTAATAGCCGTAAGGACAAGCGTTGAACAAATGATCGGATCTCGATGGCAAGATCCAGTCTGTTACGAAGTAACTTCTTGGAGGACTTTGCGTCTTGTCGCGTCACGGCACCGATATCGCGACTTTTTCCATCCCGACGAAATTACTAGGACAAATACCGGCCAGGGCTGAATGGTTACTTTGCCAGCCGAAACTCGCGCGCTCCGGCAAACAAGAAACGGTCCTGGTCAAATATCTACTCGCGATACATCGGCCGGCCGGACGTAACTTGCTGTTGATTTTTGTCATTTGACTCGAGGAACGGTCAGTACGGTCTATCCGTCGAACGGTTAACCGTTTTCGCCTGCAGCTGCGGTGATCCATCGTGGCCAGGACCGTTTCACCTTAACCCGTTAACCCCGTCACGATCGAAAACGCCGCGCCGGCTAGTTTACTATGCGACCGTAGGCGAATATGTTTGCCTGCATCGCCGTCTTGTCCGCGAGCTGTTGCGAAACGGTGCAAACGAAGAAATAATCACGTTGCTTGGCTTTCCTATTCGGTATTATTAACCTCGGAGTATTCACACGGTTAGTCGTTTGTTTTAAGTGAATTCAGAGGAAATTTTATTTGCGAGACTAAGGATATCGAGGCGATGCGATAATAATTTGTAATTCTATGGAACGATCTTTCTCGCAAATGCAGAAAAAGCTGTTCATTTTTATAAATCAACTTTAAAATAACAGGAATCGAGAACTGACTGAAATGAACACTCAGTTTTATAGATTGATTTCGAGGCACGCGAATTAGCCGAGGTAGTTATTCATCTTCGACTTGTCTAGAACGTTTATTCATGAATGAGAATGTTTGTTTGGAACTCTAAGCTATATGTTGAAAGGATAAAAGGTATAGAAAGCGGACTGTATCGCGGTAGACTGTATTTTAATCAAACCGAATATATTCTAAAAATTACACCGCTACAAAGAAAGGAAATGTACAATAGGTTGATGAAACGATACCGAATTATGATAATGATGTGTTGAGATACGTGTCGCGAAGCACACAAGTGATAAGATCAAGCGATCAATCATAGCTACAGAGCTGTAGCGAAAGTTGCAGGAGCAAAAGTATAACGCGAGACTAGACTGCAAGCGCAGAGGAGAATTACAAGCGTAACGTGATTTGCAAGCGCAACAGTTTAGAGACACTGGACTGCAAGCGCAGAGGAGAACCGCAAGCGTAACTAGACTAATGTAACTATAGCTGATAACTGCCGATAACTATCCGAGGTCGCGGTGTGAGAGCCTATTTATATTCTTGTGGGCCATCGGGTATGAAAGGGAAAGGACTGTGATTTTTGAATATTACAACGACTAAGCAACACTGAACATTTGTTACAGTGGTCGAGGACATTGCCGTAACGAACAGCGCTGCATAGGAACCAATGGAAAGATAACAGATTTGATATTGGGATTATTGGAAGGATGGCCCAAGCGACAAGTACATCGACGATATAAGCAGGGGTGCCGTTTCGTTTATATAATTACGGGTCGTTTACCTTGACCGGCGCCGAGCTTGACCGGCGTCCAGCACGAACAGCTGAGCAAAACTGTGTACAAAACTACCGTCGCACGAGCATTTTTCTACACCGACCCAGGTGACACGAGCAAGACTCTAAAAGAGCGATTTGAATTTTAGACAACGTTACATCGAGAAGACGCGTCCACAGCGAAAGTTCTAGTGAAATCTTCTTTACGATTGTCGCTATCTTCACTTTCAATAGAGCAGCTTTCACCGGGGACGCGTATAAAATCGCAAGAAACACGAACAGTGTGCCGCGGTCATTGGAAGATCGTTCGCCACGAAAACATCGTGCCTTCTCGAACACAATAAATTCACCTGTAACCAGCAACGTTCCCTCCCCCGCAAAAAAAAGAAAACAGATGCGACATTACAATATCCACCAGAACCGTGCTCAAATCTCGGGAAAATGAAAGAAATCACTTAATTACCGATCGTCCGGCAGTTTCGAAGCTCCGCAAAAGTCTCGGATCAGGCATCTTCGAGCTTCCTGAAGGCACACCGGCGGCGTCACCACAATCCTTCAAACTCCGTCGACGCCGGGAAAGTTTCGTGCCCGAGTATCACCACCGCATGTCTAGAAAACTGGCGGAGCCAGCGGACTCGCCGCGACTGATCCCGCTTGAACGATCAAGGGATCGACGAAAAGCGTCCGTAAAGGCCAGCAACTCGGAAAAGTAATTACACTAAGAAGACCAGTAAGCTGAAGATTGCGAGCCATCGGCGCCTCGAGCGAACAAACAGATCATAACGACGGGTGCTGCGCCTGCGATAGAGAGAGAGCCGATCGTCCGGTCCGATCGAGGATCTAGAAAGCTGGATCGTGGCAGCGCGAGCTCCGAGACCGAGAGTCGGCGTGGGCGGACTGGCGTGCCAGTAGATGTTGGTGGGACCGACCAACCGACGCGGGATCGTAAAATGGTACCGGGCAAGGATTGGCCGAGGAAAGGTCGGATAGGCGGCGACCGATGTCCTCGATCGTCGGAAGAGAAAAGGATCGAGCCTCGCCGAGGGAAATCGCCTCGACCAATCGCGGCGAGACCCGCCGGGAGACCGCGGCGGCTGCCGCCATGCTGCTCCGCGTGCCTTCCTAATTCGGACCTTTAATTAGCACCTGGCTGGACCGGCGGCGGGGGCAACCGGTGCAGACATCGATTGGACGGTGCCCGGCGGGTACCATCGCGGAACAGAGGCCGGATAGAGACGTCGAACAGAGACGACGCTATAGAGGCAGTCGGTCCGCGATCGGTCGGGCTCGTCTTCGCCGGCTAGTGTGAAATATCGCGCCCAAGTGTTACGAGCAGGACCACGCGGAGGACCCGGGACCGAAACAGTCTCCGGAAGGAATACGCCGCGCCGTCCTTCTTCCACCGATTTTCCCACGTTCGTTTTCTTTCTATCCGTGTTCGCCGTTTCTGCCGCGAACCGAACAATCGGCGAACTCGATCGGCGAACTCGATCGGCGGCCGATGAGGATCGCCCGGATCCTACGCAGCTAGGGTCGCCAGGATCGTCATCCTCCGGCGGACCGATCGCTGAGACCAGCGATCGATTCAGCTCCCGAGGGCGTTCTTTGTTGTTACGGGGATTTATTTGTAGCTGGATCAAGCCGTGGGCAGATCGGTCCATTCGAAGGATCTACGCGCGTTAATCAGGGTACTTGGTCGACCGTGAACGAGGATGAGCTAGCTCCATGAAGTGATTACTCGTGGATTCGATGGATCGTGCGGATCCTTCAACTGTTCTTTCTGCTTTCTGGATAATTCGGACCTGGTGAGACAGGTGTCCGGAGGTAAATTCGAGTACCTCTGGTGGAAGTGTCGGAGTATCCCGGTCTCTTCGAGGAGGAGTTGAATTTGTGAAGTTGTTGCGTCGTCGGGTGACCAGCATCGATGACAGGGGGTGTAGACTTCGCATTGGCAGACTTGATGAGCGATCTAAGGATGTGAGCAGAAGAAGAGCGACAACGTTTTTCATTCATGATACTTCGATCGACAGTGGGAAATCACAAGTCAGAAAATCACAGAGATCTGAAGTTTGGTCAGCTTCCTTTTCGAGACCGAAGATCAAGGATTCGCGTTGGTGAAGGATTTAGTTGTCGTGAGAGTTCTCCAAGTGGAAGAACAGATGCTAGACTATGGCAGAATAACAGAATAATTATAGTTATAACAGAATAACACACAAGATTGTAAGATCAGAAGAATAGAAGTTCTGAAGATCACAGCGGATCAGAAAAATCAGAAGATCAGAAGAATAGGAAAATAAAAAAATAAGAAGAGAAGAAAAGTAGAAGAATAGAAGAATAGAATAACAGAAGACTAAAAGATTCAGGAAACCAGTAGAAGTTAGGTATCGCCAGAGGCAGAAGATCGAGGTGAGCAGAGTCGGAGAATAAAAAAAGATGCAGCAGCCAGCAATAAACCCTGGATCCCCGACGCGATCGTCGTGTTGCGAACGAGAGCGGGACAGAGAGATCCACGATGATCGAGACAGGGAACGTGGCAGTGCTAGGAGTCGGTCGTCGCCGGAAGGTGATCACGAGGAACAGAACGACGAGAGGACTGTGGTTTCCGGGCAGAATCTCAGTGGCATGACGATCACCGGAAGCCAAGGACTGCCTCTTTCTTTGTCTCTCGAAGATCGGGATCTTTGGACCAAGTTCCAGTGCCTGACCAACGAGATGATCGTCACTAAGAACGGCAGGTGAGCGAGGAGGAACGATAATTGTTGACGAAGAAACCTCGATTCTTGAAGCGTAACTCGATGAGTAACTTGTTGCTTTCGTCGATTCTTCCTATCTTTAACGTTTCGCGATCGAAATCTGGCGAATTGGTCGATTGAATCAACAAGGAAAAACGCGTAAAATTACAGATTTGTTTAACAGTATTTACGGTCTACTCGGTCGCGAATATTCGCGCGACGACATGTCGAATAAAAATAAGAAAAGATCGTTTCGAGACGTAACTTTCCGTTAAAGACGAAGGAAAGTCCCGTGACGTCGTGTCGTCGCTTGTGCAGGTAACGCGTTAGCCTGGAATCATTAACTGCCGCGATTGACGCGGTGTCTTGGGTGCGTCGTAGACGTTTCTTCTTTCTTCGTGGTCGGAGAACGTGTTGAACGATCGCCGATGGCTCGGTAAGATCCGTAGCAAAGATGGCTCGCGCCGTCGCTGTCGCATCGCGCGTAAAAATGACTTAATTAGAGCGCCGGTGTGAACAAGGCAGAAGGTAAAAATAATAGTTCATATGTACCACTCGGCAGGAGAAAAACCGTACACGGAATGGAAAAAGATCACTGCGAAACGTTACGAGAATTTAGATGATTCACGCGAGCCTGCGTTCCGTGCACGTTTCGCCAGTCCTTCTTTACTTGCACCGTAGCCATCGCGAACTAGAACGTCTTTTCATAATTAATCGATCAACTCTTTCACGTCTTGGAAACATCTCTTACATGCCATTTTAAACTCCAAGCCGCATAGTTATTGCAATATTGCATAACAAAGTAAATATATCTCACGCTTTCCAATTTAGACAAGTTAAATAATACTATTTCACATCGACTTGCGGTTCATTTTACATGTGAATGGATCAAACTTACAGAGAATAGAATGTCGTCGGGCATTCCCTGATATTTTTCAAAATGCAACCGTTGCGGATGCCGGCGGAATAGTTCAGTTTCGACGTGTCCAATTCGCTATAAACGCGTAAAATCCGAAGTCGGCTAATAAACGTCTTCAGAAACCGGAAACTGATGAACCTGTCCAAGGGGAAATCGGTCGCGGACGCCGGTGGATCAAAAGACATCCGGTGCGCCGCGGTCGGCTAGTTTTACGATTCGTATATTATTAAAAACGATTACGGTTTGTCGAGCGGAGAAGCTCGCGCAGGTACCAGCTCGACGGGAGAATGTTTTACGCGGGTATCGCCGGGCATCGTAAAGTTTTATTGCAGGCGGCTCGATTCTTCTCGGCTGATCGAGCTGTTCCTCAGTGTTACTTTCATTAGTGTTTTATAAAATGTTGTTCCACTCGAGGCCGCAGCGCGCTTCGTTCCCTTTATCATTTTACAAAACGCAGTCCGCCGGGTAGCTGCTACCCCCGTGACCCAGGTGATTCCGATAAGGATAAGGGCGTGTAGACATTGGGAAACAGCAGCCGGTAAACCTTCAGAATATCTTTATCCCGATCCAGTAAAACCCTTTGTCTTCTGCTTCCAGACGGATGTTTCCGGTGGTCAAGGTGGTGGCACGGGGACTAGAACCGAAGGCGATGTACACGCTCCTTCTCGAGTTCGTCCAGGTGGATCCGCACAGGTAAATCCCATTCGAATACGAACGATGTTGCTTCTTCATTAGTCGGTCTAGCTGGAAATAGAAGAAACGACTGGGTCAAAGAAGGTTTGGAGTGTTCGCCAAGATATAGAAACGTAATGAAAAATTTAACTAGGAGTCTCTTGACATTTGATGGAACCGTGATCGTTGGTTCGGAGGATTTGTAGAAGTAGAGTATGCGTTGAGTTAAACCGGAGGGTCAAGGGTTGAAAAAATGGAGATTCTGCTGGGATCTAAAATTCAGAAGTTGCAGAAATATGTTACAGTTGTTTAAGCATTGAAGGGACAATTCTGTTAGGGCGAAAGACTGAAAATTAAAGGGATGAACATGGGGTGAACGATGTTCACAGATGGAAGTACGTGAACGGGGAATGGGTACCAGGCGGCAAAGCGGAAGTTGCACCGCCTAACCCGATCTACATCCACCCGGAGAGCCCGAATTTCGGATCCCACTGGATGAAAGAGGCGGTGTCGTTCGCCAAAGTGAAGTTAACTAACAAATCGAACGGGAGTGGGCAGATAATGCTGAACTCGTTGCACAAGTATGAGCCACGGGTTCACTTGGTCCGCGTGGATGCTGTGGAACAGAGAACGGTGATTACAATGGTCTCTTCTGTGCGTGTAGCAATTTTTACTAATAAATTTGATTGATCTAGGTGCTCACGTATCGTTATCCCGAGACGCAGTTCATAGCAGTGACAGCGTATCAGAACGAGGAGGTGACGAACTTGAAGATCAAGTACAATCCCTTCGCGAAGGCGTTCCTCGATGCCAAGGAACGTCCTGCTGATCCGCAAACTTATCCGCAATGTAAGTTCCACTGACTAGAGACCAGTTCCACTGAATAAGACAGATCAAGATTTATTGATGGTGTATGAGTAATACGGTATCTGAAATTAGTTATTCAATTTGTACAGATACAGGGGCATGGTTTCTACCTCAACCGACCATGGGGTACGAGTACAACACCGCTTCGGCGATCGCAGCTGCACAAAACCAAGCGTCAGTGACCGTCAATAATCATCTCTCTAATGCCTGCACCGTGTCTACAGCCGGTCACAGAAACACTTGCAGATCTACGCCTTACTCTCTCAGACACAAATATATACAAGACGGTAAGATCCTGAAATGACAAAAATTGATGTAAGAACAATTAATTATTCAACCGTCGTTACAGAGCAACGCGCAGACCCATACAGTCCAGTACAACTTCTCCACTCCACAGCTTACGTGACAGCATCGGGATGGTCACCGCGTAGCCCGGAGTCTCTGCAAACTCTGAGTCCAGCATGTTTACCCCCAACTCAAGAATGGCCTACGTCCCCGTCGCCGTCGCCAACATCGTCCTCTCATGCGATATTCAGCAGAAGTGTCGTCGGTACATCCTCGCCGACTACAGCCACAGGATGCGCCCTGTATGTACCATCAAACCTGCCCTCTGTGCCCCAAGAGCACGGTCATTGCTCTGACACTTCTGCCTGGATACACCCCAGCTCCCTGTCGGAGCAACAGCAACAACAACAACAGCCTTATATAAACTTGAACCTGCATCTGCATCATCAAATGTCATCGTATGCGTCAGTTCCTCACAGCGGTCTCCATCACCCATTGCACCCGAATGGTGCCGACACAGTTCCTTCAGTGGACGACTATGTCCACGACTACCAAGCGTCTCCCGTTCAATCTACAACGCCCGACCGTCATCAACAACATCATCATCCTCAGATGTTGCATTTGCAACCGATCCAACAGACTGGGACAGTGTCTCCTGTCAGCGTGGAATATGATACTCCTCCGAAAGAACATCATATACCGGTCAGTTACGCAGATCAAAATGCAGATACGATGAACGATGTACAGCCGGATGAGAATCGAAGATACTTGACGACGGTAATTGATAGACATCATCGGCAGGAATCAGATATCGCTGCCAATGACCATCAGACTACCGCTTGGACACCGTTGACGCCACCACCGGCTCCGCAAACTACGGCGATTTGATTTAAGTATGTGATACAATTAGTTTTAATTATACTGCATCGTTGCTACTTCATTTCTACAGTTATTCTGATAGCTAGGTGATTAGAAGAAGAGAAAAGGACTAACGCTGAAGACGTGTCTCTACGTAGGTGCAATACGAGTATAGATATTAAAAGGTTCTTGATAAAAACTTTGAATACATTGAATCGAGAGTGCAGATTGCTTGTTAAATTTTAAAAAAAATTGCAAAGCTATTTTAGATGGAAACTATGAAATTTCTACTGCCTTTCCTACGAACCTCTCAATTACTGATAAGCTAAAGCATACGTATTAACGTTTATATCAGGATTAATCGAAAAGGTTGCAGATTGCATTCGGCAAACTGTTGACAAGTGTAATTTAAGTATTTCGCAATCGATAAATTGATAGCAATTCAATTTCGATTTCCAAGAAATCAATCCGTCCTAAGATCGTGTCTTAATACTTTTAAATGGTATGTATCGGATAATATAATCATTACAATAAAGTATACTGAACATGCATACATGGTGTCTTCCTCAGAGTTCACAGAAACGTGGTTGAAACGTAAACTATTTTGTGTCGTAGAACATATTAGATTATTTATTTATAAACAAAATAAAGATACATTAACGTTTAGTTCATAATAATTTACTACAGTTTATGTTCAACTATAAATTTGTAATAGTCGTATATATAACAATTAACTTTATATTAAGTAGTAACGAAATTTCTAAAAAGCAAAAGTATCCAAATTTTATTCTTTTTACATTTGTACAGTTTAAGAATATATAATTTTCTAAATATTGTTTGTACATTAACCAAACCAATGGTTACCCATGCAGTCTCTTGTCCATTCCGTTTGACACACCCAACACCAATGAAAACTGCAGCCAGCTCTTGTGCAAATCATATGCATGCATCCTCCTAAGAAATATATGCCATTAATCTTGAACTGTACATTAATATAATTACATCAATTTTACATGTTATTTTGAATACCATCTCTTTCAGTCGGCGTCCTACATTTCGGACACGGTTTTGTTGATATTTTTATAGTCTTCTTGCTAGCCTCGTCCCATTTTGCCTAGAGGAAATGATATAGAATAACTTTTCTAGGTCTACGACAAATGTAATCTGTATAATATCGTTTTAAGTACATCTTTAGCTCTTTGCGGGTCCACCAAATATCCGTCGGACTTCAGTTCTGCGTTGGAATATTCCGATGAATACGATTCACAGTCTCCTACGTGGTAGCCTTGTAAACATCTTCTGCAGAAAACATACTGCAAACAATATATAAAGTACAGTAATAACATTTATTGAACAGTACTATTAAAGACTTTTCCAACTTATGAAATATTTTTACATATGTATGCTTACTCCACAGCCACCGACACATTGAATTTTTCTGCATTGATCGCTACCATCATCTGGAGTCTCCGGTATAATTCCCATCCCACAATCTGGTCTCGGACATAGAAGACCACCAGCACGCAGAACATACTCTTCTGTGCTAAACCTCTGATACTGTTCATACTAAACAGTATGCAGGCATGTGATAAATATTCAACGAAATTTCTTTGAATTCTTGAGTCACCTCAAGCAATTGAGATACCTGTGCTGGAGTGAGAAGATGAAAATGATGCACTTCAGGTATAAGAGAATCGGGGCACCCCGCTGGACAAGGAAGTGTGTAATACCCTCTATTATCATCAAATTGAAACTGACGTTCTCGTAAACGAACCGAACAATATTCTTTGAAGCAATCCAGGCAAGTTACATGTCCTGCTTCACATGGAAAAACCAGTACTGTATCTCTGAAATAATGTAACTTTGTTTACAAATATGAGAACCTGATTCATGCTACAGAGAATACAGTAATTACTTAATATCTGTGCATGCTAAACAAGGTATCTTCCTCAAGTTTGGTTTAACAAGATACAATGGAACTGCTTCATCTTGTTCTCCAAGACTGGCATGTCTTGCACATTTGAAGTAAAAACGAGCATATAAAACTTGAGTATCAGTATCATCAGAAATTGTTGCAGGTGCAGGGCATAAATCATTCTCACAGTGAACTGTTATTCTCCTTGGCTGGAGTACATCTGGCCAGCATTCGGGATCTCTATCTACAGTAACAGCCCCACTATTACAGGTAGCACATCTTACTCTTAGTTTGCCTGTTGTAACCGCTTTACAGGGTGCTGAACAAAACACGAAGAAATGAGCACGAGTCTCTTGATGCTCTACAAACAGTACAATATAATATTAATTATTAAAAACTTCATAACAATTTACATTGATAAATGTACACATTAACCAATGTGTGTTTACCCTTTAAAAGGCTATAATTTTTCTACCTTCCTTGATCGAATTCTCGTGAAGGTCAGAATCATCCAAAGGCAGATCAGTAAGAGTTTCATTCAATGGTTTGCCACCACTGTCATTGAAATCAGAAGCCTCCAAAGATTCCTCGATGGTACTTGTGTCTCTGCTTCTATTAAATCTTTGGTGAGGTGCTCGAATAGCATGCAGAATGCTTTGTTGCCCTAAATCACATTCCTGCAATAGCATCATGTTACTTTATATTGTTACTACATAATGCTGTCAATTCCATGGCCTGGGACTGAAAGCAGTAGGGTGGGCAATTGTTATGACAATCAATAAAGGAGGTTAGGATACCTAACCTCAACTGGCCATGTAGAAGCATATTACCATCATTCCTGTAGTGAAAATACAAGCGTTTACCTCTATTATCGTCGAATTGTGCAACTCTTTTCCTGCAAAAATAATTTTGATGTCCTCGGGTGACGTTCCCATTTGAGAGGCCACTATTTCTTTCACATTTTTTATATCCCATTTCGGATCCAGATCGACAGCAAGCACATTGCCAGTATTCGTTTTCACGTATATGCTCAAAGAGTTAGATATTCTTCGTTTTCCAAACCAAATGATTTGCAACATCTTGAGAAACACGTTTCTTATGAAGTCCAAAAACAAACTCATATCGAAGACTGCAATCGTTGATTTCAATTCGCTCCCACTCTCAATGAGGAAACGTAAAAGACCGAACGATGACAGTGTTATCAATCAACATTTACATTTCATGGTAGAATTAATCATTCGAATCAAATGTGCAATATATTCGTGAGTCTATTATACATACACATTGTTACAATGCAAGTGTTGACGATTTGTTATGCAATATGTCTAAGCCGAAACGCAGCAGTGTATCTTCAAACTTATTATTAGACTCTATCAGATAACATTTCAAATCTGGCGCGCTTCGTTCAAGCGTACAAACAGCGCTATTATACGTAGAGTGGCGAAACGCTCAAACTCCTAAAGAAAATGACCAACAGAATTCGAGTAGAATACTAAAAGTAGAATACAGAGGAGGATATGTGAAATGTATTTTAAAAACCTTCAATTATACAAAGCATAACAATATATGGTATATATAATTATTGTATATTCAATGATAATAATGATTATAACGATAACATAAATATTATAAATAACAGATATCATAACAACCGACCGAACAACGACTCGATGCAACCAAAAGAGTAAATTCTAACAAAAATCAGGTACACAGTATAATGGCGGACACGTTATTTTAATTAGGGAAGAATGAACATTCAAAATGAAATCTTGCAACCAAATCAAATTCCAATCAAAGTCCATTGTCGCGAGTACTGCAACATGATTGTTTTTATGATCCAACCGATTTTACGACTTCAACGTATCGTGACTATGCCAAAAAAAATTGTACAAGAGCATCATCTACGCTTGATTAACCATTTAGATCCTTTTCTTATGTATCTGATACCTGTTTCTATACACCTAATCACAGGTTGTCTTTTGGAACTTTTGGACATTCTTAAATCGTTGACATCCTCAACATTAACAATTTTCCGTTTTCTACTTGTAACATTTGTAGCTTCGTCATATTTCGAGCATGACGGATCAGTCATTTCTGAAGCCAAATGTTTCCGATCTCTGCATTTCCGTAAATACTGATTCAGGGTCATCCATGGAGCTCCAGCTTTAGTTCTTCCGAAATCTGAATCTGCATCTTTGGCTTCCGGAATCTGGGTCCATTTTTTGGTGAACTTGTTATAATGTCCACTTATCCTATAGCACGTATCCTTCGGTGTTTTTTCATTGCCAAACCGATATAGGTCACCGTGTTCTTCGGGAGTCTTATCTATTAGCAATCAGTTTTTTACATTCAAAAGAACTACAATTATATTAATTTCGTAGCATGACCCGGGCAATGACTTACCTGTACCATAATTATTCCTTTTCCTTTTCGGAAATGATGCCACATTTTGATCAGTAACTGGGGCGCAGTATTCGCGCATTTCTTCAGGGTGCGTCTGAACATAATCATCCCAGAGCATGTCAGCCACTGCTGTAGGCCATTTTACGTCATAATGCCACCGTCTACTCGTATCGACACTGATTTTTGGTTTCCGTCGATGTCTTACGCCTGGATAAGTCTTTAACGGCTTGTTGTGGTCTCCTGAAATTGAACTACAATTATTAACAAGTTAGCAAATAAACCTCGGTCTGACGTGTGCGTCTAATCAACAGTCGTTGTCAGTTCCAGGTTGAAAACAATCTAATTACTCGTCAACAGAAGATCATCCTCTTCATCGCTGCTATAGACAAGAGGATGAACGCTTGGGAGGTCCTTCAAGTGCAACAATTCCACGCCATTCCCCAAGTCTGTCTTCACCGGACTCGCAGCATTCTCGTCGTACCGAGGAAGAGGTGAATCAATATGAAAATTGTAGAAGCAATGAGCTTCGCGAACTCGTTCTAGGGTTGGAGACGGACGACTCTGAAGCAATAGGGGTGTCATCGGAGAAGACTTTCTAGGCTGTAGATTCTCATCATTTCTGAACTCCAAGATCGTCTCCCAACTGCTATCAGATGTTTCAGGCTCTTTGCGTTTCACATGTTCTTTTCTGCTTTTTCTTTTAGGTACCGCATGTTGTTCCTTCTTCTTCTTCTTCTTCTTCTTCTTCTGCTCCCCCTCAGCTTCATTATCTACCTGCTCTCTGAGCCGTCTTTTGGATCGTCTTCTGAGCCGTTCAACGGACGAAGAGGAATTCGAAGTGATCGACGAAATACTGATGCTAGGTACATCCGATATGAAAGTTTTGGGGGTGCTACAGCTTTTTCTGTTCTTGATCAGTCCCCTCCGCGCCATTTTTCAGGAAGGAGATGAAGTAATCCCGTCTTTGGAATATAACAACGTACGATCCCGCTTTCGGAGTTGCCGACGAGTCCAAGGCGCTTCTTATGAATTATACCAACGTGGAAGTAGTACGGAAGAATATCGGCAACTGACTGACAAGGTCTTCGAAATTCAACCTACAAATACCCGTACTATGTAAACGTTGTTTTGATGCGTTTGCATAAACCGAGGCAGTTCAAAAAGAAATAGTTAAGGTATTGTTATGATACCTTCAATAACACAGTACGGAATTGGTCAAGCAAATTCCAGTAGACTCCTGTATAACGCGATAATGTATTACGCGTTGTAGAAATTTACGTTATATATATATATATGTCGATATATAGGTTTGCTATCGCGTATTTTCTTCGTATGCATATAATATCGTAGTCACAATATTTTCGGCGCGTTATATGAGAGTCTACTGTACGTTGAATCATTTAGGGCGCCTCCTCTTCATGACACGCTCCTGGCGGAACTAGAGGAATCACACCCAAGGCCACGATTTTCAAAATATCCAACTCCGACTAGATTGGTTGTCAAATAAATTCAAAGAAGGTTAATCCATCGATGCTTCGTATCGATATCGTTCGATTCCTGTAAAGAATAAATACCTTATTGAAAATAAACAACGTATTATACGGACGCACCTGGAAGTTAAACGTGATTGCATTCAAACGTTACATGCTAAAACGAAGTATCATCTGTGGCTTCAATTTAACCATGGTGCAATCACTCGGATAATTCAATCAACATGAACAAATTAAAAAAAACTATTATCCTTCAGAGTATATTAACAAGAACAAAGGAACTATTCAATTACAAACCTGGGAAATTTATGGAACTAGAAATATTAGAAAAATTTGCCGATCACAAATAAACCTCTGTGTCTTACTGGGTAGATTTTGATTTTATTTCGCTAGTTTCGAACGATATTAATAAGGAAGTTAAATGATGACTTGTAGCTGTTTTTTGTGAAGAGTCGGGGCAGAGCTCTTTGTGCCCTAAAATATTACATTCTTTTGAAATATTAATTGAACTATTTTTACCCAAGGATTCAAAAAACGCCTAAAATTTTAATACAACGCTATTTTTACCAAACCGGTCGAAAGATACAATTGAAAATGTAAATTATTTTCTTAGTTCAATCACCTTTCCCCAAATGACTTTTCAACGTTTTCTAGGGTATCTATAAAATTCATTTCGTAAAATTAGGTATATGTACAGATCGATAAAACTAATATGAACTAAATATTACCGGAGCGCTTTCATAAACCGCACTTCACTACACCCTTGGCCGACAAAGGCGTCCGCAGTGGTGGGAGGGACATTGCCGCAAACCAAAAATCAGTGTTGATAAGGGTGCAAGGTGGCTGATTGACGTAAAATGCTTTGTAGTATTCGCAAACATGCTCTGGAATGAATATCTTCGAACACACGCTGAAGAAATGCGCGAATACGTTGCTCCAGTTAGTGATCAGAATGTAACATCATTCTCAAAAAGGAAAAAGAATAATTATGGCACAGGCAAGTCTGGGACAAAATTAATGTAATTGAAGTTTTTTTAATGTAAAAGACTCATTGCTAATAGACAAGGCTCGCGAAGAACACGGAGACGTACATCGGTTCGACAGTGGAAAAGCACCGAAGACTACGTACTATACGATAGATGGACATTATAACAAGTTGACTAAAAAATGGACGCAGATTCCTACAGCCAAAGATGCAGATTCAGATTTCGGGAGAACTGAAACGGGAGCTCCGAAGATGACACTGAATCTATATCTACAGAAATATTTACGGCTCGGAAACATTTGGCTTCATAAATAGCTGGCCCGCGATGCTCGATATATGATGAAGTTACAAATATTATAAACAAAAAACAAAAAATTGTTAATGTTGCGAATGTTAACGATTTAAGAATAACCAATACCCGCAGCCAAAATTTAACAGACTTGTGACCAGGTCTGTGGGAACACTGATTTTTGGTTTCCGTTGATGTCTTACTCCTGGATAAGTCTTCAACGGCTTGTTGCGGTTTCCTGAAATTTAACTATAATTATCGACAAGTTAACAAATAAATCTCGGAATGACGTGCGTCTAATCAACAATCGTTGTCAGTTTCAGATTAAAAACGGTCTAATTACTCGTTAACAGAAGATCAGTCTCTTCATCACTGCTATTGACAAGAGGATGAACACTCGGGAGGTCGTTCAGGTGCAACGATTTCACGCAATCCCCCAAGTCTGTCTTCACTGGGCTCGCAGCATCTTCGCCACGCAGAGAAGCAAGTAAATCAAAATGAAAATCATAGTTGCAATCAGCTTCGCGAACCCGTTTCTGGGTTGGAGATGGGCGACTTTGGAACAATAGGAGTATGATCGGAGAAGACTTTCCAGGCTGTAGATTTTCCTTCTCATCATTTCTGAACTCAAAGATCGTCTCCCAACTGCTATCAGATATTACAGACTCTTTGCGTTTCACATATTTTTTTTTACTTTTTCTTTTAGATGCCGTATGTTGCTTCTTAATCCTTCTCTTCTGCTTCACCTCAGCCCCATTATCTACCTGTCCTCTGTACCGTCTTCCGAGCCGCTCAACGGACAACGAAGTATTCGGAGTGATCGACGAAACACTGATCTTTGGTACCTCAAACACGAACTTCTTGGGGATGCTACAGCTTTTTCTACGCTTGATCAGTCCCCTCCGCGCCATTTTCCAGGAAAGCGATGAAGTAATCTTATCTTTGGAATATAATAACGTACGATCCCGTTTCCAGGGTTGCTGAGGAGTTCAAGGCGCTTCTTATAAATTATTCCTACGTGGTAGATGTATGGAAGAATATCGACAACTGACTGTCAGGGCTTTGAAACTCAACCTACAAATACTGATATTATAAAAACATTGTCTTGAAGCCTTTGGATAAACCAAAACAATTCGAAAAGAAATAGTTTAGGTGTTGTTATGATACCTTCAATAACATAGCGCGGAATTGGACGGGCAAATTCCAGGAGACTTCTGTATAACGCGATAATATATATATTACCCGTTGAAGAGATTCACGTTATGTCGATGTATGTTTGCTTTCACGTATTTTCTTTGGATGCATATAATATCGTAGTCACAATATTTTCGGCGCGTTACATGAGAGTCTACTGTACGTTGAACCGCTTAGGGCGCCTCCTCTTCATGACACGTTCCTGACAGAACTAGAGGAATCACACCCAAGGCCACGATTTTCAAAATATCCGACTCCGACTAGGTGGTTGTCAAATAAATTCAAAAAAAGTTAATCCATCGGTGCTTCGTGTCGATATCGTTCGATACCTGCAAAGAATGAATACCTTGTTGAAAATAAACAAGGTGGTGATAGGGACGCACCTGGAAGTTAGAGATGATTGCGTTCAAACGTTACAACGAGCGTTAAAACGAAGTATCATCTATAGCTTCAATTTAGCCCTGTTGCAATCATTTAGATGATTCAATCAATATCGACAAATTAAAATAAAAATTTGTCATCGTTCTGAGTATATTAACAAGAACAAAGGAACTATTCAATTACCTTGTCGTCCTTTTTTCAATCATAATCATTATTCTGCGCAAAGGACGACGCAGTACGCTCAACCCGTGAAATTTATGGAAGTAAAAATATTAGAAAAATTTGTCGATCACATTAATCCACTGTCTTACTGGGTAGGTATTGATTTCCTTTTGCTAGTAAATTAGTTTCGATAGATACTAATGATTTAGATATTAATGAGGAAGTTAAATGATGACTTGTAGCTGTTTTTTAATAATTAAAAATATTAAATTCTATAACTATATATTTTAATATAAAATATTAAAATATTAAATATTTTTTAATAATTTAAAATATTAAATTCTTCTGAAATATTAATTGAACTATTTGTACTCAAGGGTTCAAAAAACGCCAAAAATTTTAATACAACGCTATTTTTACCAAACCAGTAGAAAGATACAGTTGGAAAAATGAAAATTATTTTCGTAGTTCAATCACTTTTCCTCAAATGACTTTTCATCTTTATCTAGACTATTGATAAAATTCATTTCGTAAAAGTAAGTATGTATATACAGATCGATAAAACTAGTGTGAAATGAATATTACCGGAGCGCCCACGCAAACCCCACTTTACTTCGCCCCTGGTTGGCATAGGTGTCCGCAGTGGTGGGGGTAGCTGGAGGTACATATCGTCAGTCCATGCTGGCTCACGGCGCCGGCCGGTTCGTATTCGCGTCGTTCTGTCGATCTTCGATTTGACAGTTATCAGAGTCCTTTTCGAGTCTTCTTTCGATATCTCGTGGGCAGATCGCGTCGAACCCTCTCCATTCGAGCGAACGTTGAAATACATCGCGGGCAACGTGTTCCGTCGTGGTTCACTGCGCATGCAGATCACCTGAGAAACGTCGCAATACAGAATTTGGTCCAGTGATAAAATGCCGGCGGACGCGGAGCTCAGCAATCTGCTTAGCAGGCGGCAAAGGATCAACGACGAGCTGGAGGAAGGCAAGGAGGTGAAAAAGCAGTACAAATTCGTGAACGTTTACACGGAATTCCACGAGATGTCCCGCCGCGAGATCAAGCAGTACGAGCAGACCTTCAACAGGTGAGTCCGTTTCCTTTTCTCCCCGTTTCTTTACCTGCCCACGATTTTTTTGACTACCGGAAAACTGTTGTCCCGCGGTGTCGCGCAGCCATGAAAAGATCCGAGGGCCTATCTTTTCCTGTCCCGCGGGGACCATGGGTTCCCATAGAGAACCTTTGTGCGTACGAAACGACCGAATGTCATTGTTCCACCGGTACGTACGGTCGTGCACAATGGGCGCGAACTAGTTCGAATTTTAAACACTGCGATCTAATTTTAACGTCGTCAACTTTTCTTCAATACGATGTAGGTGTGCCATAATTTTTATCGATCTATCGATTGACCTGGTCCCAATTGTTCTCGCGTTCGAAACGTAATCGAAATCTGACGCTTTATTTTGATATGTATGTATTTAAGAAATTAATCGAGGTGCAACTTCACTCTTCAATTTTAATTCGATTCAATGAACTGCGTCACTTTTGCGACATTTTTGTGGTTAGTGGCGCGGCAAAAAAATGTTAAAAGATGTGTTCTCCTAAATAGTAATTTCGCATCCCATGAGTTGTAATATATATGTGTGTATATATGTGTAATATATATATTATTATTAAAATATGTTGTCCAAGTTATTATTCTGAACAATTTATTTCTACAAATTTAATACTATCTATAATATATAATATATAATAAATAAATAAATTTATATATATATATATATATATATATATATATATATATATATATTGATATCGTGAATATATCAATAACTAAAAGAGAGCGCCTATATTAAATTTGTAGAAATAAGTTGTTCAGAATAATAACTTGGACAGCATATTTTAATAACACATATACGCATATATATGCCTTCTGATCTTATGTACAGTCAATGATAGTTTAATAGGGGTTCGCTAGATCGTTTTTTTTTCTTTGAGCTTGTTCGTTAAAAAGACAAAGAATAGCGAGACCGGGGAGGAGAAAAGTGAGAGTGAATCACGGGGCTGCGGTTATACGAGTCACGATTTTTCTTCTTATCCTACGTTTACGTTCGGCTTTATTTATCTGCCCGCTGGAAGATCGTGTTCCCATGAATAGATTGTTTTCGTTTTGCGTATTGGAGCACGCGAAATTAAACCATGACGAAACGGAGTAGATCGTATCTTATTACAATCATGTTGTTTCCAGATAATTATGTATATAATTGGTATTGTATTGCATTCGTGGAAATTACAACTGCCGGACGCAGTTGGAACCGTGTTACATGGCGGGAAATTGTATCGATTTCTTTGAAACTGACGGGCAAATGAATTTTGGAATAAAACTGAAACATGCTTTTTGCTGGTCCAGCGACTTAGGGGATCCTGATTATTTGGTGTAATTATTGAAAATTAAAATGTACATTAAGTTTCTATAATTACAATTATAATAACAATAATAATATTATATAATATATAATAATAATAATATAATATAATATATAATATATATAATATAATATAATATATAATATATATAATATATGCTATAATATATAATAATAATAATAACAATATAATAACAATTATAATAATAATTACAATTACAATTATCTTGACATAATAGTGTTCTTATCAAATTATGAAATACTAATTGTTCGAGTAAAATCTTAGATAAGATAAGTGAAACTAGTAGAAAATTATCAGTACATAATTTGTAGCACAGTGTCTAATTAAATTGTATATTCAAATGGTATTGCAACTTTTCGCATGAATCAACTTTCTGAATCATTGCGGTATTAAAAGTTGTCCTTATTTACGAAACACATCATTTTTCCTACCGTAAAGTTTATTTCCAACGGAGATGAATGACGACCGCTGAGGTCATTGATTATACACTTTTACGATACCGCGGACTGATGACCGGAGTTNATATCGTGAATATATCAATAACTAAAAGAGAGCGCCTATATTAAATTTGTAGAAATAAGTTGTTCAGAATAATAACTTGGACAGCATATTTTAATAACACATATACGCATATATATGCCTTCTGATCTTATGTACAGTCAATGATAGTTTAATAGGGGTTCGCTAGATCGTTTTTTTTTCTTTGAGCTTGTTCGTTAAAAAGACAAAGAATAGCGAGACCGGGGAGGAGAAAAGTGAGAGTGAATCACGGGGCTGCGGTTATACGAGTCACGATTTTTCTTCTTATCCTACGTTTACGTTCGGCTTTATTTATCTGCCCGCTGGAAGATCGTGTTCCCATGAATAGATTGTTTTCGTTTTGCGTATTGGAGCACGCGAAATTAAACCATGACGAAACGGAGTAGATCGTATCTTATTACAATCATGTTGTTTCCAGATAATTATGTATATAATTGGTATTGTATTGCATTCGTGGAAATTACAACTGCCGGACGCAGTTGGAACCGTGTTACATGGCGGGAAATTGTATCGATTTCTTTGAAACTGACGGGCAAATGAATTTTGGAATAAAACTGAAACATGCTTTTTGCTGGTCCAGCGACTTAGGGGATCCTGATTATTTGGTGTAATTATTGAAAATTAAAATGTACATTAAGTTTCTATAATTACAATTATAATAACAATAATAATATTATATAATATATAATAATAATAATATAATATAATATATAATATATATAATATAATATAATATATAATATATATAATATATGCTATAATATATAATAATAATAATAACAATATAATAACAATTATAATAATAATTACAATTACAATTATCTTGACATAATAGTGTTCTTATCAAATTATGAAATACTAATTGTTCGAGTAAAATCTTAGATAAGATAAGTGAAACTAGTAGAAAATTATCAGTACATAATTTGTAGCACAGTGTCTAATTAAATTGTATATTCAAATGGTATTGCAACTTTTCGCATGAATCAACTTTCTGAATCATTGCGGTATTAAAAGTTGTCCTTATTTACGAAACACATCATTTTTCCTACCGTAAAGTTTATTTCCAACGGAGATGAATGACGACCGCTGAGGTCATTGATTATACACTTTTACGATACCGCGGACTGATGACCGGAGTTGTATTAACTAAAAGTGAGTAACGCATTGGTAAACGTTACTAGCTCGATGAATCAACTTTACTATCTTATCATGGTCTATACGCGCAGCGTTAATAGAACTACGGATTTTTATATACATATATCTATCGCGCGAAGATTCTTGAAAATTCACGTGCTTATTAAACAAATGTGCAATCCTACAAATTTTATTTTCGCTCTCGAGGCGTTTGTGAAACGCTCCTGAAAACTGTTTTATCATTTACGAAAACGATTTTCACGTCCGTATTCAACAAATTCTTAAAAATTGAAGTATTCGCCTACGTTCAACTTCCATGAAACTTTATATAAAATTTTATAGTTAATTTAGGTTCGAGTACAAAGATTAAAATTGTCGACACTGGGGTTTCTTCCCCAAAATTCTCGGTCCAGCAACAAAGAAACCATCGAATCGATTGCATCCAATTCTGTTCTTACACTGTTTCCATTTAACGCAGCCTAGAAGCAACAAATTCAATTTCTTTTTCCACGATCTCGCACGAATTATCTCGGTCGAAAAACTTATTCAATTTTAATCCCGAAGACGGTTTCTTTTTTCACGCGGTTTTTCCTGGAGCGTACCTGCCGTCTAAAAAATATTTCCCCGGTTTCCCAGCTTCGTTTCACGGCGGAGTCCCTTACGATCGCTCGTAACAGCCCGTCGAACAATAAATGTTACCCGGGAATGGTCCCTTAGGCCTACGAAACCGAAATCGGTCCTCGTAATCTCGGCGGCCGATCGTGTTTCCAGCGCGTATCAAACAAAACGAGTACAACGAAACGCTGGAAACCGAGTCTGTTGTCTTCGTGGTCATTCCTCTCCGCAGAGAACGGAGGAGAAAAAGAAGGAGCTGTTCACGAGGTGCTCTCGTCGCGGTTCCGTTTCCGCGACTCGACCGAAAATAGCATATTCGTGTTTCCGTCTTCTAGCCTCCGGTGGGTTTCGCAGTTATTTCGCGGGCACGTAGGCGCAGCTTTCGAGGATGGCCAAGTGGCTGTGGCGATCCACCCCGCCTTCTGGCTTGTCAAACCTGCTGTGTGCCCTGGCCGGCTCACTCCGAAATACCTGCAAGAAGAACAAGAACAAGAGAGACAAGCAGGACAGACTGGGGCCCCGAGGTCGTCCGCCCTGGTCCCCGATTCCGCCGCGGAGAACCATATCCTGCGGCCTTATCCTTGCGCCGCAAATTATGGGCCACGGCTGTCTAGAAGCTCCCAAAAATCGAGCAATTTGATTCTCACGTTTACTACATTATCCGGGGAAGAATCCTCGAAAGTTTCGAGTAGATCCGAGCAGAATTCGCCAAGTTCGAGGCGTTCCAGGCGTGTTCGACTCTCGAATGGTTGAACTTCGGCACGTTTTGTGCCCCAACTGCGATCGTTCCACAAATTCGAATTTTCGAGTAGGCCAATCTAAAGTTCAGACCGGATAGTCGACTGGGTCCACGAGCTTATTAACAGTCGTATTAACCCCGTGGCAGTATGATTTCTTTCGCAGCTACGTTGATCAGCATACTTCTTCGCTCCCTAATTGAACGGGATCGCTTTTGTTTCGCTTATAAGGTGTTTTTAGCAAAAATAATGTTCAATTCAAATTGTCAAAGGTGTCCTTGTCAAAACTAGTGTTCGATTAAAATTGTCAAAGGTGTCTTTGTCAAAAATAGTGTTCAATTAAAATTGTCAAAGGTGTCTTTGTCAAAACTGCTGTTCAATTAAAATTGTCAAAGGTGTCTTTGTCAAAAATAGGATTCAATTAAAACGGTCAAAGATGTCTTTGTCAAAAAGAGGGTTCAATTAAAATGGTCAAAGATGTCTTTGTCAAAACTACTGTTCAATTAAAATGGTCAAAGGTGTCTTTGTCAAAACTACTGTTCAATTAAAATTGTCAAAGGTGTCTTTGTCAAAACTACTGTTCAATTAAAATTGTCAAAGGTGTCTTTGTCAA